TGGATATCTTTAAATAATATATTCTGTATGCTCACTTACAAGTTCTACTATATCTCAGTTCAGATAACTTGAAACATTTCGCCATCATCTCTTAGACGTAGCGAGTTATCACAAACCAGGGAGCCACCTGCTAGCAGTGCCTTGGTCTTATCCAGATTGAGTTTCAGTTTATTGGCTCTCATCCAGCCCATTACTAAGGCAAGACAATGGTCTGGCACATCCAATAATGCATTGGTAGATGACAATAGCAGCAGCACTGATTGGGTGCTTCGCTTATTTTCCCCCAACAGCCCTGTAATATATTCTCTTTGCAATACAGTTCTCACTCTGCGGTCACTTATGTAGCCATAGCAGCATAGGATAGAGCTCTCAGTAGGCTTGGGTTTAGCCTGAGGCTTGCGGAAGTGCAAAAACCTTTAGAAAAACCCTAGAAGGGGGATTTAGAGTGGGTTGGGGTAGCTAGAAAAGGGATATATAAATATAAAGCTGCCATCCCATTCATTCACTCTTGCTGTGGGTATTTTCTTGTCTTAGAAGGAAGAGCTTTGAAGTCTCCTTTCTCTCTCTTTCTCTTTTTCTTTTTCTCTTTCTCTTTCTCTCACATACAACCCAACAACATTTGAGTGTCTCTGTTTGTGATGTTCAGTCCATGAGAGCTGCTGGACAAAACAACTTTAGCAACGCACAAAATGGAAATAGCAGCAGGTTGAGGGAAACAAATGGTTTGCAGAACTGATGAAAACATTTATGGGGGAAACCTAAGTTGGGAGGACGTCCCCCGCCTTAAAGAAGCCCAATGAGAACCAAGTGCATTCAATGACCACAGAAAGTCTGCTGACACTTGGGAGCAAGGGGGAGTGAGACCTGTTGGAAGTGGAATGGAAGGTTGTCTCCTGAGCAGTAGCAATGCACAATGTAGCACTTTGTTGTAGGTCATCATCTTCAAATGCTGAGGCTGAGACAGTATCAGTTTACCTAAGGCCACCTTTAGAGTGAAGATCTGGGCCAGGGGCACACAGCCACAATGCCGCAACATCTGTTAAATGGATTACAGTGGTACTTCGGGTTACAGATGCTTCAGGTTACATTCGCTTCAGACTCCGCTAACCCAGAAATAGTACCTCGGGTTAAGAACTTTGCTTCAGGATGAGAACAGAAATCGTGCTCTGGCGGTGTGGCAGCAGCAGGAGGCCCCATTAGCTATAGTGGTGCTTCAGGTTGAGAACAGTTTCAGGTTAAGAATGGACCTCCGGAACGAATTAAGTACTTGACCCGAGGTATACCACTGTATTGAATATTGCTTTGGCCAATTTACTGTAAGTTGTGTGTTTTTTTAACTGTCATATTTTTTTTTTCATTATGGCATATTTGTATGGGATGGTATTGTTATGGGATGTGTGATCTTTGTTGCATGTTTTGTCGTTTTTATGGCTTGCAAACTCCGTTGCGTGCAGCAGTGTTGACAGGCAGCGAACAAATTAAAAATGAAATAGAAACGAACATCTCTCTCTCCTTCCTTGAAAGGGTCAGAGAAGGATCACTGTTTAAGTGGTGGCATTAGGATATGTTGCGTTCAGGAAAAATGGCCTTGGAGATGAGAAATGTACCTTGAAAGCTTCATATTCTGAATGCATTGTTTTTCTGAGTAATGCCTTTCAATTTAGGGCCTACAGCTTTAAAAGACTTCAAGGTGTTGTGGATCATAATCTGATGTGCGTTTAAAAGGTTCTTCAGAGGATTAAAGGATGTATAGGCCTTATAATGTGCTGCTACCTTAGCAAGAATTTCAGCTGAGAGGAAGAAGAAAAAGAGATCAGTGGACCCGGTACAGAAATGTCATTTTGCATTTAGAATACCTGGCTGACTGCTATGCACCAACGAGGCATCCATTTTTCACGGTTGCCTGTACATTCTCTCTCTTCCTTTTAAGGGAATAGTTTGAATAATCCATATACAAAATCTGACAGCAGCACTATCTTTAAAAGTTCATAGCTGCCAAGAAAAATATATTTGCATGACTAAAGAACGGGAAATGCATTAAATGTTTTCAGTTTATTTGAACTTTGGCATTTTCCGGTGTCCATTGGGAAAGGTCTACAGGACAAAAGCTATTAACTGATCAACCTTATTCATCACCGTGACTCCGACACCGACAATTTACCTCAGGCTTCCTCAACCTCAGCCCTCCAGATGTTTTGAGACTACAATTCCCATCATCCCTGACCACTGGTCCTGCTAGCTGGGGATCATGGGAGTTGTAGGCCAAAAACATCTGGAGGGCCAAGGTTGAGGAAGCCTGGTTTACATGTATGAACCTGGATTTATTATTAATATTATTAAATGTATTTATATTTCACCTTTCTCCCAAGTTGGCACCTGCAGGAACAGGGCTTAGAAACAGGGTCTCAGGTGGGAGAATACTGGAGCCTCAGGGTTGGCCCTTCAAGTTGCTCACCGGGAATAGAAATATCTTGGCAAGTAGGGAAGATCTTGCCTGCAGGCTGGGACAACCTTGCCATGCAAGTAAGTCATGCAATGCTCCCTCTTTATTTGTATTCTGTATACAGTGGTACCTCGGGTTAAGTACTTAATTCGTTCTAGAGGTCCGTTCTTAACCTGAAACTGTTCTTAACCTGAAGCACCACTTTAGCTAATGGGGCCTCCCGGTGCCGCTGCGCCACTGGAGCACGATTTCTGTTCTCATCCTGAAGCAAAGTTCTTAACCCGAGGTACTATTTCTCGTTAGCAGAGTCTGTAACCTGGAAGCATATGTAACCCAAGGTACCACTGTATTTGCAAGACACATTGCTGATGGTCACTAGAGACTCATAGGATCAAGGGGTAAGACAAATTTTGAATTGGTCAGTAAACATATCTCTGCCTCATGCTTTGGTTTCAGATGAATGAGGTTTATGAGAAAACCCCAAACAGCGAACTTTGCTGCCGGGTTCCACACCCTTGTCAAGAAAAGAGGAAGAGGAAAACGAAGACTGAGCCAGTTCTGTGAGAGACTCCTCTTCTCAGGAGGCATTTTTTCTTCACTGTTGCTATTTTATTAGGAGAGACTGCTGCAGAAACTACTGGTAAGGCATGTGGCTTTTGCTGCTGGGTTGTTTTTTGGTGACGTAGTTTGTATTCATTTCCACCTTCAAACTGCTTAACATGGCTGCACTGCGATATAGCTTTGTTTACATTAGGGCATATGACATGCAACAATTGCAGAAAATTAAAAATAAAGCAGCAACAAACATTTCTGAATATATTCACAAGGTTGGTGTTGAAGCGTGTATGCCAAAATTATTACAGACACAAAATTATGTGTAGTAACGTGCATTGCTTAGACGGGTGACCATAAGCAAAAGGTATTTCATATCAATTAGAATTAGAATTTGGAGGAATGTATAGGATGGGGGAAGGGGAAATAATTAAATATGTACTGCATGCAAGCCAAACTGTGCTGTAATCTATGGGTAGTATTCTACCATATACCTCATTTCTGTAATCAAAAAAGACCGCATAAAAATTGCCATGTTTCTTTTTGGCTCTTGCTACTTTCTGTGTCAGTTTTTCCAAAATGCTGTTGGCAAAATTGCATTATACCATGGCTCCACCATTAATAATTGTAATGATTCCCATGTCCTGGCAATAGTTTTTCTTGCAGCATTAACTGCTTCTGTCATTAGGGTGGCACTTCTCTTGATTCTAAGAGGGGCTTCTGAGGGCAAAATTCACCATCCACAGTTGTCCCTGACAAAAAGCTACTGTGTTTGGAGAAGCACTGCCTGCTGGTTTTTTGCCTGTCATTGCATCTCTTTGCATCAAAATCTAGTAACCACTTTGTGATTCGCTTTGCTAGAGACAACTGCTGCTGTGTGTAGTTTTAGATCCCATGACTGAAATATAGTGCATGCAACCATATCCAAGTTTTGGGGGTGGGAAATTAAAAGTAGTGCACGAAGAGAGGGATGCACGAGAAATTCAACTGAGTTCACAGTTAAATGTGAACTTGCCAAATTCATACTTTTCAAAACAAGATGAGAACCAAAACAACAGCTATCCTTTGAAATTTGCAGTTATCCTGATTTTGTAACACAGTTCTTCAGCCAAGTAGTGTGTACAAAAATGCATAGGGACGTGGGTGGCGCTGTGATCTAAACCACTGAGCCTCTTGGGCTTGCTGATCAGAAGATTGATGGTTCAAATCCCCGCAATGGGATGAGCTTCTGTTGCTCTGTCCCAGCTCCTGCTAGCAGTTCGAAAGCACACCAGTGCAAGTAGATAAATAGGTACCACTGTGGCAGAAAGATAAACAGCATTTCCGTGTGCTCTGGTTTCCGTCACGGTGTTCCAGTTGCATCAGAAGCGGTTTAGTCATGCTGCCGCATGACCCGGAAAGCTGTCTGTGGACAAACGCCGGCTCCCTTGGCCTGATAGCGAGATGAGCGCCGCAACCCCATAGTCACCTTTGACTGGACTTAACAGTCCAGGGGTCCTTTACCTTTACACAAATGCATATACCAGGGTAGTGTGCATATAAGTGGATACAAAAATGCATTGTATTGGGGGAAATTGCTTTGCGATATTGTGCATATTAGGCAAAATAACATACAAAGGTGTTTATATGCTAGTGAATTTCATGATGGCTTATAAAAAATTGCATATTGATGTGGAAATGTGGGGAGCTGAATGTAAGATTGGGAAAACGAGAAATTGAGAGAAACCGAAATGGATAGATTCTCTGTCCTGAACACATGCACGCATTCACACAAACCCAGTGAGAACATGCGACTCGAAGGTTGGTTCTTTATTGGCAAAGCACTCGGTTACCTCAGCTCCTCAGGTGCAAGAACCGCATGCATTGGTCCTGCACTCTGGTCTCCCTCCATGAGATTTAATGATGTCAGTCCTTACGAATTTCACTTACATCAATGCTGATTTTGAGAAATTTCCCCCCACCCTTCCTCTATGTTTTTACTTCCAGAATGAGAGTGAGTTGGAAGATGGCTCCTTCTTTCAACTTCATGCTCCTCTTCGTGCTTTTGCTGAAAGGCGCCTCCCTCGTTCCAAATGTCCAAAACAAGCAGCATAGCTGTATAGGTATGTGCTGATTTCTTATTTGTTGTATTTATTTAAAACAGCTCTTCATAAAAATATCCCAGATGATGCACTTGTACCTTAAGGGAGAGTGCAGCCACATCCAGAACAGATAAGCCATCTAATTCCCAGATCTAAGAACCACCCCCTCGCAACATCTCTGTTTCATCCGGCACACCCCTGCAACAAGGACTTGTGCAGCCACACCTAATGCAGTTGCATCTTGAGCACCTTCCCCACAAAGTGGACATTTGGGACTGAGGGGTATCTCCCATAAGCCTCTAGCCCATAATAGATAATTTTCAGGAGCAACTATGGCTTCTTTCAAGTCACCTCCCCGTCATGCAAGGAGATGCACCCACTCTCTCAAATTCATCATGATGTACAAGGGTTGCGAGACCCTATAGTTAGCCGCACAGCTTCCAGCATCTTGTCCAAATTTTCAGGCCTCAAGAACCGAAATTGATCCCATAGAACAGGGACCAGCAAGGTTTATCTTGTCTGGGCCGGATCGGTCCTGCGGAGACCCCTCCATGGACCGGATCATGTGTGTGTGAGAGCTCGCGCGCCTGTGATTTTCAGTGTCTGCTCAGACACTGTTTTCGGCACCGATTTAGCGCAGTGTGCGAGTGGGCAGCTCAGTTTTGGGGGTGGCTCGTGGGCTGATCAAACGACCTCCACAGGCCACTTCTGGCCCATGGGCCTTACGTTGCTGATCCCTGCCGTAGAATCAGACTATACAGTGGAACCTCAAAGCCGAATGCCTTTGGACTTGAATGTTTCAGCTCCCAAACGATCAAAACCCAGAAGTGATTGTTCCGGTTTTCAAACGATTTTCAGAAGCTCCTGCAGCCAATCAGAAGCTGCGCTTTGGAAGCTGAACGCTTTGGAAGCTGAACAGGCTTCCAGAACAGATTCAGTTCGACATCCAAGGTACGACTGTAATAATGCTTTAGATTCAATGGCATTGAGGCTAGACAAAATATCTGTTAATTTCTGATTCTCTCTCATTTTTCCACTCTTAAATTCACTGCTCCACGTTTCCACAGCAATTTGTGATTAACACCCCCCAAAAAAACAACCCCCATAATAATTCATCAGGATTTAAGTGCATTTCCTCCCAATAGACACTTTTCTGTGTATGCACATCTTTGCAAGCAATCTTTATGTTCGCTTTTCCCCAACACATACATAAATTCAGAGCAGTGCAATTTTCAAAGTTTAATTGCGTTTCACATCTTATATTTGTTCATAAAGTGTGACTTAGTTACTTCTCATTAAAAGGCAAACATAATTAATTTTCTTTGCCATCCCTAAATGGACAGGTGCCTAGCAAACATGTTCCATAGCCCATCTCCAAAGCTTCCAGCAGCCTTTTGATTTGGGCAATTGCGAATAAACCCTCACTACTCAGAAATGCGCTGATGTAATGGGGGTGGAGAAATAATCCTTTCACTGGAACGCAGTAGTGATATATTTTTTTCAAGCATGTAAATGTCCCAGTTTTATGTCCAAGCAAACATAGAATATAGTTTTTGGTCCATTTTCAATCTGTATAACTTTTTAGCAGCCATCTCAGCTAAAATAATACTGTGGGGGGTATTGTTTTTGTTCGTTATTATGTTATGCATTTTTGTGCTTTTATATTGTGAACTGTCCTGTGATCCTTGGATGAGGGAAGGTATAGAAATTTTAATGATGATGTTGATGATTATAATGTGCTTTTATACCATCAAATGATGGCCACAAATGTAGTTTACTTCTGCATTTTTTCAGAATTGCCACCCTGTGTTCACTTGCCTTTTGGAGTATGTTCAGACATTTTCCATCCAACTATAAAATGCTGTTGTAAATCCAGTCTGTTCTGTGTAGACAGACAAAGCCCTGTTGAAATTTCTAAGGGCTACTGTACCTTCAATGAATTACTTCCTGTTTGCATGTTCAGTTTGTTTTTTTAATTGTTCCTTCCTCATCAAAACTGGGAAATTAGTTACGAGTTGCTTCTTAGTTTGTGTTCACTCTTCAGAGGATTTCAATTACTGATTTCCTTTCAGCATTTATTTATTTTTTTAGGGCAAAATCACAACACTGTTCTGCTAAAAACAACAACACACAAATGAGTGGGGAAATGAAAGAAAACCAGTAATGACTAACTGTCATTAGCAGGAAAAAGTAAAAGGCTGACCCTAGATGGAGAATTTTTTTTTAACTGACATTGGAAGGGGTCACTGCTGAACAGGGGTGATCTTCTGAGTAAACATTATAGATGATCGTTGGCCGTAGGGAGAGCATTGAAAGTTAATGTAGCCTTATATTCAGTGCTGTGTTGAATTTTAATTTCACTTCTGGCTAATTGCAGAATAGCAATGCCTCGGGGTCTCTAGTGCGGTAGCAACCCTTGCTTATCAAAGTGAAAGTGGATTTAGTATAGCAAGTGCTTGCAAGACACATACAGTGGTACCTCGAGTTACAGACGCTTCAGGTTACAGACGCTTCAGGTTACAGACTCCGCTAATCCAGAAATATTACCTCGGGTTAAGAACTTTGCTTCAGGATGAGAACAGAAATCGTGTGGCGGTGGCGCAGCGGGAGGCCCCATTAGCTAAAGTGGTATCTTAGGTTAAGAACAGTTTCAGGTTAAGAACGGACCTCTGGAACGAATTAAGTTCTTAACCCGAGGTACCACTGTAAAGACTATTGCTAGTCACTTCAGAACTGCAGGCCATCTGGTTCCCAATCATGGTCTAGCTCAGGTTATTGTTGCTGCTGTTCTTACCCTGAAGAACACAAGGCACATTCAGATTGGGGAATGGCATTCACCCAGCCAGCCAGCCCAGGAGAACTTCAATAGGGTTTGTTGTACAGCAGTAATCGCTTCCTTGCGATGGGTTTAATTCTGATGCCGGCTGCTGGTAGAAACAACAGAGGGGTAGGGTACACACAGTTCTAGTTTCCTCCACCCCAGGAGAGTTGCTAATCAGGGGTAATCAATAAGGATTAACAGTCTCCAGACAAAAGAGATCATGGGAACAAGCCCCGACTTGCAGTGTGTTTGCTAATTGCACAGGGAAATAAGCCGTATAGTAACTGCTATGTCTGCAGATAATTTACCTGATTATAGTCGCAATTGTGGAACTAATTATTCATTAGTAACCCCCTCTGAAGGAAGGGGGCTATTTATAAAGTTAGCTCTTTCAGCGCCGCAGCCTCTGTATTCAATCATGGAAAGAAGCACATGTAAATGAGGCGTGGTAGATCTGCAAGAAAAATGGAGCATGTACGGGAGCAATTTTACAGGCCCCCTGCTTTCTGTGTGCCTTTCCACAACAGGGTACGCACCAGTTTGAAGAAAAGAAAAGACAAATGTGTTCTCTTAGCCACATTTTTAAACCTGTGCCTTCAGCAGGGGCGGGGGACCACTTCCATTAACTACAAATTTTTGGAATCGTTTACTTGTCAAAACTAAGGAAACGAACAGTTAAACAGTTCCCACAATCCAATAGCAAAAGCAATAGATTGCATCTCTTACGTAGTTCATTAATTGGATGCCACAAGTAAGATCCACAAATAGCTACAGTCATTTTTAAAATAAGACCATTTCTTTTTCTCAAAGTTGCAGGGATTTTATCTGAATAAATGACAGGCAACTTTTTTCAAAAATCACATTTCCTTCGTTCCAATGGTTGTTAAGCCAGCTGTCCCTGCTTAACTACGTTGGTCTTTCAATGAATTTCAATGTTGGTTCCATTATGTGACATGTATTTTGGGGGAAATACAGGGTGGATAATATATTTCATGTCTCATTTTTAGCATTGAAAAATATATATGCAGTCATATTGAAAGAATCATGGATTCCCAATACTCAGAAATGCTTAATGACTGGAAGCACTGCAAAAACTCAGCCAAACCAGTTGCACTCAACAACTGTTGAGGACATTGGCATGCTAGAAAACATTGCTTACACCCTGTGGGGTCCTATAGTTAGCATGCCCGTCAAAACCACAATTCATTTTATGCTGAAAATCAATCTAAACTCTGAGCTTCAGCTAGAGTCCGTCCAGAGTGAGTTTACTGCTTTCTGAGCAATTTATGCGAGCGTAAATCAGTGTTTGATTTGATTTAAGGATAAGAAGAAATATCAGAAAATTCTGTCCTTCCCCCTCTTCTTATTCCTAGGTCCATGTCACCATATCAGTATGAACAGTTAAGACTGCAGAGTGTACCCATAGAGTCCATTTTCAAGGCTGAAGGGCAATGAAAAGCAAGGAAGGGACGTGGAGAGGAAATTGAGGAAACAGGGAATCAGCCAAAGAGATAATGGATGCTAAACAATGGAGAAGTAGCAGAACGGGAACAAGTGTTCGTACAGGTCTTAGGGTCCTGAAGTTAATATCAGTCAAGTCAAGTCACATTTACATTGTTGCTAAAACCACAAATGGAATGAGAAATAGGTTCTCAGTTATTGTCCTTGGAAAAATTGCATATTACACTAGCCTTTTGTACTTTATACTCAAAAAGCTCCAAATAGTGTGTTGTATAATATGCTCTCAGGCCAAGGTTTTGGCGCTCATCTCGCTTTATTGGCCGAGGGAGCCGGCGTATAGCTTCCTGGTCATGTGGCCAGCATGACTAAGCCACTTCTGGTGAACCAGAGCAGCGCACGGAAACGCCGTTTACCTTCCTGCCAGAGTGGTACATATTTATCCACTTGCACTTTGACGTGCTTTTGAACTGCTAGGTTGGCAGGAGCAGGGACAGAGCAACGGGAGCTCACCCCGTTGTGGGGATTCAAACCGCTGACCTTCTGATCGGCAAACCCTAGGCTCTGTGGTTTAACCCACAGCGCCACCCGCGTCCCAACAGCGCCACCCACGTCCCGAAGGTTGCTGCAGTTCAAAACCTGAGTTCCTGCATTGTTCAAATGGGGCTCCTTTGCCGTTCACAGTCAGTTTGCCATTTCTCCCCGAAGGTTACATTTAAACTGGGCCAATCAGCACTTCTTGTGTGTTGTGCATCACACTGTCATTGTATTATCCCCCCACCCAATTATTTGTGCTTTCTGATTTGCAGAGGTGCCCAAGGCAGGTTTTGTAAATCCTGGGGCTGTTCAATTTGATGACTGTGATAGGAATTTTGAGGTCTTAGATATATGTTAAATGTTCATAAGTGTACCAACCAAGCACGTACGTAGATCAGCACAGGAAGACTGACCTGAAACCATTATTTATTCCCAAAACTGACCAAATGTTTTCTCTGCAAAGTCAAAGGAAAATGGAAAAGCCTCCCCATTATCTTTTCCTTCACAAATCCTGTCTTAAGGGCACATTTAAGATATGAATAGGGGGTGAGCCTGTGACCTGGCTCAGGAACTAAGTATTTATCGTTACAAAAGACTGGCTAGGCTCCCAAGGGATCCAATCAAGTGACCATTAAACAGGTAACCTGTTTAGACGAGATAAACAACGCACTCAGATTTCTGCTGTAGACCGCCTTTTCTGTGGTGTAGGTATGATGTATCTGGGGGGTGGTCTTAGGTTGCACCCCTTCTGTGATGTATGTATGATGTATGGAGGGGTGGTCTTGAGCTCCAGGGCAGGGAATTTAAAATGTCTATATAAGGGCAGGCACACCTTTGTTCTGGGTTCCTCCTCCCTCCTGCGTGTGGTGAGTGAGGACCCTGTTGCAACAGATCAATAAAGATCAGGCTTACTGGCTGCTTTGCTTCTCAATATTATCTGGTTGGCTTCTGTTATTTTCTCCTACCAATCGGGAACCTACGTAAGGACTCTGTATGGGCTCTTGGATACCCCAGAAGGGGAAAAGGGCAGATTTTTGTATACAGCATGACCACAACTGATCTTCCCCTGCATGCATTGAGTGTGTTGCAGAACACAGTTACAGCCCCATGTATGCCATTACAACTGGCTTGAAGAACACATGAACCGAGAGTTGCAATACAGTACAGGGCTTGCTTAGCAAAAAAAGGTGGTGAAAAAGTGTTCTCTAACTGCAGGAAGTTTCCCAAACATACAGTACTAGCTTTCTAAATGTTGACATTTGAGGTGCCATTTCCCATTTAATGGTAACTGAAATGCAAGTCATCTGTTGCAATACCTCCAGAAATAGCCCACTGCCACTATTGACCAACATGTACACCGTTTGGATATGTTGTTTTTCAACAAGTAATTTTGGGCCATTTCTGGAGGTATTGCAACAGATGAATTGCATTTCAGTCATATGCACTTATGGAATTTGAAGCCTAAAAATGTCCCCTAAGTCCTCAGTACTTGAGGCAGGCATAGGCAAACTCTTGAGGCAGGCATAGGCAAATGTTTGGGACTACAATTCCCATCATCCCTGACCACTGGTCCTGTTAGCTAGGAATGATGGGAATTGTAGTCCCAAACATCTGGAGGGCCAGAGTTTGCCTATGCCTGACTTGAGGGGATAATTTTGCCTACAGTGATTTGGGCACTTGTCCCCACTGCCATTTGGGTGTACTTTATCCCCTAATGAGGAACAATCCAGAAATGTGTTGGGTATTACAAGTGATAGTGAATCTTATTTTCTACAGATGGCTGCTTTCCTTCAGGATTTCCACAGGGCTGTGTTAGACTAGTAGGAGTTGGTTCTTGCTGTGCTTCTCAAACTATTTTGAATCCAGAGGTTCTGTTTTATGGAGGAAAGCAGTACAAAATCAGCTGCTTCATTCAAATTTGTATTTCCTACAGATTTAGTTGCACAGAGGCTAGCGGCAGGTCTGGGATTTCATATCCAAAGAAGACAAGCAAAATAAACTATTTGTTCTGTTTCCATAACGATGCAGAGCTTTTGAAAACAGATAATTCGTTTGTATAAAAACCATCATTTTCCCCACAGTCAAGAGGCAATGGGCTTTGTTACATCTGCCCTTATTTTCCATTGAATTTTGAACCACATTTGATTGCATGGAGCTCTGTCAGTGTTTAAATAACTAGGATAGCTCATTCCCCTGGAAGGCAGATAGGAGATGCAAGTTATCATATTACAAAGCAGACCTTTGCGGCATGTTTATATGTGGGGGACGCTCCTGGGAGACCTTGTGCGTGGGCTACAGCACGCTTGTTTTGCATGTGGGGCTTTGGAAGCAAACCCGTCAGCAGTAACTGTCACACCGACTGCTACATTGGGGAAATCAGCGTCGTTACTAGACTGCCCTACAGCCGGGCCCCTGCAATGCAGAGAAGCTCAGGAAGCCGTGTTGAGAGTTGAGGGAGGCATTTGAAACCCTCCCTTGCTTTTGTGGAAGTCTCCGTGATCCTGCACAGGAACAAGCCTGCAGATCAAACCTGTACGTAGCATTCCTGAAATATACTCGGAGTCCTGTAGTGGTTTTGTGCTCTTTATTGCAGCTTCTAAAACAGTGATTCAATTGCCCCCCAAACCTCAGGCTTTTATATACATTATTTACACAATGAGTCCCATCTGATTGGCTGATTCTGCTTCCCTCCTGAAGCCTGATTGGTCTTCTCCTGTAGGCCAATCAGTTGTTGCATTCTAGGATCCTACCAGCCTAATAGGCTGATTCTGCCTCTCTCCTGGAGCCTGATTGGTCTTTTCCTGCAGGCCAATCAGTTGTTGCATTCTAGGATCCTACTTGCCTATTGTTCTAGGATCCAAGCATAGTACATAACAGTTCCCTTGCGGAAAGGGTCTTGGCTCACTGGCAATGAACGCAGAAGATCCCAGGTTCAGTCATCACCAGGTTGAGCAGGATCCCTGAAGAGCCCCTGCCAGTCAGTATAGATCCGGGGGTGGGGGACCTTTTTGGACTAATGGGTCAGGACCTTATTTTCCCCCATGGCCCCGGGGCCAATTCTGCCAGGTGGGCCCAACAACCCACTTCTCAGTAACCTGATATCATAATGTCAATATTATGTTCTGAAGTTCTCACCCTGGGCCAGCAGGGGGATACTGTAGATAGTTATGCAAATAAGGGATTGAAAGTGACGTTCAGTGATTGGATAGTTTTAGAAAATTGTTACAGTTACGTTGTGCTGGAGCTCTATATAAGCAGGCTGACTGAACCCTTCAGTTCAGTTCTGTCCTGGCCTGTGAATAAACAAGAGCTGTTTGAAGAATCGCTGTGTCGTCTGGATATGTTCACCCACAACTTAACAGTCGACACTTAGCAAAGTCCCTTGCACAGTGCTCCCCAAGTGCCCAGCTTCCTGGCAATTGAGCACAGGGCTCGCAATAGGCAGTTTCCTAATTTTAAAATTGCTCTGTGAAAAACGTAAGAAGAAGGGTTTGTCCCCGTGTTCATAATCACCCACATCAATGAGATGTTTGGATCAGGTCAGTGGATCTGCCACCTTTCAGGAAATTATTCTCACAACATCTTTCAAACTTCTGGGAGATTTAAAACTTCAGAATCTGTAACTGAATTCTGGAGCCACCTTTTCTTTCCGGACTGGACTCTAATCTTCAGTTAAAAGTTGGATTTATTTTATTTTAATTTTTTACTTAAGAATAGTCACTGCTGTCATGGGATGAGGCTAATAAGCCCAGAGCCAGGTCTGCACAGCTGACTCAACGTGTTTGTATATGTAGATTGGAACCAACCCAAACTGTAATTCTGAATGAAGCCAGCACTACTTAGAAACCAACTGGGCTGGCTTTCTGCGGTGTGTTGCAGTATGCCAAGAGAAGACTCTCCCATCAGCCCTTAGCCTGATATACCAGGAAAATTCATTCTTTGTCAGACAGATGCGTTCACTTTTCACTGGCTTCAAGGGCACATAGTACTGCAACCTGAATTGTAAAGGGGAAAGTGCCATGCAGGCATATGCTATTGTCTTAAATCCGTATTTTCTATTTTAACAATAAAAAATAATGTTAAGTCCTATTCCCATCTGGTTAAATTAATGTGAGCAGGATCATGCACAATGCAACTAAACCCACGTAACTATAATAACAAAGTTGGCCGCTTTCCCCCGCATTTAAAATCTGTATTCTAAAAAAAGGAAGTCTTTTGTGCTGGCTTTTATCTGCAGCCATTGATACCATTCTAATTAGAATTTCCTTTGTATGTTTGCTGCAGAAGTAGATTAATTTCAACAGTCTGTTCAGCTTGCCAGGGGGTTCGTGGCCAGCAAACTCTCGCTCCGACTTTATTAGCTGAGATGTGATTTCCTCCCATCTAAACTCCCTCTAGTCTATTAGAAATGTCATTTTATTATTAAACACATTCTCTCTTTTTTAGTATGATAGGAAAGCAGTCTCTTGAAATGTGAATTTTTAGATTATTGCTGTTGAACAGTATGAGTATTGTATGCTCTGATCCCCCTCGTAAATTAAATGCAGGTGGAACAAACTATATCTGAAAAGAGACAGGCAGGTTTATTAATGCTCAGGTCTGGCTGCGAAGGGATGATAGACGTTGTAATACCGAGACATTTCTTGAAATAAAAATGCCCCTTCATCCTGTCAAGGAGTGAAAGTCATTGTCAAGTGCTACCAAGAAGCCAATCTCTTAAATGTTGCTTTTAAAAAAAAGTTTTTTACAACTCTAGAGTTTTGAGATTATGCGGTAGAGTCTGTCCATGATGGAATAGTTTTTCATCCCATTCATTTGAAGGGATGGGAGTGCCCTGTTCTTGCCCAGCAGAAGAGACCTTGGTTAGGGCAAGGCAGGTGGGTTGTCACAGCGCTGTGATGAACTCCTAGTGAGTAACTGGCTCTGTTAAATTGGAAGTGAATTGAGGCCTTTTCTGCCTGTGCCTCCTATGCTCTGCACCTTTTTAGAGACCTCTTTCCAAGATCTCCCACCTGGTATGTTTCCTGTGCTTTGGGTTCTTCAGGCCATGAGAAGGCACCTATGATGGTCACAGCACTGTGGCATCTGGTTCAGCCAGTCCTAGGATTAGGGGGACCCTGTTCACCAACATCCAACTCAGAGCTAGGAACTTGGTCCAGCTCCTTAGATGGGAACACTTTAGCTTCTGAATCACAGTCCTGGTCACTACTGGATTCCACCAGGATCATTGGAAAGAGAAAGATATCTGTGCTTCACTGTCTCATTTAAACCAATGGGACTTAGAAGTTCTTACTCTGGTTGTAGTTGGCACTGTAGTCTAAACCACTGAGCCTCTTGGGCTTGCTGATCAGAAGGTCGGCAGTTCGAATCCTTGCGACAGAGCTCCCGTTGCTCTGTCCCAGCTGCTGCCAACCTAGCAGTTCGAAAGCACGACAGTGCAAGTAGATAAATAGGTACTGCTGCAGCGGGAAGGTAAACGGTGTTTCCGTGCGCTCTGGTGTCCGTCACGGTGTCCCATTGTTCCAGAAGCAGTTTAGTCATGCTGGCCACATGACCCGGAAAGCTGTCTGTGGACAAACACTGGATCCCTCAGCATGAAAGCAAGATGTGCGCCGCAACCCTATAGTCACCTTTGGCTGGGCTTAACCATCCAAGGGTCCTTTGCCTTACCTTTACCTCTGGTTGAATCATGTCCTACTTCCTGGAGAAGAATGTTGTTGTTGTTGTTGTTGTTGTTTAGTCATTTAGTCGTGTCCGACTCTTTGTGACCCCATGGACCAGAGAATAGCACTCGGCTAATTTTGCTCAAGGCAAGGTATGTCTTACATACAGTGGGAAAGTGAGCTGACCTTAACAATTTGCTGCAGCTAATACATTTACAATACAATCCGAGATGTGACAATTCAAAAGCAAATACTATTGTGTTCAGTGGGACTTACTCTTAGATTGCAAACTTGGTCAACTTGGACTTTCATATTTGAAATCAATATTTAAAGCACAAGAATAAAACATCTTGACAATGTGACATCAGCAGAAGAGATTTTCCTTAGGTCTTAAAAACAGGTGGTATTTTCCTTAAAATCTAAAGAACAATGTTAATATTTAGTCCAGCAAGTCAAATTCCTATGAAATCCTGTGATTGTTAATATTTGTGTGTATAGGTAGTATAGCTACAATATGTGTCCTATTAATACTTTTATTAATACTCCTATTAAAATCAGGATGCTCCTACCTGGTTAACCGATTAATATTAGTATGGAAGTGTACACCGAGCAGCTACAATTTCTAAACAGCAGTTTATATTTCACCTTATAATGGTGCTCTGCATTCATAACTCATGGGTACAGTGACATGGATTTCCTTTGAAAAAAATTCCTGCTCCTAAATAATCCAAAATCCAGTGTACTGCTATGATCTCTGTGCATTATTCTGGTACCCTTGGCAGCTGAATGTGTACCTGACTCCTTCGGAAAACGTTACATGAGAGGCGATGTGAGGGAATGTGATAGTTGGATCTGTGTTGGCAGTCATCAAGTGCTGTACGTGCCCGTGTGAATTAGCCCTTGATTAGTCTATCACAGGAATAGGCAAACTCGGCCCCCAGATGTTTTGGGACTACAGCCCCATCATCCCTAGCTAACAGGACCAGTGGTCAGGGATGATGGGAATTGTAGTCTCAAAACATCTGGAGGGCCAAGTTTGCCTATGCCTGGTCTATCACATATCGGAGTCTAGGCATGCATTTTGCAGAGGGTTCAGAGTGCCCTTGTTAACTTGCTACTGAATTTGAAATCCAGGAAGGATGAGACAGAGGCTTGCATTCAGGATGCTGCACTGAAGACTACAAGCAGAGGTGTTGCGACACAGGAGATCCTCTTGCTGCTGTTTGCAATAACACCGCATTGTCCGTTGGACTTGCACCATCCATGAAAGCATTGATATATCTTACGAGATATCGGCATGTCCAGAAACATGATGCAAATTTGTCTTCCAAACCCTGGCTTTCTTGGAAGCTACTAGGCGTAGTTCCTGATTGGTTCATGATGGGATTAGCAGGGATTAACTGTGCTCCTGAGTTAGTGAAATACGGTGGCATTGCACAGGGTCATCTAGCAGTCAGGACTCGGTGCTTTTGATCCTGTGCTACCAGGCACTCTGCCTTCCCTAGAAACCTAACTGATTAACAACAGGAGGAGCAGATGCAAAAGAATTCAGGGCTTTCTGTACTCTTATCAGTTGTGCAAAAGGGATAATTTCAGCAGCTACACCTAATAAACTGCACCCCTGCTAAAATTCCCCCTTTTGCGCAACTGTTACAGTAGTCCTGACCTCTTTTTCATCTGACCACTATAGTTGTCTTTTGACTCCACAAGCCAATCCCTGGTCACCTAGTCCAGTGGTTCTCAACCTGTGGGTCCCCAGAGCTGTTGGACTACAACTCCCATCATCCCTAGCTAGCAAGGCCAGGGCTCAGGGATGGTGGGAGTTGTAGTCCAACAACATCTGGGGACCCAGAGGTTGAGAAATGCTGACCTAGTCCTAATCGAGAAATCTACTATACACCTTACCAGCTAGTTGGCTCAGATCTAAGGTTTTGCAAGCTTCTGCTATCTAGCATTATGTTTTACAAGGTAACCTCATTATGTTGCAAATGGACTGGAGAAGGTTTTGATTTTATAATTCCTTCCTTTCATCTAGGAAGCTTAACTTCTTGGTATTTTCCTGCCATTGGTGTGTTGGGTTCCTCTGCTTTGCTTCTTTGACTGTTCATCAGGTATGAAGAACTTCTGGTCCAGTGTTTCTCAAACTTGGGTCTCCAGCTGTTGTTGGACTACAATTCCCATCATCCCTAGCTAGCAGGGCCAGTGGTCAGGGATCATTGAAGTTGTAGTCCAACAACAGCTGGGGACCCATGTTTGAACACTGTGCCTGGTTCCTCAGGTTTGCTATCCCTACTGTACAGAGGGCACTTCCGCTTCTCACTTCCTACTTTGGAGTTCTCAGAATAGTAAAGAATCCATAACAGATTACTGTTTTCTTTAGCTCCTTGCTTCCCTACTTCTCATACCTATAGTATGAATAGTAATCTCATAATACAAGACTCCTGATAATCTAGGTTACAAATGCACTTCAAATCATGGTTACGGTAACTGGTTTGTGGAGATAAGTGTTATGTACTGAAGTTCTCACTCTGGGCCAGCAGGGGGATACTGTAGATAGTTTTCACTCAGGTCCACATATGCAAATAAGGGATTGAAAGTGACGTTCAGTGATTGGATAGTTACAGAAAGTTGTTACAGTTGCATTGTACTGGAGCTCTATATAAGCAGGCTGGCTGAACCCTTCAGTTCAGTTCTGTTCTGGCCTGTGAATAAACAAGAGCTGTTTGAAGAATTGCTGTGTTCGTCTGATATGTTCACCCACAACTTAACATTAAGCACAGTTAGAATGAGCAATGGTTTGTATCAGGAACTAAAACAGGAAAATGGTGCTGCTGAAAGGAATGGACTTCACATGAATGGCTGACTCCCGACTAGGAGATCAGAGTTTGCTAGAAAATACTCTTCTTCCTCCAACAAAGGAAAGTTTACAAAACACACTTTAATAAATAATGTTCAGACGCCCTGAATTTTCTCCCTCGGCAAAAAAAGAGAACTTTTTAATTTTAAAATCAATATGAGTAACAGGAATCTTTCTTTTTCTTGCCTTTGCAGGATGTGTCCTCGTGGTGTCCATAATAGAACAGCTTGCTCAAGTCCACAATTCTACAGCAAAAGAAGCTCTGGAGAGGCTCTGTCGCTACTTACCTGGTAAAAAAGCAATGTACCATATGTTGGTCTGTTCAGTGATTATTATGAATTCACACGTGTGACTGTAAATGTTGCACTGCTATTATTAGTCGCAACTTGGCTTAATGCAACTGAAGGCTATCAAAGCGTTATACATGGGACCTATTTTTGCTTCCTTAATTTGACAGCAATTCAGTGTTTATCTTGTTTAAGGGTGTAAGAATAGCACTAGTGATTCAGATGGAGGGCCATTGTATGTAATCAGTAGAAATGTGGTTCTTTCTCTGTCTTCCTTTAGGTCAGCTGTTCTCAATTTTTTTCTCTGGGCCACACTTTCAGAATAAACATTTGCTCGTGCCACACTGATTTCTTTCGTTTCTCTGTTCAAACAGTGATTCTGGATCACAACTAAGATTGTCCTCAGCATCGCTTGATGCTTTTGCTCCCAATTAAAAAATATATCTATCCATCTTCTGCAAATGAAAACACATTTTGATACTATACTATACTATACTGTACTGTTCTGTACTAAATGTTTCTTTGAAGATTCTTTGAATCTTCCTGCCACGCTTGCCAACTTCTCTTGCCACACCAGTGTGGAGTGCCACACCTTTGAGAACTACTGATTTCGGATGTAGATGGAGAGGATTATTTGAGTGGTTCCTGTTGGGGAAATATGTATTACGCACACCGAAAAGTATCGTGCAAGGCAGAAGACTAAGCTAGAGCACACATCCCTGACATTAAAAGTTTATATATGCAGGGGGGTTTTGGTTGCCCCAGTCCATTCCAATATGCGTTTCTAAAACATGTGCTGTCTGCAGTGGTACAACACAGAGAAAACAAACTATTCTACACTGGTGCATGCTGAGATATGTGTGTGTTTAGTGAGTTATTCACCATGATCCCAGGATACCTTTCCTGGATTTTTATTATTATTATTATTATTATTATTATTATTATTATTATTACTATTATTATTGTTGTTGTTGTTGTTGTTATTTTCTGGCTTGGTGATGAAGAGATGAGGAAGAGAAAAAAAGACAGGATGTGCCCAGGCAGGTAGGAAAATATACAGTGGTACCTCAGGTTACATACATTTCAGGTTACAGACGCTTCAGGTTAAAGACTCCGCTAACCCAGAAATAGTGCTTCAGGTTAAGAACTTTGCTTCAGGATGAGAACAGAAATCGTGCTCTGGCGGTGTGGCAGCAGCAGGAGGCCCCATTAGCTAAAGTGGTGCTTCAGGTTAAGAACGGTTTCAGGTTAAGTACGGACCTCCAGAACGAATTAAGTACTTAACCCGAGGTACCACTGTATATTGCTACCTGTCAGGTCACAGTGGGAGTGTCTCTCGCAGAGTCCTCTCTAGTCAACTTACAGGAAAACTCTCTGAGCTTCTGCTCCAACCATGTGCCTATTTAGCAATACAGGAATTGTTGGTTTGATTGCACTTTAAATATCCCACACCAAAGAAGAGTAACAAAAAGCATCAGTAGAAGAATAATCAGAGGCCGCAATGTCTTACAAGGTACTCACTTTGGGGACGGACACTAGCTAGCTTTTTAGAAGAACTGGAGAAATGAATGGAGGACGTGCTCCATCACTGACAATTTGCTGTCACGGGAAAATGTCAGGACGCCTCCTTGACAGATGCTGGGGGAGAGCTTCAGGGGACGGATCCATCACGTTCTGCTTATGAGCTTCCCAGAGGAATCTCACGGGTGATTCTTCCGTTCTTATGCTAATCTTCTCTTACTGCTACATCACCTAAGCCAATCATAGTTTTTGAGGAGTGGCAGTTAGTCCTTTTGAATATTTATGAACAGGATTTGTGATGCCCATAAGAATTCTGCGCATTAAAAATTATTGTAGCCAGATGATATTTTATGTCTCCTTTCTCGATGTTGTGGCAAGAGAAGGAGCATGGCTAAGGGATGTGTGTGTATTATAAATGCACAGCTCTCCGTCTCTTGTTCTTTGTCGGAGGGCATGTTAGGGAATTGAACATCTCCAATAACTTGCCTTTTTGGCAAACATTTCTAGCAGTGCTTTAAGGAACCCATTTTCTCCCCGCCTTCTCCTTAGCTTTATACTAGGAGCATGATAAGAACAAGGAATCTAGTGTTAGTCAAGGGCACAATTTTAATTGGCCAAATTAAACTTATGCAGATTAACCATAATGTGAAAAATGGACAGAGAGGAATTCTCTTTATAAGGAAGGACAATGAGATAGGCTAAAAGCTCAGTTGAAATACAGATGACTCACCTCAGATCAGAAGGAACAACTGTGTGCTTTGAAGTTTCATGAAGAAATTGTATGACATGATTCTTTTCTTTCTTTAAAAGATGTTTTTCTTCTTAATTTTCTTCTTTTACATCTTGCCACCTTGCACCTAGAACATTCACCGTGCCCTTTTAAAGCTACTGAGAATGTAGATTTTTTTAGCAGCTGTACTTGTACTTTTGTACTTCTTTCTGTATTTGCATATTTACTGATCCAAAATACTTGTTGCATGCTATCCCAATCTCTGAGAGGCGTACATCTGCCTGTTTAAACCCACTTGTACCTATCTTTCCTTGCTTCCTTCAAAAATAACCTCTGATATTCATTAACTTATTAACAGTGGTTTTTAGAGTGTCTTACAATTGGAACTGCAAAGTTTAGTTGGTAATCAGTGGGTTAATCAACTAAAGATTTACGGTGGGGGCAAATTTTAATTGGTGAGGCCATGAATGAGTTTGAAGGGCACTTAAATATATACATTTGTGGATATATATCCTGGTTTCAGTGTGCTGCTTTTAATGTGGGGGCAAATTTTAATTAGTGAGGCCAAGAATGAGATTGAAGCACACTTTCGTTTGTTTTTAATTATTATTTTGTCTTTGCGCTGTGTGATCTCGGGGGAAAAGAATATATTAAAGATAACCTTTCAGTCTTTCACATGAGTGATAGCAACGAAATCATCTCAACAGAAAAGGCAGCTACGTTAAGGCCTTACTAATCTGCAAATCTGTTTAAATGCAATTGTTTACATGATCACTCGGTTTAAAGGTAGCTAAATAGTCAACTAATAAATCGTCAGCCAGTGGACAGCTTTAGTCCATTTATCCTCACAAAAATCTGTTGGGTGGTTTAGGCTACAAGATTCCTTGCTCAAGGCTGACCAGGGCTCAGCCACATTTGCACTTGTCCCGTTTTGAGAAAACATAGGTATGAGTAGTTTTCCACTTGCTCTGCTCCTTTCCCAGGGAAAGCCTGGTCCTTAGCTCTAAATCAAAGCAAACATCAATCTGGAGAAAATACGAATTGCCATTTGCTCTAACTGAGCACTGAAGACACACCACGCAAATATCCTGCTTTGAGCAGGACATTCTGGATTGACAGAAGCCGCCCCAGAAGCTTCCTGCAACAGCATAGCTGTCAACCTTCCCTTTTTTTGCGGGAAATTCCCTTATTCCAGCGCCGTTTCCCACTGCTTTCCACTACTATCCCAGATTGTTAAATATCCCGTAGACTGTCCCCAGGACAGGTGAGGCTGCTGATCCCTTATTTTCAAATCTGAAAGTTGACAGCTATGTGCAACAGGCCAGTGCTGAAAGTTGTATCAACGGAAGTATAGTGTCTTGAGGGAAGTCATAGTCTTGCTCTATTCTGCCTTTGTCTGACCACACCTGGAGTCCTGTGTCCGGTTCTGGAAGCCACAATTTAAGAAGGCGTTTGACAGGGTAGAATGTGTGCAGAGGAGGGTGACCAAGATAATCATGGGTCTGGAAGCCAAGCCATATGAGGGACAGTTGAGGGAATTTGGTATGTTTAGCCTGGCAAAGAGGAGATATGGTGGCCATCTTCAAATTTTTAAAGGGCTGCCACATGGAAGATGGAGCAAGCCTGCTTTCTCCTGCTCCAGAGGCTAGGACCCAGACCAATGGATTCAAGTTTTTAACTAAATAAGAAGAGCTTTCTGTTTAACAGTGGAATTGGCTCCCATGAGAGATGGCGGACTCTCCCACCTTGGTGGTTTTTATGCAGATGTTGGATGGCCATAAGTCATATATGATCTGGTTGAGATTCCTTCATTGCAGGGAGTTGGACTAGATGACCCTCAGGATCTCTCCCAACTCTACAATCCTTTGATTCTATGAAACAGGATGCTGAACTAGAAAGACACTTGCTCTGTTCCTGCAGGGAATCTCTTGGCTTCTTAATGGCACTTTGGTGTGTTCAAATAGTCTTTTAAGTATGTGCACTCACTTTTTAAATGTGTTGTTTTCCAGAAAAGTTGCACTTACAAGGAGCATGCATTCTGACCGCTGAAATATTTGGACCACATATAATTAAGTTGTGAGTATTAGCGCGTCATAAAAATAAGTAAATATGTATGCTATGTAGCCATTTTATACAGAGGCTAAAATATTCATTTCCAGTTGGTGCCTGACAGGTGTCCAGATTCATTCATCATTTTATTTACGTTGTAAAGTTGCTTGTTGTTTACCCTTATTATACCTTTCAAAATCTTTCTGTGTTAGTCGTTCTCCTTCACTTTTTAAAAAGGAACCATAATAATAGCATAAAAGGTAAAGGTAAAGGGACCCCTGACCGTTAGGTCCAGTCATGACCGACTCTGGGGTTGCGGCGCTCATCTTGCTTTATTGGCCGAGGGAGCCGGCGTACAGTTTCTGGGTCATGTGGCCAGCATGACTAAGCCATTTCTGGCGAACCAGAGCAGCACACGGAAACGCTGTTTACCTTTCCTCCGGAGCAGTACCTATTTATCTACTTGCACTTTGACGTGCTTTCAAACTGCTAGGTTGGCAGGAGCAGGGACTGAGCAACGGGAGCTCACCCCATCGTGGGGATTCGAACCGCCGACCTTCTGATCAGCAAGTCCTAGGCTCTGTGGTTTAACCCACAGCACCACCCGCGTCCCAGTAATGACATAGATAAAGGGTAAAGGGACCCCTGACCATTAGGTCCAGTTGCAGACGACTCTGGGGTTGCGTCGCTCATCTCTCTTTATTGGCCGAGGGAGCCGGCATACAGTTTATGGGTCATGTGGCCAGCATGACTAAGCCGCTTCTGGCAAACCAGAGCAGAGCACGGAAACGCCGTTTACCTTTCCTCCGGAGCGGTACCTATTTATCTACTTGCACTTTGACATGCTTTCAAACTGCTAGGTTGGCAGGAGCTGGGACAGAGCAACGGGAGCTCACTGACCTTCTGATCGGCAAGCCCTAGGCTCTGTGGTTTAACCCACAGCGCCACCTGTGTGACATAACCAAGCTTAAATAAGGTTGCATCACACCAAGGAAGCCAATGATGTAGGGCATAGGTTTTCAACCTTTTGAGCCCATGGCTCCCTTGACCAACTAAATTCTTTCTGTGGCACCCCTGGGGGGCTCAGGAGCCCAGTTGGTCACCCCTTGCCTGCAGAGCTGGCAGCCTCTCATCCCTTTTCAAAAACCCTCGCTTGTGGAGTATGTCCTCAACCTTCTCTTTGCTCCCCTCACCTTGGGAGTCCTCTGGGCAGCCGCAGATGCCGCCCCGGCCTCTGAGTTGCCCCTCTCTCTCAGCCCCAAATAGAGGTGCCTCTTCAGCCTGCCCAAGCACCCCCGGGTGAGCTCTGGAGGCACCATTCACCTGGGGAGCTTGTAGCCAGGGGTGCTGCAACAAGCAGCTGTGCAAGCCTTTGGGAGGCAAAGACATGAGAGGGCATCAGAGGAGGGAAGCAAAGAGGGACAGAGGCTAGTGTTGCCCACAGCACCCCTGACCATCATTCAAGACACCCCAGGGCACCACAGCACACTGGTTGAAAACCACTGTTGTAGGGGGAAGGACCTTAGAAATAGGACCATAGGAACATAGGAAGTGGCCTTTTACCGATTCAGAACTTTGGACGATCTAGCTCAGTATTATCTGCAGCGGCTGTCGGGCCCTCAAGGGTTTCAGACAAGAGTCTCTCTTAGTCCTACCTGGAGATGCCAAGGATCAAATCTGGAACCTTCTGCATGAAAAAGCAACTGCTCTGCTGCTGAACTACGCCCTTCCCCAGATATGTGCATGTGTGCAATACCTAACACATATTTGAGGATCCTCTATGTTGCACCAAAATATAAGAGGATGTTTGTGTAACATAGCTCTGTGCTCTCTCGTTTGACAGTGGAGTTGCTTAGCAATTATTGGTCTGCTGGTGAACGTAAATTGAACTGTTCTAGCTAACCTAGCTTGCAGTTAATGTAATTTTCTTCTTGTTTCCAATTTCTGACCTTAATCCCAGCATTTCAGAGCCTTGTAAGCTAATGTAACCTCCTTTCAGATTAGTGTTGGTGAAGTGAAAGCTTGGTGATTATGTAATTATATATCTTTTGAGTACATAACCTAAAAATGAAGCAGTACTTCTATAATCAAGTAATTCAGTAATATCATATTGATTAATATAGCACACATTCAACAGCAAGTCTGACCAAGACTTGGTAAAAGTCAAGAGTATCACTGAGATCCACCAATATGAAAATCAGTGGTACACTTTTAGTCTTTGTCTTTCCTGTAATTTGCTAAAATAGGGACAGCCATTCTGATGTTTCATTTATCCACTGCTGCAAAAAGGTTTAGAATCTAGGGCTGAAAATAATCACAACCCAGTCCAAATCACCGAGCTATGGTCAAACAGGCCTATATTAAAATGGATCTTTAATTGTTTTTGTTTTTTTAAGATTTACATTTCCACTGAAGGAGCTGGTATTTAGTCAAAAGAACCTAACTGAGTTTTTGCTTTTTGGCATCATTTCCTTTCAGGATGGAGCACAAAATGAATCCAGATGTGGTGTGCCATTCCATTGGCTTGTGCAAACAAAAGCCAGGTCAACCATTTTGTCACCTGTACCCCCCTCCTAAGGTGAGTTCTGCTGGGAAATGAAAAGCCATCTTTAAATTTCTTGTTCATAAGAGTCTATCCAAGAAAGAGGGCATCACTCTTTCAGTCTCAGAACCACTGATACATCAGTGAACAACTTTTAATCTGAATGAAGCATTGGTAGGTTAAGCCAATGGTCAAATGCGTTAAAGATTGCACCTGTCACTTGGTAGCTTTCTTCATGCTTGTACTTTACCTTTCTTGCACCCCTTTTTGTTCATTCATTCATTCCATTTCCCCCCTTACTTTTCTTCCAAGAAGCTCAGCAAGGTCCCATGCCTCCCTCCATTTAATCTTCACAACACCCTGTGATGTAGATTAGGCTAGGAGATAGTGATTGGTTCAAAGTCACTCCCAGCAATGGTTGGACTAGCAAATACCATTTTATTTCTAGAACAGCATAACTGTTAAATTTATAGCGAATCACATATCAGTTCTATTTAATGGCATTTCTAGAGATAGAATAGCTTTCCATATCTTTGAAAACACAGACTCTTCTGAGATCAGCAAAGATGCAGCGGATGCAAGGATCTTTGTTGTGTAGACTCTGAATTCAGACCTGGGTTCCCAGTTCTTTGGGAAGACTTTCTTTGTGCCCACAGTGGGGTGATGGGGGAAGAAGAACCATATGCAACCAGTGATATAGGCTGACCTCTCTGCGTCTCTCCCAGCCAGTCTGCAAGCTGTCATATGGTGGTGGCCAGTGCTATTTTTCTAGAAAAAGAGGTGCCGGAATTCCCCATGGGCACCTCCCTCGTTCCCTTAGAATGGTAATGGCACCCACCCGAAAGGTGCCAGAACTGAGTTCTGGGGAGTTTCAGCTGAAAAAGCCCTGGTGGTAACTATATTGGATGCCAGAAAAAAGAGAAAGAGGAACTCAGTCCACTGAGGGGAGGTCAATCTACAACTGCTAGTCATGACTGCTAAGTGGAGTCTCCTTGTTCCAAGGCAATATACTTCCATTTCAGAGCTGTTGGGGAATGCTATAGGGTACAGCAGTGTCCCTTTTGTGAGACTCCCAGAGGCAACTGGCTAGATGTTTTAAAATGCAAAAGCATGATCTTTGATCCAAGGCAACAAGGCAATTTTTAATATTCTTTAAAATAGCTTGGTTTGCTCTTTGTAGCGGAATTCAACCTCCGTGGCTCATGGGCATGTTAATAAAATATTCAGAATGGATGTAGGTACCATTGAAATAACGATCACACCACAAGAGTTGCAGTGTCTGATTCATGGGGACAGCTCCAGGCATTTGTGCAGTCTCTTTGCAGCCGCTGCGAAGTTCGGCATTTCTTAGGGCCTGCCATTCCGGCCATCCAAATGACTAGGCATACTGAGCACTCAAGCAGAAAGAGAACTTTTGTTTCCCTGCTTTCCCTTCTGGCGAGAGATATTTCACTTGCTTCGTGGTTCGTTCTCAGGCTGCAGTGTGACATTTGACAGAATCAGACGTTACACAGTGGCAGCCAGTGGCGTAGCGTGGGGGTGCAGGGGGGCCGGCCGCACCGGGCGCAACATCTGGGGGGGGGCGCTCGCACTCGCAGCTCTCTGCCCCTACCTGGCTCACTCACTCTCTCTCACTGCAGTGCTGGCTGTGCGAATCCGATCCGCGCCGCTGGGTCGCCGCCCACTGTGGAGGGGGTGGGTGCCAGGCGTGCGGTGCGGAGAGAGAGCGAGGGACTATTTGGGGGAGGGACAGTGCAGCGGCCGCCCAGCGCAGCACTGAGTGCGGGAGAGAACCACACCAGAGCAGCCCAGGCAGCAGCAAGAAGAATCTGGCAGCGGCGGCAGGTTAGGGGTTAGGGGGCGCAAATTACTTGCCTTGCCCCGGGTGCTGACAACCCACGCTACGCCGCTGGTGGCAGCAAACGTTGAACAGAATAACATATAGCACCTTCCCCCAAAAAGCGGTAGATAATTTTCTATACAAATCTGCTTTGCTTGTAACCAGCTGCCTGTGTCATGGCCTAGAAGGCAAAACCTTATCATGCACCTACTGAGATCATGCCATCAAACATTCTTTGATACCCAGGACTATGGCTTAATTCACATATTATTACTACCTGCTCTGTTGACTCTTTTCCTACGATTCAGGAGTGGTCTTGTGCCCCTTCCTTCCTCCACACAAGACCTGAAATGTGTGATCTAGGGACTTTGCTTTCATAGCTGTACATGTGTGGCTTCTTTCCCCTCGAAAAACTGTGGGAAATTATGTTGCTATTCCAACTACAGTCATACCTTGGGTTAAAGACGCTTCAGGTTAAATCTTTTCAGGTTACGCTCCACGGCGACCCAGAAGTAACGGAACGTGTTACTTCTCGGTTTCGCCACTCACACATGCACAGATGCTCAAAATGACGTCCAGTGCATGCGCAGAAGCGGCGAATCGTGGCCCGCGCATGTGCTGATGCGCAGACGCGGGTTGCATTCTGCTCATGTTGCGAACAGCGCTCCGGAACGGATCCTGTTTGCAACCAGAGGTACCACTGTAAAGGTAGCCATATGTCCTGACTGAGGCAGTCAGCTCTGCTACTGTTCTAAACTGTTCTTGTTATTGTTCCGTTACGCATCCATTTTGGCCTGGTCTCTTCTCTGAAATAGCTTGACATCTTAGTTTCCAACTGCTCCGGAAGTGCCAAGACTGTCACAAAACCCTAAAGCTATTGCGGCTTCTTGCTTTGTCATGCTGAGTCCCGAATTCCCATCCTTGTTGAGGAACGCTAACTGGAAATAGCTTCACATTGGGAGAAGAGGTGGGAATAGAGAGCTGCCGACTGAGGCCACCTTCTCCTCCTCTCTAACACCTCCTTTGCCACCATTCCTGGGAGTCAGAGGGAAGAGTCTTGTGCCGGGTCCGAGGGATGGAGCCAGGCCAGCCAGCCCACTGGTAGAGTAGCAACAGGCTGCCACGGGAGGCTGCAACTCTCTGGTCTGGCGGGCCCCTAGCCACTCACCCAGCTGGCCATGCCAAATAAAAACAAGAAGGAGAAAGTGAGCCCCGTATTCCAATAGTTTCATTCAAAAAGTGGTCTTCAGCCTTTCAGCGCTTTGGATTGAAAGCTAGCAATTACATTCTTCTTCTGCATTATAGAAGGCCATAGTAAACAAACAGATGGTCCTTTTTTAATTATTTCCATTAGGCAGAGTGCGCAGAAATGTTTATGATTATTCATTTATTTAGATTTCTAACCCACTCTTCATTAAAAAATAATCTCAGAGCAGGGTACGATATAATAAAGCTAATGCATAATAAAATATAAGTTGTGTGAAACAAAACACCATCAGCACCGTATGATGCTGTGTTATATGTTATATAATAATAGTATGATTTTTCCCCACTATTAATCGCTCTTTATCATCTTATTCTCCATAAAGCTGTTTCTTGGAGAAGCTCCACAAAACGTCATGAAGTACTTTGCACTTCCCAACAACCAAAATGGCAACAACTAAAAAGCAACTCCAGTTGGCTCCTTATTACATTTTTCCAGTCTAATGTGATTAGGGTGATGCAGAACTAAAACCAAATCATTATCCTTACTTTAATACTTTCTTGTAAGTGGCCCATTACCAGTGCCATCTTAATTAGTAGGACGGTGTGACGGACAGCAGAGTCTGGTGCTGCAGTGCCTCTGAATCCCACCAGAGGGCTGAAGCCTCTCTCTGATTGGCTACCAGAAGGGGGTGGAGCCAGCACTTTGGGAGGGCGAATAAAAGGAATTGTACTTTGTGAGGAAAAGAACTCTCAGCACCCATAAACCCTTGAGAAACTACATTTCCCAGGGTTCTTTGGGGGAAGCCATGACTGTTTAAGCGGTATGATACCTCTTTAAACATATGGCACAGATGAGGCCAAATTAGAATCTACCTTTCCATAATTAAAACCAAATTTTGGCTGAGACTTTTTGGAAACACGTAAAAGAATAAAGTAAAGAGTATTGACAGGTACTTGCTGTTGCACAGGACCAGGCCACGTGTGAGCAAGTTGCTGGATGAAATCACAATGTGGTTTCAAGATCCCTGTGGACTCCGTGCAGGGCAGTTCTTACAGATCAGTGGAGCTGTTGACAAGTACCTAGAGATGTCTGCAGATTAAAAATGAGTCCCCTTGCCCACTCCAGTTAAATTCAGGTGGCCTGCTGTGTAAGCTGTGCTTTACTATTCTTATTTTTCCAGTTTGGAGCAGATCCAGTGAGTGTTGATGAAGATTCTGATTCCTACATTGAACACTCCATAGGTTCTTTCATTTTAATGCATGGAGATATTGTCCCCATGTAGGAAAAGTGGAGGTGAAAGTGAATTTAATTTATAGTTCCTTACCTCCATGGGGAAATGGACAAGCTTTTTACTGCAGCTGTAGCCTGTGATACTTCACCGTGGGAGGGTTGGGGAGCTTGTGACCCTCATGGGTAGGCAAACTAAGACCCAGGGGCCGGATCCGGCCCAATCGCCTTCTAAATCTGGCCTGCGGACGGTCCAGGAATCAGCGTGTTTTTACAAGAGTAGAATGTGTCCTTTTATTTAAAATGCATCTCTGGGTTATTTGTGGGGCATAGGAATCCGTTCATTTATTTATTTTTCAAAATATAGTCCGGCCCCCCACAAGGTCTGAGGGACAGTGGACCGGCCCCCTGCTGAAAAAGTTTACCGATGGGAAGTGTCCAAAAACATCTAGCAGACCAGAGGTTCCCCACTTCTCTGGTATAAGGGATTCTGTCTCACTGAGCATACTTCCACAAACTCCCGTAAGCGCACTCCAAAATCTAATCTCTGAATACCACCAAACAGAAGTTTGTTTTCTGTGGCTAGCAAAGCTTACTTCGGATATGAACCGTCAGCCTTAAGCAGATTTATATTCCCTAGCATGGACCAAAAAAAAGGGCTTGCAGAGAAATAAATGAACATTTACAAATGGAATGTGATGGAAGGTAATCAAATAATTGATGGTGGATCCAGAAAGAGATAATTGATTGTGCCCTTGCAGACACATTCTTTATTCCCTGCCCAGCTAAGCCTCAAAAGGTAGGAATTTTCAGAGTGTCAATAGGAATAATATACTGCTTTCTTTTTCTGTTTTAGATGGGCTTCAGTGTGGCTATAAAGGAATCAGAAAGTATGGTTGCAAATCAGCTCAAGGTAAGGAAGGCTGTTTTCACTATGATTGTGCCTAATCAGAACTGGTTAAGTCTGAAGCCAGATGGATATAAAATATTCAGAAATGTTCCTGAATAAACATTAAGCATTGTGGAAAGCCTTGCTTTTACTGCTGTGTGAAGAAAAATGTAACCATTAAGGATAAAGGAATAACAACAAAAAAAGATATTGAAATGGGGACCCAAGATAAAAATATATATCAAACACAAAAGAGATGTCTAGGTGTCGGGGGAGTTAATTATAGGAACTTCAAATGTTCTACTGAAAGATTCTCAGGTAGAAATTGTCAATTACAGACATTTATCCCTGACAAGGATCCATTGCTCCGCACTTGCTATCCCCCTCCTTTTCTCCTTACTCCGGTTTTGACAGTATGTAAAGAATAGTGGTTTTCCAGTTTAACATCACACCTAAAATCTTAAATCCCAAATGTTCCTTCCCTTGGGAGAAGAGCTGCGCTCTTCCTTCCAATTTATATATGTTTGTTTATTTATTTTGCTATGGCCTAAGTTTTAGCTCAATGGAGAAAAATTGCCTTCACCTTTTTGGATTTGACCAATTCTGACACAACATTGCTGAGAGAGGTGGACCAGTGGTATTTTTTTATTTTATTTTAATTTATTTTGTTCTATTTATTTATTTAACTTCCATATCTCCCATTGTCAGAAAAAGGGGAGAAGTTTATGACATAGACCACCACAAAGTCAATACAAAACATGATATATGTCCAATATAAGAATCAAAACAGCTATATAAATGCAATTATAAGCAGAGGAAATAGATAACAGCAGTGGTATAATACAATATGACATCAATCCTGGCATGACTGCACTGGTTGCCAGTTAGTTTTCATGCCCAATTCAGAGTGCTGGTTTTGACCTAAAAAGCCTTAAACACCACAGGACTGCAGTTCTTCAAGCATCGCCTCTTCCCCGTATGAACCAACCGGGACCCTGCAATCATAATCTGAGGACCTTCTTTGTGTGCCTCCTCTACCTCTACCAGAGACCCGGAAGGTGGGAAAAACATGACTGGGACTTTTCTGTGGTGGCTCCTGTTCGTGCCATGCTCTCCCCAGGGAGGCTCATCAGGGGCATCATAAATAAATGCAAATTCTCATAATAGCAGCAACATAAAAAATAGGGGGGACACGAGTAGTCTAAACCACTGAGCCTTGGGCTTGCCAATCAGAAGGTTGATGGTTCGAATCCCTGTGACAGGGTGAGCTCTCGTTGCTCGGTCCCAGCTCCTGCCAACCTAGCAGTTTGAAAGCACGTCAGAGTGCAAGTAGATAAATAGGTACCGCTCTGGCGGGAAGGTAAATGGTGTTTCCGTGCGCTGCTCTGGTTCGCCAGAAGTGGCTTAGTCATGCTGGCCACATGACCCGGAAGTTGTCTGTGGACAAACACCGGCTCCCTCGGCCAGTAAAGTGAGATGAGCGTGCAACCCCAGAGTCGTCTGCGACTGGACCTAATGGTCAGGGGTACCTTTACCTTTAAAAAATAAGGGAGGGAAAGATCAGCAGCGGGGTATGTAAAATACAAAAAATAAAATAAAAAAACAAAGAATCTTCACTCTAACCAAAAATAGCTCTAAATCATGGCACCAACACAGAAAATGTCTGACCCTCCCAGCTCTCACCTGAGACCTTTCATGTCCCTTCCCATTTTCTCCACCATGGGAGCATTTTCCTGTGCTGCTCAATTTCTGCATTACTTTCCCATGCTTAGGCATTCACTACTGCCTTTAAAATTGAGATGAGGGTGTAAAACATTGCATGGGAAGACGCTGTTTGAACTCCAGGTATGCTGATCTCATGTTACCTAGTAGCATAGGAGGAAAGCAAATCCGTTTGCCTTCGGGCTAGATATACTTTCACTTTTATGTTTCAGCTGAGCTGTATGGTTTGCTCCCTGTTTTCTGTGGGTATTTGATTGCAGTGCAAATGGCTTTCTTTTCTTTCTTTTTCTGCTGTTTGCAAAGGAATTATGATATTGCTTCTTCCCAGGTTATTGCTGTGAAGCTGGTCGCGGATGTAAAAATGTAGATTTCTAATTAATCCCTAGGTTAATGCTGAACAGTGATGCCAGGGCAATAAACAACACCCTGTAAATAAGCATTTTCAACTCAAGTTTAGAAGCAGCTGGAGGCATGTGAGCATCTTCAGATAATTATTACCTGCTCTGCTGCCATAAATTGCTTGGAGGGAGAGGGATGAAACAGGAACACAGCAGAAGTTGCACATCCAAAGCTTGGGCCCCGTCTGCACTATACATTGAAAGCAGTTTCATACCACCTTAAACAGTCATGGTATCCCCCAGAGAATCCTGGGAATGCTTGTGCTCAGAAGTCTTAAAGGTAAAGGGTAAAGGGACCCCTGACCATTAGGTCCAGTCGTGACCGACTCTGGGGTTGCAGCGCTCATCTCGCTTTATTGGCCGAGGGAGCCGGCGTACAGCTTCCGGGTCATGTGGCCAGCAGGACTAAGCCGCTTCTGGCGAACAAGAGCAGCGCACGGAAACGCCGTTTACCTTCCTGCCGGAGCAGTATCTATTTATCTACTTGCACTTTGACGTGCTTTCGAACTGCTAGGTTGGCAGGAGCAGAGACCAAGGACGGGAGCTCACCCCGTCATGGGGATTCGACCCGCTGACCTTCTGATCGGCAAATCCTAGGCTCTGTGGTTTAACCCACAGCGCCACCCACGTCCTTGGGAATGCTTGTGCTCAGAAGTCTTGGGAGACCCCTATTCCCCCAAGGAGCTACAATTCCCAGAATTCCCCAGGGAAGGTTATTGACTATTAAATCTACTCTGATAATTGTAGCTGTGTGAAGGGAATAGGGGTTCCCTAACAACTCTCCGCACCCTTAGAAACCACAATTTCCTTTGGGGAAGTATAATGCAGATGGGGCCTTAGTCTCTTTTCATTTTTAAAAAAATAATATTTATTAATTTTCCAACCGTTTAAACACAACAAAACAGAAAAAAACCAAAAAAAATACAGCAATACAATACAATACAATACAAAAACACTACAAAACACTAACACATAAGACTAACAAGACAAGACACAAACCATTTAAAACACAGAACAGTTTCAATATCTTATCTTTCATTCCCTTATTTCCACGACCTCCTCACACCTCCCTTTTTGTATTCCACTTCTGTTAATTGTTTCAGCAATTCCTTTCCATCTTCCTCTGTTTTCTATCCTATAATTATCTTAACACATTCTAACCTTATTTTTCCCTTTAATACTCTATTAATCTATTTATACTTGATTCCTTATAGCATTTCTACTAAAGCCATATAAATTCATTCCAACATTTTTCTAACATTCATTATTTTTACAGTATTTCTATAAATAGTCTTAAACTTTTTCCAGTTTTCTTCCACCGACTCTTCTCCCTGGTCTCGGATTTCTGCCAGTCGTTTCCGCCAATTCCATATAGTCCATCAACTTCATCTGCCATTCTTCCCGAGTAGATAAATCTTGTGTCTTCCAATACTTCACAATGAGTATTCTTGCTGCTATTGTTGCATACGTGAAAAAAGTTCTATCCTTCTTTAACACCAATTGGCCGACCATGCCCAGGAGAAAGGCCTCTGGTTTCTTCAAAAGGGTATATTTAAATACCTTTTCATTTCGTTATGAATCATCTCCCAAAGTGTCTTAATCCTTGGGCATGTCCACCAAAGGTGAACTCTAATCCTCAAATTCGTCTGTTTTTCTTAAAGTTCAGTCATAGCAAGCGTCAACTTATGTTCATCAAATTGCCTCTGTAGGGCTGGGGCTCTCTTTCTCTTTCTCTCCAGTTATGTTACTTTACATTCAGCAACAACGGCTTTTTCCCTGGCTTCCTCCGCAGTTTGCCGTATCAAAGTAGGTTCCTGTATCAATTTCTGGGTGGTTTCTGTATTGGTATTATTTATACTTTCTATATTTAAGTTAATTTTAGTAATTGAAACATCCACTTTCGCATTTATCATGTCCATTTTCCTGTTAAGCTGATCCAGTGAGTCATTTATCTTATATAATGCAGCCACTAAAGCCTCTTCTGTCGACATTCCTCTTGGTTTTAAATATACTGGTACAAAGGCAGCGACAGAAGGAGCAGGGGGGCCTGATGATGGACCTCTCCTGGATTGTTGCCAAGTCCTCCCAGACCTTAATGTTTTGTCAGCAGTTGACTGGTCTGTTTTTCCTCTTCCATTTACCATAACACTTAAAAGATTCAAGGTCAGTCCCAGAGTCTCACGGTTTTTAACTTGCAGCTGGAAATTCCCCTAACCCAGCTCTTGTAAAGCAACCGGTTTCAAAGGCTTCCACTAGGGGGAAACAGTTTCTATTTGTAATAGTCAATAGTATCCTCTTTTAAACAATCCAAAATTCAGTTTCAATTTTCAGTTACTTTTACTCCTTTTTAAAGCAGCCGGAGACAGTAGAAACAATGTATTTCTCTTGTTTAACTAGCTGTCAATGAACGTTCTAAACGCTGTCAATGAACATTCCAAAAGACGTCAGTCCTGCTAGCAGCCCGTTTCCAGGGTCAGAGCGGCGGTGTTTTAAATCTCTTCGCTCTCTCCCACAGGCATACTCAACCCGCAACTTCCCCTCTCTTCTCCTGCCTCCAAGAGGGGTTTAATGTTCTTTACCGATAGAAATTTAATCTTTTACAAAAGGCTTTCCAGGACTCCAGCTTGCAACTTCATTGCCTCAGTCTATTTACAAAAGGGGAGGCAGACTTCCTGTTTTGAACCTCCCCGTTACGGTACCAAATTAAACATTTAGAAATCCAATTCTTCCACTTCAGCTCTACTCACGGGTAATTCCTTTAGAGTCAAATTGTCCACAGGAAAAGGTCAGCGCTCTCCGGCAACAGCTATGCGGCTTCGCTCCGTGAAAGAAGCAGACGATTCGATGCACTGCGCCGCTCACCCAACGTCGCTCCGGACCCCCAAAAACCAGGGTTCCCCGCGAGTGGGGGGGGGCGCAAAAGGTGCCCGCCGAATCCCACGCTCACAGGCTTCTCCCGCCTTTGATTTTAACAGGTCTCCGCCTTCGCCGTGGCGGCCAGACCCAGATTCCCACGGAGCAGATTCCTCCCGGTCAGAGGAATTCCACCATTACCGGAGGCACCTCCCCGGAAGTGGGCCTTAGTCTCTTTTCAGATGATACCTTTATACTGCAGGACTTGCCATCTGCAGATTCGGCTCAAAAGGACCCTGTCCAAGACCAGGGGAGCTACTGGCAGTCAGTGTAGGCAATACTGAGCTCGATGGAACAGTGGCCTCATAAGGCAAGTTTATGTTACATCAATGGTGAGGTCGTGTGACTAAGGACCAGAACTGTTGCTTCCAGAGGTTCACATGGAAGCTGCTATGTGACTTTCCAACTTGTCATCTTTTGAAGCACCAGAACCGTGGATGCTCTTTTGCAACATGGTCAGAGGGGGCCTCATCTTCTCTCATGGCAGACACTTTGCCTTTTGAGCAAATGAAGATATAGCTTTTTTCCCATTTTTTCAGCCCATGCAGAAGAAGCTCTGCCTGTGGGGCCACTTAAATATAGTGGATGGACAGAGAGCTGAACTAGGGGGAACTGGATTTGAATCCTTGCTCAGGTCTGAAACAGCCACACAGAGAAGAGATCAGGGGCACAGACAGTAGCAACATCCAGAACAGTCCAAGGCCCGGTTTTAAGGAAAGCTCCAACAAGGGCTCCTGCAAAACGCAGGTCAAGGAGTAGTTGAAGTAAACCAAGGTTTCCGTAGACATTTTCCCAGCAACGCTGGTGGCATTTTGGGATGTGTGGGAGGGAGTAGACTAGCAGCGGTGCCTGTCAAAAATGTGAAGTGTTTGATGTTAATGCAACTTTGAGAAGTAGATTTTTAATCTACTTAAAAATTCCAAGCTGAAAAAGGGAAACTTTTTTAATGCTACTTACAGATAGGTTTAGACATAAGTATGTCAGTGAATGTGGGGTGGGGTGGGGGAGGGATGCAGTGCTTTATATTTATTCAAAGTGGGAGTTTCTCCTCCCGCACAGTTTCCAGATTGGCTTGTCTTCCTATCTGAGCTGCCTTTAATTTCAAAGGATTCATAGCACAATGCAAAATGTCACGACTCAGTCTGAAGCTGAAAAGCAAGCAAGTTTTCATGTTCCAAAAATCCACAGCCGCCCCGAGGGCTTTAAGAATATATCCTGGAGGTTATGTTCACATGAGCGGGTAAAATAGTGGACATAGCCAGGTGGGGGGGGGGCTGTGCCCCCTAAATCAAGTAAATAAATAAAAATACTTAACGGACTATTGCATAAGATAACTCGGTGCTGCCCCCCCCAACATAAATCCTGACTACAGTGGTGCCTCGCAAGATGAAATTAATTCGTTCCGCGAGCTTTTTCGTCTTGCGGTTTTTTTCGTCTTGCGAAGCACGGTGTCGGGAAAGTTTTGGAAAAGCTTCAGAAATCACCAAAGTCTTTAAAAACCTCAAAAAGGCTACCACACCGTGTTCTATGAGTTGCTCCTCGAAGTCAAGTCGCAACTGTATTAACGGTGTTAAGAAAAAGGAAACAAACTTGCAAGACGTTTCCGTCTTGTGAAGCAAGCCCATAGGGAAAATCGTCTTGCGAAGCAGCTCAAAAAACGAAAAACCCTTTCGTCTAGCGAGTTTTTTGTCTTGCGAGGCATTCGTCTTGCAAGGTACAACTGTACGCCTATGTGTTCCATACAAACACACCTATACATAAATACAAATTACTGTAATGAAAAATCATGCTTACATATTCTGGTTGTAGCACATGTCTCAGAATGTACTGTGCTGTAATAGTGGAAGGGTTATATGAAGACAGCCAATGAATGACCAAAAAAAAAAAAAGGTTACATGGTGCTTTGCTATGGTAACTGAGTATAGGAGTAATTTTTTGGTGCCTTTTGTGTTGCATCCCATAGAAAGGGAATATATAAGCCATATGGGATTTTTCTCTTTCCTTTGTATGCATGGTTATCTGAGTGTATTGTCTGGAACTTCCACTCAAGAATGCTGGTTCCTCTGTCAGGTTATCAGGGCAAATGTGCCTGTTTCATTTTTTCACAGCAAACCTAGTGCAAAGTGAATAGTTCACAGTTCTTCCGTGCTCCTCATATGCTTCAAAATCATGAAATGCAGCAAATGGACAAAGGGCCATTATTCTTTTAACATGACAAATTATATGGTTCTAGCCTGGAGCTTATCACAGTGGTCCCAGATTTTGAAATGATCGGCTCTTCAGATGATTGAATACATGTACCATGGATTTATTTGAGGGTGGATGCCCAAATGATGGACATTCATAAAAATTTATGGCATGCGTACCTGCATGCATACAACCCCACCAGCAATGAAAACCTCATAGCTTGAGGGCAGTTCATGCCTTTAATATCCTAGTGATGAATTTCAACAGATGAATTTATTGTTTTCATATACAAGATGAAATTCACCGTTTATCAAATCACATTTTAAATAAGAAAGCCTCTTATTTCAATGACAGCATTTCCCATCGAGGGAAATAAATATTTTTCTCCTCTCTTAATATTTTAATATGAGGGACGTGGGTGGCGCTGTGGGTAAAACCTCAGCACCTAGGACTTGCCAATCGCATGGTCGGCGGTTCGAATCCCCGCGGCAGGGTGAGCTCCCATCTTTCGGTCCCAGCTCCTGCCCACCTAGCAGTTCGAAAGCACCCCTAAGTGCAAGTAGATAAATAGGTACCGCTTTATAGCGGGAAGGTAAACGGCGTTTCCGTGTGCTGCTCTGGTGCCAGTTCGCTAGAGCAGCTTCGTCACGCTGGCCACGTGACCCAGAAGTGTCTGCGGACAGCGCTGGCTCCTGGCCTCTAGAGTGAGATGAGCTCACAACCCTAGAGTCTGTCAAAACTGGCCCGTACAGGCAGGGGTACCTTTACCTTTACTTTTTTAATATTTTAAAAGTAGAGTTGTTGTGCTTTTGAATATGAATGTTGACGTTGGTCAAGCTGAAATTTCAGTCACGCATAGCCCCAACCACCAAGGTGGTTTTAAACATTTGTGCTGAGAAGGTTTTCGTTCCCTCCCTCTTGGATCTAAGGCCTGCTAAGCTTGCCAACTCTGGAAGGCTCTGGGACGCTCTCCTGAGATCATACGAGTCCCTGCAAGATCTTGTGCAAGTATCACAAACCTTCCAGGGCCAGTGCAGCAAGCGGGCCTTGTCCAGCAAGGAAGGCTGGGAGCACAAAAGCTCTTTTCTTAAACCACAGAGCCTAGGACTTGCCAATCAAAAGGTCGGCGGTTTGAATCCCCGCAACGGAGTGAGTTCCCATTGCTCGGTCTCTGCTCCTGCCAACCTAGCAATTTGAAAGCACGTCAAAGTGCAAGTAGATAAATAGGTACCGCTCCGGCGGGAAGGTAAACAGCGTTTCCGTGCACTGCTCTGGTTCGCCAGAAGCGGCTTAGTCATGCTGGCCACATGACCCAGAAGCTGTACGCCGGCTCCCTCGGCCAGTAAAACCATATGAGCGCTGCAACCCCAGAGTCAGCCATGACTGGACCTAATGGTCAGGGGTCCCTTTACCTTTAACCCAAGCAGATACAGTGCAAAAAGACCAGGGTGCTGGTTTAGCATGCTGGCTCTGGGAGTGCTAAACATGATTTTATTGTATGCACATTACCCTTGGAACCAACCCCCCATAAGATGAGGGATTACTGTATGGCATCTTATAAAAAAAGTCTTTGTCTAGAAATAAAAACCAGGCTTTATTTTTTTTACTGCAACAATTCATGTCCCTCTTCTTGGTAACATCCTCAGTCCATCCTGTAGGTCTGCTGTGTTTGTCACATATGGGTTAATGTACGGTATTGCTTATTTTCAGCATAGCTCTTCAGGGGCTTATCATTGTTTTAAAAATATTTTGAAGTGGGAAAGTAGGGCTGCATGTGAAGGCAAAATGCTGGTCATCTGTTATTTCTGGTGTTAGCTGCCCTGAGCCTGGTCTTGGCTGGGGAGGGCGGGGTATAAATAAAATTTATTATTATTATTATTATTATTATTATTATTATTTGTAATAATAATTATTATTTTGACCATTGCATTCAGGCTCTTCCATTACTGGGAAGCATTGGGGCAGAAATTAACGTATCATAAGTAACTATGAGGAGGAGTTTTTTGTATTGTAAGTAAGGTACATCAAACACCAGCATAAAATTAAGAATTTAGTTGTGTTCAAGTTTGAGAAGAATGTTTCCATTGCTGACTTTCTGCACAGCTGTGAATTTGTTTGAATGCTGTTTTGCCCAGGAATTTAGAAATACAGTCATGTTAGTTCCCGAAGGTCGCAAACCCAGAAATGACTGTTCCGGTTTGCGAACTATTTTTGGAAGCCCAATGTCCGACGTGGCTTCCGTGGTTTCCGACTGGAGCTTCAGGAAAGCCCCCCTGGTTCCCTCTCCTTCCCGCTCAGAAGACTCCTCATCTTGGAGCAGCCCCTGATCCCCTCACAGGGCAGGGCGAGGATGAGGCCGGGTGCTGAGCAAGGAGGAAGGGGCCCTGGCAGAAGGGCCCCCAGAGAGCCTTCCCTTTCCCCTATGGCAGGCGGGTCAGAGGGTGCCTCAAGGTCTCAACCCCTTTCTTCAGGCCCACATCCACCCTCTCAGACAGGCGGTCCCAAGGGGGTGGGCTCCCTTGGGAATCACTGCCCCTCCCACTTTGGCAGCATTTGGGACGCTAGCACCCCTGGGTGACCCATGTAGAGCAGCCACTTGACCCTCTCCTTCCACCTTCGTGAGACACCTTCACCTCAGTCAATGCCTCCTTTGAAAGAATAGGTGGTTGACCTGGCTATTGCTGAGATACATCCGACATTTGAAATATACTCGGAGTCGAGTGTGGATTTCATGCTCTTTATTCAGCTCATAGTGGTGAGGAGGAATGGAAGTTCCCCCAGAATGTCTGCCTTATTTGCATTATTTACACAATGGACCCCATGTGATTGACTAATTCCGGGATTCTCCTGTAGGCCAATCAGGTTGTGGATTCCCTTCCACCTGGAGCTGGATTGCGTGGCTCCTGTGGACCAATCAAACTGCTACATTCTGGATCCTACTGTTCTAGGACCAATCAGACTGCTGCATTCTGAATCCTATTGTTCTAGGACCAGTCAGACTGCTGCCTTTTGGATCCTATTCATCTCAGTACATAACACCATGGATTCCAATTTCCCCCTACGGGAGAAGCAAACGCTGGTACTTAGTGTGATAAGTTCCTTCTCTCTAGGCAGAATTGGGATCTGGCCCTCCCAGGGGCTGCGTAGAGGGGAGGCTATCAGATGCTGAATCTTGGAGGGTTGCCCAGAGGACTAGGAGACTTTTGGTCCAGGGGCCTCCTATTTTTTCTTCCCTTCTTGGGCCATATCAGGATTATTTCTGCTCTCCCCTTCACCTGGACTAGTTAAAGGGGCCAGTAGGAACCTTTTCTTTCATGCAAGTGAACAAGAGGGGCATGTTCCTTTGAAATCACTGTGTTCCTCTCCTGTTCCTTAGTTGTTCTTGTGTGACTATACAGTTACTTGCTCAAGCATGGGTTGAACTGGAGCAAGGGGCTTGTCTCTCCCCCAAAGTATCCTCTAAGTTTTTTTTTTAGAGACTTCCTGCCAGTGGTGAGATGGGCAGAGACAAACCCACATTCTGGATCCCCGTTCTCCCCTACAGAGAAGGAACTAATCATGCTAAGTTCCAGTGTTTGCTTTTCTCCTCCTAGGAAAACATTCATCGGTTATCAGGCGTGTGTTCAGTTCCTTTTCTGAAGCAGCTGTGTGAGAAAATCCAATCGTATGTATTATTTTCTTTTTTTAAAAAAATAAATCTTTATGCTACCCATTGATTAAAATATATTTTTAGTTTACTGCAGAAGGTAGATATCACACACACACAAAACACCACTTCTCAAACAGCATAACTCCTCCCCATTATATTCTCTGAGAAAGGAGATATAATCTGCCGGATAATGTTGGTGCCACAAGAGCCATTTGAACACTTACAGATCAAAATGCTGTACAGTGGTGCCTCGCAAGACGAAATTAATTCGTTCTGCGAGTTTTTTTGTCTTGTGAATTTTTCGTCTTGCGAAGCACGGTTTCCCGGTTTTAAGAAAAAGGAAACAAACTTGCAAGACGTTTTCGTCTTGCGAAGCAAGCCCATAGGGAAATTCGTCTTGCGAAGCAACTCAAAAAACGAAAAACTCTTTGGTCTTGCGAGTTTTTCGTCTTGCGAGGCATTCGTCTTGCGAGGCACCACTGTATTCATAGATATGTTGTCATTTGTTCTCCATGTGCTGATGTTAATGCACTTTTAAATCTTGCTGCCCGTGTTGGCTTTGTGACTCAGTTCCACTATATACGTAGAAGGCCTAGAAGCTGGAAATGTGTTAATAGCCACTTAGCACACAGGTTATAAAAAAACCCTTTTCAGCAGGGTAAGATTTATGCAAAATTTGTGTAATGTCACATTTCGTGAAAACGTCACTGACTCCCTGTATATTAAAGATGCTAATGCCAGCACTACGAAAGAGTAACTGATATTATCAAGGATGGATGCAATAAATATAGTGTGAGATAGAGGCAATGTCTGGGTACTTTACAGTGGGGACGAACAGCCCTTTTTACATCGAGGGCCACATTCTTTTGGGGGTAGTCTCTCAGGGTCCACTTGCCAATTGTAGGTGGAGCCAAAGTCAAAGAGAGGCAAAAGTATTATCCAGAATCATTTCCACCCTGCTTCAGTTTTCACTATTGGAAATTGGATTAAAATTTCCAGTCTTGTGTCAGTCTATTCAGAAGTAAGTCCCACTGCGTTTGATGGGGTTACTCTCAAAAACTGGCGGAGGAAGGGGGCGGGGGAGCATATCGCCCCTGACACCATTGGGGAGGGTGGTACCATCACAGCTGCCCTCTGACAATGCACCGTGCACCCCCACCATGTGCCATGCCCCCGGGACGCATGCCAGCCACGCCTCTGCCTGCTCTCCGCCCCTGGTGCTGGAACATGCAGCTTCACCACTGGTCTCAAATAAGTGTTATGGGGGGTGAATTATAAGAACAGTCCAATATAGATACTGTTCTGGAAAGCAAATGAAATTGATTTTTTCTGACTTTAGTGTGCTAGACCATAGCTGTCAACCGTCCCTTATTTGGCGGGAAACTCCCTTATCCCAGCGCCGTTTCCCGCTGCTGTCCCAGATTGATGATATCCCGTAAATTTCCCAGGTTTCAAAGGAAGCAGCTCCTCTCCCTGCCGGCCAGGGAGGAGGGAGGCTCCAACTGTGTTGCTTGGCTGCGTTGCTCACCCAATAAGGAGTCTAAGACCGACTGGGGGGGTGGAGCTTGCATGCCTTGTGCCAATCAAATCGGCCACGTTGCCTGGGGACTCGCCTTTGCTCAGCGCTTCCCAGCGGAGAGGTGACGGTGGTTTTCCTTGCTGCATCCCCTTTGCCGGGTTGCTGCGCTGTGGGAACCACCACTTGAGGCTTCGTTTGGCTGCTGGCTGGGCTTTCTGCCTTTGGCTCAGAGGGGCTCAGAAGTTGAACATACCTGTGCTCAGAATCGGATGGATACATCATTGATGGCCCACTCACCCTTGCCGGGGGAAAGGTCTGTCTGGAGCGGCGGCGCATGGTGGGGGGGAAAGGAAATCCCTTATTTTGGCTGCTGATCCCTTATATTCGAGGCTGCTGGTCCCTTATTTTCTGTAAGTTGACAGCTGTGGGCTAGACACACACTATATGGCAGGAACCAGCCAATTAACGATCAGACAACTGGATGGGGTTCTTTCCCTCAAGACATATAAGCCGGAAAGATGTTTATTCAAAAATCATCCATTTATTTTTATACAGTAACATACTGTTCATCCCAGTTGTTCTGAATCTGCACCAGGAGGGGGAAAATGGTTTCAAATGTAAAAAAAAAGGGGGGGTGAACAGAGAGGAAGGCACACTGATGGTATGCTAGAATTGGGGCAGCTTCAAGAGGTATCAGAGGCCGCATAAAATGAAGTCAGGGGCTGCATGTGGTTCCTGGGCCTCAAGTTGTCCACCTGTGCCTTGCAGAAAGAAAAGGGGAAGCAGGACTAAAGGAAATTATTGATTCTAATACCTCAGAGCACCTGGCAGCACAGATATTTTCTATCTTTTAACTAACACCATGCGGTTTATGTCATCTCCTTACAACATTGTTTATGACTCTTGCTCTTGATTTTAGCAGAGTAAGGAGGAAAGCTAACGGACCAAAGAAAACCCCCAAACAAAATCTCATTTTAAACAAGTGTTTTAGTGTCAGATACAGATTTACTGCATAAAATCTGTGATACTAAATCCCAGGGCTTGAGAGTGAAAATCATCCAAGTAGAAAGTAAAAGAAGCTCCCACTTGTAATAATAAAAGGATATAGCCTTGAAGCAGGTTTCTAAGGAAAAGGTAGTTTTTTCTTAAAAGCATATTTTAAGCCAAGACTTGGGTACCTTTCTGAAAACCATTTCCCCTCCGCCCCAACCTTCAGGAGTTGGGTTAATTTCATACTCTAGAGCAGGACTGGAGTATTGGCAAAACCTATTTGGTGTTTCACAACTTTCTGACTAGTTGCAGGACCTTAGCCATATCTAGCAGAGTACACGCAGAATCCATAGAAGCAATTGGCAACTTGGCTGCAGACAGGATAGACAAAGCAGGAACCAGGAACTTGTAGTTAGGTGTTTATTATATACAGTGGACTATTTACAGGAACAGAACACGGATCTTTTGCTAGCTCTCTCTGACACGACTCACAACTCCTACACTGACACACTGAACCACTGAACTCCAAACTACCACTTAGTAGGCCATTAATTATCACTCCTTTGAGAGAGCTTGACCAATCAGGGAGTGGTCTCCATGTCTCTGTTATCACCAGGCAGACTTACTCCTTCAGATTGCCTTCTGGCTGTCTGCCAAACCTTAATTGACTCTGTGTGAGTAGCTGCACGTACACAGTTTCCCAACATGGAGGACCTTGGGCCATTCAGATGTTGCTGAAATATAACTCCCATCATTGCTAGCAAGCATGGCCATTGGTCAGGGATTGCAGGCAGGACTAATAGCTTAAGGTTGCCATACATCCGGGTTTATCGGACTGACAAAATGGTGTCCAGGCAGATTTTAATTTGGACCATATGTCCATATTAGGGCTGGGCCGATGTATCGTCCAAAACCGGTTTGAAGTCCATATTGTGATACTGGTTTGATCATTTTTGACCTGGCAATATATCATGAATCAGTGTGTGTGTGTGTGCGCGCGCGCACGCGCACGCGCTATGGAAAAATCACAATATGGGGAAAACCTTGAAGCCAACCAGTGCCTCTACATAGCTCCATCCTTATTTCAGACTGTGATACAGTCAAACTGTTAGTTTCTGTTATCACTGTGCAGCTGTGTAGAGTCACAGGACTCTGTTTACATTCCAGAGACCTTCAAGACTTATAGAAAAGGGAGACGGGATGTGACGTTAGTGGTTTCCTGTTTCCTTTGTTCCTTTGTTTCAGTTGCTCTCTGCTTCCATAGAGAGAGGATGTCTTTTCTGTTCTGCGTAGTTTAGAAATAAAACTCTTTACAATGTAGCCAAACCTCTCGTCTCTTCCCTGTGCTGGGAACCCTGCTGGATAGAATGTGCTTGAGGCCTTATCAAAGGCTCAGGTCATTAAACATGTCGGAGGCGATTTCAAAGGCTCAGCTCGGAGGAAGATGAAGCCTTATCGGCTTGGCCGAGCGGAGTTCCGACACAAACCTCTTCGTACGTCTGCATCCTCTTGTGTCTATTTTACCCAATGTCCGTGGCAAACCCGGAAGTAACCGGTGGGTTTGCCGCCGTTTGCACGTGTGCAGAAGCTGGCAATCGCCACCTGCGCACAACGGTGCCTCTCCTAGCAACCTGTTTTGACCTCCTGAGGCACCTCTGAAACAGATTATGGTCGCAGGTAGAGGTTCCACTGTATATCAGTATATCACAATGTTTAGCTGGTGGTATATCAAGAAGTTGAAAACCAGATATCGCCCGGCCCTAGTCCATACCAACGAGCTGTTCTTCATCAAGAAAGTGATGTTCTCATGAGCTAGGGCCTATACTTATATGGAACTCCACAGTTACAGTGCCAAGGATGAAGGAAAGCAAGAACAAACTATCTGTATTCCATACATGTAAGGTAGCTCTGACCACCACTCTACTTGGATAAGCTATGTGAAATTCACGTGTGCAAATGTCGATCAACAGAGGCTGATGTGCACAATGATCACCAACCAACTTGCTCCAGATACATGTAAATGTCCTGGTGCTCACAATGACAAATGTGCTTAGTTTAATATCAACTCCTAGGCCAAAGAATGAAAACTGTTTTTTTTAAAGCTCTTTCCCATATATAATAACAATTGCTTGCAGAATAGATGTGTGTATATTAGAGCTGTTATTGGTGCAGAAGTGATAAGTGGAACACTTTATAGCACTCTTTGCAAAAAAAGAAAAAAGAAAAATGTTTGTGAGCGTTGTGTTTATCCTTGCAGACTTATCCGTAGTAAGTTACCTTTCGAAGACTTTGATGGAGATAAATTTAGTCTTTATCCGGTAAGTAAAGTCATATGCCAGCAACAAGATTCTCACAAGAGTCCCTCCTAGTATCCATAAAACCCATCACTTTGTAAAGTAGTAGTCCAAGACCGTAGGGTACTCTCTATTATTTTGAAATATTGTTTCCTTTATGGCGAAGAAAAATAATTATTCCTTTTATATTCTTTCTGGAGGCTTGGCCATGGAAATACACTGCCCAGAGAAGCAAACTGCTCTGCCCAAGAGTGTCATGTTTATTGAATTATTAATAAAACATGAAGCAAACTTATATGAAAAAGTATTAAAATTGTCAGGGCGTCTTATTTCTGCATGAAAATAAGCAGTGTGTCATTTTTTTAAAAAAGGGCAGCTGGGAGGGTTGGTTTATGAATCTCTCTCCCCCTTCTGTAGTTAGATTTTTATTTTAGATGTTTAATGGTTGGCTGGAAGGGGGTGGAATTACAATGCTACACTTTTCTTCATTTCTCTTCCTGGTTAGACCTTAAGAGGATATCACTGGAGAGGTAGAGACTGTGACGATATGCAGGCCTCTGTGTATCCTGGCAGACGGTAATTTGGGTGGTTTAAATTATTCTCTCTTGTTAGGACAAATCACTTCTTTAGATATGATATCGTAGCTTCAGGTTTCCCCAATAGCTTGGGTAGCTTTGTGGGACTCCAAATGGTTTGCCCATGAGAAGGTCTGCATGATATATGTGGGAACTGGTGTAGAGCGGATTTAGATAGTCAGGATAGCCACATAAGCAGAAACATAGCTTATGCATATCCTGAATTGCTATCTATTTATTTTCAGAAAGTATTTTATTTATTATAAAATATTTTAATGCTACTTTTCGGCACTGAAACATTCACAAAAACGCACAACATCATGTATCATAAAGAACAAACCTGTATCTCTTTTTAGACATTGCTGTTTTCCCATACAGTTATGTTTAAAAACTTTTTTCTAAAAATTCTTGAGCGTTTGTTCAGGGCTTCATCCATTAGCATCAGTACTTTACATTGATAGTCTTGATGCCGGGGCAGGTGCTGGGAAAAAGCATCTGCAAAACATGGTGTGAAGTTACACGACTTCACACCAAAGTGAAAGTCAGCATTCTGGTGGAAGCTGTGTGTGTGTGTGTGTGTGTGTGTGTGTGTGTGTGTGTGTGAAAAATGCCACCTTAACCCATTTCTGAAATGTATTAATTTCCTTTCTATTGTAGCCCTGATAACTGGGATGTAGATAAGGACTCCAACTGTAATGGAATATGGGTGAGTCATTGGAGGTTATATTTTGACATTTCCCACAGATGTTCAATTCCGATTTTGGAATCTGCCTATGTGAGTTTTTACTTCATGAGTTTTCAAAAGAATAGACTTCCCCAGGTTAAGAATACGTCTGTAATGCCTCCACAGGTATTACTTGGGGACAATCTTACCTTTAAAAAACTGTTATGAAAGTTGCCCCTGCTGCTTCTAACACTTTTGGATAGTGAAACTGTCTTACATAAGTAATCCTTATTTCAAAACTCGTGCATTCATGGGATACCAAAAAGCAACAAGGTGAGGGTAAAAACCTGGTTTATTTTATTTCAGTGATAGATCTAGGAATCCTTGACACATGGCAAATCACTTATGAAAATGAAGAGGATTTCAAAAGGGCTTGTGAAATGGCCTTGGGATTTGCTGTTCAAAGAAAGAAAACCTCAGAGAATTACGTGGGTCCTTGAGTGCATCTCTTTGGATGCTAGAAATTGTGTTTACTACTGCTGCTGCTGCTGCTGTTACTACTACTACTACTACTGTTGATTTATTAATTTTGTATACCGCCCTTCATCCAAAGATCACAGAATGGTTCACAACAGAAGAATGCAAAATGAGAATACAAAAGACATAACAAAACACAAACAAAAACAAACCAGTAACCCCCCTCCCACAAATACATTTCAAAAGCCATCTAATGCTAATCAGCTGAATGCCTGGTTGAAGAAAAATGTTTTCGCCTGGCCCCCAGAGATATATGATGAAGGCACCAGTTGAGCCTCCCTGAGGAGAGTGTTCCAAAAATGGGGAGCCACTATTTATGATACAATTATTTCATTATCAGGATTTTGATTTGGTCGTTTATATTTTTGGTTACTTACATGCTTATATGTAAGCCGCTCTGAATAATGATTGTTTTAATTTAGATTAGTTTTATTTATCTTATTACATTAGGAATCGGGGACTTGGGTAGCACTGTGGTCTAAACCACTAAGCCTCTTGGACTTGCCGTTCATAAAGTTGGCAGTTTGAATCCCCGTGACGGAGCGAGCTCCTGTTGCTTTGTCCCAGCTCCTGCCAACCTAGCAGTTTGGAAGCACACCAGTGCAAGTAGATAAATAGGTACCACTGAGGCGGGAAGGTTTCCGTGCGCTCTGGTTTCCGTCACAGTGTGCCGTTGAGCCAGATGACCCGGAAAGCTGTCTGGGCAAATGCCGGCTCCCTCGGCCTGAAGCGAGATGAGCACCGCAACCCTGTAGTCGCCTTTGACTGGACTTAACGGTCCAGGGGTCCTTTAACCTTTTTTTTTAACCTACATATAACATGTCTGGTTCATGCTATCCCTTTGTGTATGATAAAAGGAAGCCTCTTTACCCATTCCAGCCATCATAGAAAAGTGATCCTCAGCTATTTGGGTCCCCCAAATATTCATGTTGCTACTGCTCAACTTTTTCTAACAGACTGGGCTGCCTGCATTTCATTGTGTTGCTGGAACAATTCCTGAAAGAAAAGGTGAATGTGCATGACTTAATTGATGCTTCTCCTCTCTCTCTCTCTCTCTCTCTCTCTCTCTCTCTCTCTCTTTGTGAGTGCGTTCAGCTCCATGAGTTACCGTAATTTTCTTTTCTCATCCATTAGGGTGTTGATCCAAAAGATGGCATCGCCTATGAGCAGAAATTTTGTAAAGGTAATTTCTCTAATTTTAAAATATAGCTGAGGATATTGATTGCAAATTGCCCGATTCATCAAAATAATAATAATTCTGAAATATATGATGAAAAACAAAACAAAGGGAATGTATGAACATACTACAAATGAGGGTCATTGGTACAATCCTCATGTTGTCGTCAGATGTGCTGATTCCTTTTGAAAGCCAAGCTCAGGGAAACCAAGCTCTGCAGGTGGGAAGTTAATTGGCCTGTGGTACTGGTGTCACAGGACACAGGTGGCACTGTGGGTTAAACCACAGAGCATGTTGTTGTTGTTGTTTAGTCGTTCAGTCGTGTCCGACTCTTCGTGACCCCATGGACCAGAGCACGCCAGGCACTCCTATCTTCCACTACCTCCAGCAGTTTGGTCAGACTCATGTTTGTAGCTTCGAGAACACTGTCCAACCATCTCATCCTCTGTCATCCCCTTCTCCTTGTGCCCTCCATCTTTCCCACCATCAGGGTCTTTTCCAGGGAGTCTTCTCTTCTCATGAGGTGGCCAAAGTATTGGAGCCTCAGCTTCACGATCTGTCCTTCCAGTGAGCACTCAGGGCTGGTTTCCTTAAGAATGGAGAGGTTTGATCTTCTTGCAGTCCATGGGACTCTCAAGAGTCTCCTCCAGCACCAGAATTCAAAAGCATCAATTCTTCGGCGATCAGCCTTCTTTATGGTCCAGCTCTCACTTCCATACATCACTACTGGGAAAACCATAGCTTTAACTACACGGACCTTTGTTGGTAAGGTGATGTCTCTGCTTTTAATGATCCTGTCTAGGTTTGCCATCGCCTTTCTCCCAAGGAGCAGGCGTCTTTTAATTTCGTGACTGCTGTCACCATCTGCAGTGATCATGGAGCCCAAGAAAGTAAAATCTCTCACTGCCTCCATTTCTTCCCCTTCTATTTGCCAGGAGGTGATGGGACCAGTGGCCATGATCTTCGTTTTTTTGATGTTGAGCTTCAGACCATATTTTGCACTCTCCTCTTTCACCCTCATTAAAAGGTTCTTTAGTTCCTTCTCACTTTCTGCCATCAAGGTTGTGTCATCTGCATATCTGAGGTTGTTGATATTTCTTCCGGCGATCTTAATTCCGGCTTGGGATTCATCCAGCCCAGCCTTTCGCATGATGAATTCTGCATATAAGTTAAATAAGCAGGGGGACAGTATACAGCCTTGCCGTACTCCTTTCCCAATTTTGAACCAATCAGTTGTTCCATATCCAGTTCTAACTATAGCTTCTTGTTCCACATAGAGATTTCTCAGGAGACAGATGAGGTGATCAGGCACTCCCATTTCTTTAAGAACTTGCCATAGTTTGCTGTGGTCGACACAGTCAAAGGCTTTTGCATAGTCAATGAAGCAGAAGTAAATGTCTTTCTGGAACTCTCTAGCTTTCTCCATAATTCAGCGCATGTTTGCAATTTGGTCTCTGGTTCCTCTGCCTCTTCTAAATCCAGCTTGCACTTCTGGGAGTTCTCGGTCCACATACTGCTTGAGCCTGCCTTGTAGAATTTTAAGCATAATCTTGCTAGCGTGTGAAACGAGTGCAATTGTGCAGTAGTTGGAGCATTCTTTGGCACTTCCCTTCTTTGGGATTGGGATGTAGACTGATCTTCTCCAATCCTCTGGCCACTGCTGAGTTTTCCAAATTTGCTGGCATATTGAGTGTAGCACCTTAACAGCATCATCTTTTAAAATTTTAAATAGTTCAGCTGGAATATCATCACTTCCACTGGCCTTGTTATTAGCAGTGCTTTCTAAGGCCCATTTGACTTCACTCTCCAGGATGTCTGGCTCAAGGTCAGCAACCACACTACCTGGGGTATATGAGACATCCATTTCTTTCTGGTATAGTTCCTCTGTGTATTCTTGCCACCTCATCTTGATGTCTTCTGCTTCTGTTAGGTCCTTTCCACTTTTGTCTTTTATTATGGTAATCTTTGTACGAAATGTTCCTTTCATATCTCCAATTTTCTTGAACAGATCTCTGGTTTTTCCCATTCTATTGTCTTCCTCTATTTCTTTGCATTGCTCGTTTAAGAAGGCCTTCTTGTCTCTCCTTGCTATTCTTTGGAAATCTGCATTCAATTTCCTGTATCTTTCACTATCTCCCTCGCATTTTGCTTGCCTTCTCTCCCCCACTATTTGTAAGGCCTTGTTGGACAGCCACTTTGCTTTCTTGCATTTCCTTTTCATTGGGATGGTTGCTGCCTCTTGTATAATGTTACGAGCCTCCATCCATAGTTCTTCAGGCACTCTGTCCACCAAATCTAAATCCTTAAACCTGTTCCTCACTTCCACTGTGTATTCATAAGGGATTTGACTTAGATTGTATCTTACCAGCCCAGTGGTTTTTCCTACTTCAGTTTAAGCTTGAATTTTGCTATAAGAAACCACAGAGCATAGGACTTGCCAATCAGAAGGTCGGCAGTTCGAATCCCCACGACGGGGTGAGCTCCCGTTGCTCAGTCCCTGCTCCTGCCAAAAGCACATCAAAGTGCAAGTAGATAAATAGGCACCGCTCCGGCGGGAAGGTAAACGGCATTTCTGTGCGCTGCTCTGGTTCGCCAGAAGCAGCTTAGTCATGCTGGCCACATGACCCAGAAGCTGTACGCCGGCTCCCTTGGCCAATAAAACAAGGTGAGCGCCACAACCCCAGAGTCGGCCACGACTGGACCTAATGGTCAGGGGTCCCTTTACCTTTACTGGTGTCACAATGCCTCCCACTCCCTACCCCAGGGCAGTTTTGCTCTTTTAAAAAAGAAAAGTTTCTGTTTAAAGGCACTATATAAACCTTGTTTCACATGATAATAGGCAAGAAGAGCACTTCAAGTGTGGGAGAGAATCAGAGCTGTCGATTAGCCAGCATTTAAATGGAGGCTCACTTCACCAGGGAAAAACAACAAGCCAGTCTTACATTTTTTTTTAAAAAAAGCCTTTGAGTGTCCAAATTTATTCATTTTCTTATTGCAGAATTAGTTACCAGTAATTCTGCAAAAAGGGACGTGGGTAGCGCTGTGGGTTAAACCACAGAGCCTAGGACTTGCCGATCAGAAGGTCGGGGTTCAAATCCCCGCGATGACGGGGTGAGCTCCCGTTGCTCGATCCCTGCTCCTGCCAACCTAGCAGTTCAAAAGCACGTCAAAGTGCAAGTAGATAAATAGGTACCACTCCGGCAGGAAGGTAAACGGCGTTTCCGTGCGCTGCTCTGGTTTGCCAGAAGCGACTTAGTCATGCTGGCCACATGACCCAGAAGCTGTACGCCAGCTCCCTCGGCCAATAAAGCGAGATGAGCGCCGCAACCCCACAGTTGGCCTCGACTGGACCTAATGGTCAGGCGTCCCTTTACCTTTAATTCTGCAAGAGCCAATGTTCCTGGGTTATATTATGTCGTCATAATCTCATGCATTTTTAGAAGAAAGCTGTGAATGAGTCAGTGAAATTGTGAACTTGATTTCTGGAGATTAGGATACTGCCGTTCTGTCCTGCTGGAGGGATGCAAATGACAAGAACCCATTGCAGAACTTAGACCGGGTGGAAACTGGCTGAGGCAGACATACTTGGTTGGGCGGGCTGAGCTAAAATCAGGGGTGCCGACTCCCCCCCCACACACACACATGGGGGGGTGCATCATGTGACACCCAAGAGCTAGGCTGGGATGCAAGTGTGTCCTGCTGTGATGCCAGCGTTTGTGTGCTGGGTAAGGAGGAGGAGGTGGAGTGGAGCCACAGGATTTTTTGGGGCCAATCCCGCTCCTTGAAAATTTTGGGAGGGACTGAAGACCCCCTCAGTTCCCACTCCCCAGTGTACTTGGCTGAAAGAGAAGCTCTATAGAAAGAGTTAGAAATCACTATAAATACCTGTCAGGGAACTGACATCGGAGCCAGAGGCGGAGGGAAGGCTCTCCAATGATGCTGGAGAAGGGCCCAGCAGGGAGAGACGCAGCTCAGCAGATGGGGAAGCAAATCAGCGCAACACCAGAGATAAAGGGGGGCAGATGGGGGAATCGGTGAGAGGGCTCCAGGACTCTTCACCGGACACCAGCGGGGAGAGCACGGGTCCTCCGCTAACCACGCACTCCCTGCGCAGAAGACTTCCGCGCAGGGAGAGTAGGAGGAGACTTGGCGTCAAACAACTTTTATGTTGGAAAAGGTTTAAGAAACGCCCACTGACGGATTCTGCTAGCGACTGAGGCAGCCACGAAATGAAGGGCTGTCCAGACAGAAAGGTTTAACAAGGCAACATAGCCAGGAGAGGCGGCGACTTACGCACGAGCAACCCACACTCATTACAATACCATAGACCTCATGCTTCTGAATTCATATAAACAGCCTTGTGCTTCTGAATTCCACATCCTATTGCACATAACAATATGTTATTAATGTAATGTTGTTGCTGGCAGTCGTGGAGTTCTTTTACAGAGACAACAATGCCACGTAGGCAGTATCTAAATTAGCCCACAGCAGAGCTCAAAACTGTGCACTTCCCGATCAAACACAAATTGATCTAATGACGGTGCCTGTACATGATGGAAATCACCCCTGAATAGAACTAACATGGACCTTCCACAAGGTCTATTCTTGTGCCGCCACTAATGTTTAGTAGCTGCTTGGCAAACACAAAGCCAGTTAGTCATTAAGGAGGGAACAGAAGTTATACTTCTTCCTGATTTTAAAAAGCCAGTTTCTTTGAACTGGTTCTCAGGACACAGTAGGCCAAACTCCAGCTTAGGGAGCAAGTTTTCTAGGTCTCCAGAACTCTCTATGTTACACAAAGCAAGCTAATAAAGATGTAGCCCAATTGTGGATTTGGGGAGGCATTTTCTCTCTCTTGTGGACTAGGACGACTGCCTTGCTTTTTATGCGCCCTGAAATTGCAAGAGATGTTATCAGGCACCATCCATCTTTAAAGGCTGGGTGCAGTGAAGCAGTCAGTGTTTATGAGAAGCTTGTAATTTTGCCCTAATAGACCAAATTGAGAGCAATGCTCTCAATGCCCTGATTTCACTAAATGTTTTACTTTTATTGAACATACTGCAGATAGTAAAAATTTATGTTGCTCCCAGCAGGGTCCACTTTAAAGTACCAATTCAAGCTTTAAAAGAAGCCTAATAGAAATTGGTCTAATTTAGCATGCACTTTTTGTAAACTTGATTGATGTGTCCATTTATTTTCGGGTTATTTATAGTGCAGAGGAAGTTAAAAATCTTATTTTAGGTTTGGAAATGAGCAGAAATGGCCAAATCGTTGTTTTGATTGCTCTTTGTGTGCTGGAACTGCCGTGTGGATTTTCTTAATGCGGTTGTGCTTTGTGCAGTATACGGGTTTGCAATGTGAGAAAAAAATAATTAAGCTTTTAAAATTATTAATTGTCTTCCGTAGGCACAGAGTCCAAGGGAATCATTTTGTTGGGAGATTCAGCTGGAGCTCATTTTCACATCCCTCCTGAATGGGTGACAGCATCGCAAATGTCAGTGGTATGTCGTTTCAGCTGGTCATTGTACTGATCTCAGTTGGCCGTCCTATAATTCACTTTCTTCTCTATTACTAAGGGTGCCCATTTTAACTGCCTTCTATTATAAAGGGTGCCCATTGAGTGGCTATATATTTCTGGGGATGATCACTTTCAGCCACTGCTGTAATAATCATGGGAGGTTTTCAAGATATATTAAGAAACCAGAAACTCTTCTTTAGAAAGGAAAACATCTGTTCAGTTTATTAGTACCATGGATGATCTTGTTCCTCCCATGTTGATTGGTTGGTTAAAATTATTTATAACCTGCTCTTCTTTCAATCACACAATCCCAGAGCAAGAAACAACAATAAAATACAATAAAGCCATATTTCATTTAAATGGAACTTAATGTGAAAGCAGACAATATGCTAACATTGTAACTACAGCAGCCAAGAGGTGGGGGGGGGGGCACCAATTTAACCAAATGCTTGGTTGAAATATCTATGGTTTTACCTGGTGTCAAAACTCCATCAGTGTTGGTGCTTCAGAGAGGAGGGCATTCCAGAATTGGGGTGCCATTATTGAGAATGTCCTCTCACAAATCAGCACATACTGTATCTCAGAGAAGGGGCATCCTTCAATGACTACAAAGTCTGGGCAGGTGTATAAGGAAGCAGGTGGTCTTTCAGGTATCTGGGTCTTTTGGCCATTATAGCTTCCCCCACAGGATGCGGGTGGCGCTGTGGGTTAAACCACAGAGCCTAGGACTTGCCGATCAGAAGGTTGGCAGTTCGAATCCCCATGATGGGGTGAGCTCCCGTTGTTTGGTCCCACCTTCTGCCCACCTAGCAGTTCGAAAGCACATCAAAGTTCAAGTAGATAAATAGGTACTGCTCCGGCGGCAAGGTAAACGGTGTTTCCATGTGCTGCTCTGTTTTGCCAGAAGCGGCTTCGTCGTGCTGGCCACATGACCTGGAAGCTGTACGCCGGCTCCCTTGGCCAATAAAGCGAGATTAGCGCCGCAACCCCAGAGTCAGTCACGACTGGACTTAATGGTCAGGGGTCCCTTTACCTTTAGCTTCCCCCACAAGTAATCACACCTCTGTTCTCATCTCAGATGTTCTTGTCTTCTGCTGTGCTGACTACAGTAGAATTACTACTTATCGCTAGTGAAATGTTCATCATTAGGGTCGGTAATAAATATTTGCTGGAGCCGTTGACAACAGTGCCGTAGGCAGAAGGCAGATTTGTGGGAAGCCCTTCAGCCAACATTTAGAGAACCCTTACGCCCTTCTGGTTTGGAAAACAAAGTGTCTGTCATTCAAGAGGCCATGATGTTTCCTCTGCAGCCAAACATATGAGATAAGGGAAAGATGCAGGAAGGTGCACTCAAATGGTTTATGTGTCAGCTGTGTTTTATTGGGGTGCCCTGTTCGGTTTGAACCAGGTCAGTAACAACCAATAAGCTCATAGCCACCTTGTGCCTGGAGAAATCAGACTGTCCCATAACCACCATTATAACCATCTGAATAACATGTTCAAGAGACACCACTCAGCCCTCCAGAAAGGCTTTCGAGGTGTTTCAGGGGGGAAAGGGCACAGCAAGTGTTCTTTCTGTGAAATTCCATTTGTCTAAAGTAAAAAAAAAAAAATCAGACAGCAGAACTATGCAAAGACCTGGTTGACGACAAGCAATTAATGTTCATATTTTACGGGTGAGAGACACTAAGGGATTAGCCTAAGGCAAGCCAAGGCAGAGTGTTTTTGTTTACTTGCAATTTTACTTTTTGTTATACAGTTGGGAGTCAGAAATGGCTGCCAATCTACTGCTAATCATCTAGGTAAAGCAACTTTCTGCCCACGACCACCGCATGATGGCTTAAAAAGTGCTATTGATTTTCTTCCAAAAGAGAGAGAGAGAGAGAGAGAGAGAGAGGGAGAGGGAGAGGGAGGAACTACCCAAGTGGCTTATTGAAAACTTCGAAGGGAAATTGGGAGGGAAAACTGCAATGCTAAAAGTAAATATTCAGCACCAATAATTATTGCTGCATTGTGGGCAGCATTCAAATTAAAAGCCACATTGTTTGCAGTTTTAATTTTCTCTTTGGAAAGCCTTAACTGATTTAAATATTCGAGATTGGCTGTTGTTTTTCTTCGTTAATGCTTTATGAAAAAAAATGATTATAGGAATCACACTGATGACAGAGCAGGGGTGAGCATAATAAATCAGAGGCAGTGATAATTGAGATGATCATGCCTAATAAATGTGGTAACAATACTCAGGATAATGACAGTAATGACAATGAAGCATGAAAGTGATGTGCTCAAGCTAGCATTTTAGATTGTGTCAGCATTTCTTTTGTAAATCCTGGATGTTCGTGTTTTTCAACTTCTCCACAAGTATTTTTCTCTGTGTTGTAAATGCCTTGTACAGTATTTTGAAGCAATCCTTAGACCTACCTCCATGCTCTGATCTCAGCCTTCCCAGTCCTCCTTTCCCCTGATCCTTATTAATCTGCGGGACTCAGGAAGCTGTGGCTGAGGTGGGGAACCTCAGGTCCATGAACCAGATTTGGTTGCTAGGGTCTAAGCTGAGCCCTGGAATCTAGCTTAAATGCCAAGACTCAGTACAGTGGTACCTCAGGTTAAGTACTTAATTCGTTCCGGAGGTCCGTTCTTAACCTGAAACTGCTCTTAACCTGAAGCACCGCTTTAGCTAATGGGCCTTCCGCTGCTGCCTCCGCCGGAGCACAATTTCTGTTCTCATCCTGAAGCAAAGTTTTTAACCCGAGGTACTATTTCTGGGTTAGCGGAGTTTGTAACCTGAAGCGTATGTAACCCGAGGTACCACTGTACTGAAAAACATAAAGCACTGTGCTATTTGCTGCCACAGGCGCATGATGTCCGCGGCTGGTGTGGGGAGGACCAATAAAATGAACACAGGAGATTGGTATTGGGTTGAATTAGGCCACAACTTTATTGATTACAGGTAAGAGCAGGTTTGTCTAAGGCATTGGGCGTGTATTCAGCAACAGGCATCCCACCTGCTGCCTGATAGTAACCCAGTGAGGTTGACTGGGGAGTCAGGTGCCATGACCCCACACAGGCTGCCATTGGGAGAGGTGTATTGGCCCATCAGTCCCTGTGTGGACTCCTGGACAGAGTCACCCCTTTAAGGGGGTAGCCACACAACTAAGCATCCAGCCCAATGCCTTTTCCACCAGAGTTGTGAAAGTTTCTATGAGGTAGACAGAAAGCTGCAAGCTGGCTAATTTGCTTGCAGGGGGAAATCCATCCCTGGCCCCAAATGCGTCAACCAAGTAAACCATATCAAGGTCATTTCGCCAACCCGCCCGTGTCAGGGTGGGCCCCTACCAGACCGGGTGGGTGGGTAGAAAATCCTGCAACAGTCAGCAAAGAGGGCGGTCTGCCTTTGGCTGCCATCTTGAATGTGGCAGGGGCAGGCAGGGCACAACCCCTGTGTCCCTGACCTGATTGGCCGTGCAACCCAGGCTTGCTCCAAATGGAGGGTCCAACTGTCGGTTTGCAAGCCCCCTCCACAGAGGCTGGCCCCTCTCACTGTCCTCGGAGCTTGCATACCGGTAACCTCCTCTGGCTGACTTCCCGGACAGACCAGGGAGATTTTGATAGGCGACATTTTCCCAAGCGTGGGTAAAATGCACAACCCCTCCCTCCTGCTTCCGCAGGGGAAGAAAATAAGTCAGAAATCTATTTACATGATGTTTATTTCTGACATTACAGCACTAGAGAAAAACACGTCCTTTCAGTTCAGTTCTTCTAGCAAGTCTGACAAACTTCCTGAACATGCGCAAATGGAAGGTTTCAGATTACACTCTTCACAGAGACTTATCCAGCCTGCGAACGGCCTGGGAAATTCTTCTTTCCCACAGATAGGCACATGATGTGATGTCAACAATCTGGCTGTCGGCAGCGGTGATGTTTCCATATACTGACACCAACATGGTTCCACAGGAAAATGGTAGCCCTCTAGGAAGGACCATAGCCGTGCTGTGTAGCAAGCACCGCTCCCCCCGGAGCCCTACAGAGGTGGGGCCAGATAAGGATCTGGCCCAAAAGGGCAATAAAGGTTACCCACCCCTTATAGTGCTCAGGATAGTGCTCAGGATGGCACCAAGCCAGGAGGGCAGCCTTACTATACTCAAGACGTATAATATAATAATAATAATAATAATAATAATAATAATAATAATAATAATTTATTATTTATAGCCCACCCATCTGGCTGGGTTTCCCCAGCCACTCTGGGCAGCTTCCAACCGAATCTTAAAAACAATACAGGGTCAGACATTAAAAACTTCCCTAAACAGGGCCGCTTTCAGTTGTCTTTTAATAGTAAAGTAGTTGTTTATTGCCTTGACATCTGCTGGAAGGGCGTTCCACAGGGCAGGCGCTACTACCGAGATGGCCCTCTGCCTGGTTCCCTGTAACCTCACTTCTCGCAGTGAGTGAACCGCCAGAAGGCCCTCGGAGCGGGACCTCAGTGTCCGGGCTGGGCCGAGACCGTTTAGGGCTTTAAAGGTCAGCACCAACACTTTGAATTGTGCCCGGAAACGTACTGAGAGCTAATGTAGGTCTTTCAGTGTTATATGGTCTTGGCGGCCGCTCCCAGTCACCAGTCTAGCTGCCACATTCTGGATTAATTGCAGTTTCCAAGTCACCTTCAAAGGTAGCCCCACACAGAGTGCATTTAAGTAGTCCAAGCGAGAGATAACTAGAGCATGCACCACTCTGGCAAGACAGTCCGTGGGCAGATAGGGTCTCAGCCTGCGTACCAGATGGAGCTGGTAAACAATTGCCCTGGACACAGAATTGACCTGCACCTCCATGGACAGCTGTGAGTCCAATATGACTCCCAGGCTGCACACATGGTCCTTCAGGGGCACAGTTACCCCATTCAGGATCAGGGAGTCCTCCACACCAGCCCGTCCCCTGTCCCCCAAGAACAGTACTTTTGTCTTGTCAGGATTCAACTCCAATCTGTTAGCCGCCATCCCTCCTCCAACCACCTCCAGACACTCACACTGTAGCCGATCTCTAGGAATAAAATCTCAAGGGAAGGGGTTTGTCATTAAGTCCTCCTCCCAAAAAGAAATACATATATTTTACATGTCTGATCTATAATTCTTGATAACTAATTTGTTTATGGCCTATAGCTGTGTCCTATTAACTGTATTTAAACTGCTTGAACTTCGTATCATATTAAAAGCTAATATGAAAAGAATAATCGTTTATTGCCAATGTTCTGGGCATGGAAGCCCAACTGGGTGAAGGGCAAGTACAGAAAATAAAATCCATCCTGATTTCTTAATCTCTTTTATAGAAGGCATTTTCCAACCTTCCTGAGGCTTTTGCCGATGAGCTCGACTGGCCTCAGTTTTCTGGAGCAACCGGATTCCTCAACTCCACAATTGGGTGTGTAAGCTAAATCTCCAGAATCTCAGGAATGAATGGTTGTGGAGAAAATGTTTTGTGTTCAGATGGAAGTTCTGGAGTGTTGCCATGCCCTCTGCTTCTGATGTTTCCTAAAAATTGTGATCCTCCCATTCCACAATAACACATTGTTTCATGGTTTCCAGACCAAACTTTCTTCTTCTTTTTCCTTCATACTTACGGTACCTTCAAGCCCAAACAACACAACTGCAGCACATAAATCCATGTCCCAGCGAAAGCAATAGTGGGAAGCTATGCTTTAAAGGAAAAGGGACGTGGGTGGCGCTGTGGGTAAAACCTCAGCACCTAGGACTTGCCGATCGCATGGTCGGCGGTTCGAATCCCCGCGGCGGGGTGCGCTCCCGTCGTTCGGTCCCAGCGCCTGCCAACCTAGCAGTTCGAAAGCACCTCCGGGTGCAAGTAGATAAATAGGTACCACTCCGGCAGGAAGGTAAACAGCATTCCGTGTGCTGCGCTGGCTCGCTAGATGCAGCTTGTCACGCTGGCCACGTGACCCGGAAGTGTCTGCGGACAGCACTGGCTCCCGGCCTATAGAGTGAGATGAGCGCACAACCCTAGAGTCTGGCAAGACTGGCCCGAATGGGCAGGGGTACCTTTACCTTTACCTTATGCTTTAAAGGGATGCACAGCTGGACCGCAGGCGTTTGTGTGTGTGCTTTCTCTCCCCCCACTCACTGTCTTTGTCCCTGCAGCTCCCTTCCCCCAGGCAGTTTCTTTCAATATGAGCTCCCTCCTCTTAATTATTGGAGAGATAGTAGAGGGGAATCCTTAATGAAATCCAAAAGCTTCAGCCCCTTGACTCCACATTTTTAGTCAAATCATGGTACTCCTGTAAGCCTCTAAAAACAATCACTTTGGAGTGGTGTGTCACGAAAGGTCAATTATTCATTTCGGATTGTTGTAATCCACTCTGGAATCTGCTGGTGAACGGTGGGTGGGGTTGTTGTAAGAATAATAATAATACACGTCCGAATTTTCATGAGGGCTTAAAGAAAAAATCACAAAGTGTTGTGGAAATGTGATTAAGACTTAAGATTGGGGAAATGAGAAGCTGAGCGAAGCTGAAATTGACAGATTTGTCCATTCTTTTTTCCACATGTCAATTCTGATCCTGCTTAAACAAAGTATGGCAGCTTAAATTAGTGGTTTTCATCCAAATGGTAGTTTTTGTTCCCAAGAGTAATTACCTTCGAAATTCAGCTCCAACTTAATTACTTTCCATTTGTTTCATCCTGATGTTCTTTCCCAATGTCACTGTTCTGAAATAGCCTCTATTTTTAATCTGTGGGATCTATTATTCCTTCTGTTCCCAAATCTGTCCACTTGTCTAAGATGAAAAAGCAATGTTTAGAGACAAGGTTTCCTTGGTTCAACTGTCTCCTAATTACTTCTTTGCAATTGCTAAGGCAGTTTTGTTAATGTTCCATAAACTCCTGATTCCTGGGCAATTTATCTTTCTTAGTTCATAAGACTGTTTGCCCCCATCTCCTTTTCAATCATATAAAAAGCTAGTTTTCTCATTCTTTGTGTGAAGAAGGATTTATTGGGAACAAACAGGATCATATATACTGTATTGGCCTGAATATAAGCCACACTCCCCCCCCCCCAAAAAAATTTAGACCATGAAAAGTTAAAGTGCAGCTTCAATTTGTGACCTTACAAAAATCGGTTTTTACGCTATCACTGCTAAAACAGACATACGATAAAAAGGAACAAAAACAATTTTATTGCCGATTTGCAAGCTTGAGACTGTTGTGCAATTACCGTAATTCTAATGTCATTCATCACTTTCCCCGTATTTTACAGTGCAGTATTGATTTTTTATTTGCATTTACGGTGCTACGAACAGGTGTTTAACCCACTTATGGGTCCTCTCTAGTACCTGTAGGATTTTCTTCTACATTTGCCATTTACAGGTGTGAGAGGGGAGTGGCTTATATTCAGGTATTGTCTTTTTTTCTCTCCCCCCCAAAAAGTTGCGTCTTATTTGCGGGCACGGCTTATATTCAGGCCAATACTGTAGATGTTCTATTGTTTGTTTAGGCATTATGGTTGTCTAGAGCAGTTATTTATACTTTCTAAGAAGTGGGGCTGTCAGATATAAGAAACTATTTATAAGATGATCCAGACTTCTTAGTGATGCAAAGCTTTTACAGTTTGGACTTTACAATTTCACCCTCATTTTGGCCTCAATGTGAAATAGCAGTGACATTGCTTAGTCTGGGTTCGCCTGACTGCTTGGAGAAATCATCTGTGGAGTAAACCAGTGTTTTTAAGCTTTTCTGTTTCTTGAAAAATGCATCCTGAAAATTATTTCCTTTCTGTCTCTCTTGATTCATTATCTAGATTTTTTTTAAGCCTCCTTGCCCCCAAAGGTTCAGGGTAGAAAACAACACTGAAGTAGAATTCAGTGTAGCACTAAAGTAATCATTCTCTTAGCATAAGGATTTCTGCTTGCACAAGGGAATGTTATCTCCCCCTCCTCTCTTATGCACCCCCTAAATATGTTTGGGGGTTCTTCCAACCCTCTGGAGCAGATTTGGGGAGGGTATGTGTGCACACAGGAAGCAGAGGGAGGAAATTCCTATTGTGCAAGCAGAGATCCTTTTGCTGATGAGGCTCATTAGTAAAAGACTGCCCACAGCATCTAAAAATCAATGAATTTATCACCTTTAAAATATTAGTAACTGTAAAATAACCCCCTAGTAATTCCCTGCTCACTTGTGCCCACTAAATGCTTATATACAATTTCTGGAAGATATTCAGGCTTCTCCTCCCTCAGTGGGAACAAGCCATCTGTTCTTTCTGGATCCTTATTGCCTTATCTCACAATTAATAATGCCCAAAGGGAGATATAAGCAAACAAGCCTATTGCACTTATTGACCCTCCACAATAAGGATAAGTGAAGGTCCAGCCTGCGACAGTAGTGCCTGTCTTGTCCATGGTCCCTGCTCATGGTTCATTTCAGGTGATGTGTTGAGAACCAGAGTGATGCAGAAGCTAGATTTTTTTGTGTACTGTGCCCAAACCCTGGCTGTGCTGGACACACCATTGTACAGCTCTTCCAATGGAAGCAGTAGACTTGGTTTATATCCTTCCACTAATAGCATCCTTTTCCTCCAAACATCCCTTTGTAAGCCTTGGATAACAATGGAATCGTGAAGTTGCTCCAAGAAGTTTCCAGAAACATCAAATGTACAAACATTGCACCCTTGATTGTAAGTTGTAGATGTAAATAACTTGTGGTTCTAACATTTATAAATACGGTGCGTCACTATGCCCTTTGCCACGCAGATGGAGTGCAGGTGAGATTGCAACAAAGATAAAGCACAACTGAACTTTATGAACCACAACTGAAACTTGGCTTTCAGTTCATTGCGCAAGTGCAGCAGCTCAGCAGTGTTAAAGGCCTTTGGGCTAGGAGCCCCCGATATAATCAACAACAGATCTTTTCAGGGAGATCCCATCTAGCTTTTTTGCTTTGGAGCCAAACACACATTTGGAATGAATGAACAATCACTCCAGTAAATAACACCCAAGTCACAGGCCTTGTGCCTTTTTTGTTTGCTAACAGTGCTGACTAAGGAATTTGTTCTCTTCAGGAGATGTTACAAAAGTACTGCAACACTGAATAATCATCTTTGGTTGCCTTGCTTCCCAGTGTAGACTGATCAGAGCTATCTCCCAAAACTTGACCCCCACCCTGACTTAGGCAAGAAAACGTAACTCCCCCTCTTAAAGGGACATGAACATGTGATCAATTCAGGTATTTCAGCTCAGCTCTGAAACTCATGGATTGGCCACTGGACAAGTCATTATCATGCCATCTAACCCATCTCACAGTGTTGCCATGAGGCTAAAATGGGGGTGTTCTATCAAGACCATTTAGTCATAAAAGCTCCTCTCCCCAAATAAGTGACCTGAAAGTCCTCTGCACTGTATCTTTGCAATTCTTGATCTGATATTTTATTTGCATGCCATGCCTTCACTAAACCAGAGTTCTGTTAACTTTGTTTCAGAGGCTGGACAGAGTCGCTGTACCTATATTTACGAAAAAGAAACCGCTGCAACCATCGAGATTACCAGAACATTTCCAAAAATGGTACCTTGTTTGCTCTTCACCCACACTGGTGCACATTCATTCACCATGAGTAGAAGCTGCTGAACAGCAAGGCTGGGGGAAGGGGAATGCAGATTGAGCAGTATAGAAACCTCATCATCTTGTTTCTAGGGAAGGCACATAGAGCACTGCATGCAGAAGGCTAAGGCCCAGGTTTAATTCTTGTCATCTTTGGGTAGGGCTGGGAAAGACCTCTGTCTGAAACCTTGAAGAGTCACTGCAACTCAGTAAAGACAATACTGCGCTAGACTGAATCACTGGCTCAATCTAAGAAGGTATCCTATATTCCTATGGCTGGCTGGCTGGCTAACTATTAGCAAACACACAAATACGTAGGAGTCAGGATTAAAAACAACAACAACACATTGCCTAGAATCATCATTCAAATATGTCACTGGACATAGTGGTAACAGACACTGGTAAAAGGTAAAGGTAAAGGGACCCCTGACCATTAGGTCCAGTCGTGGCCAACTCTGGGTTTGCGGCACTCATCTCGCTTTACTGGCCGAGGGAGCTTCCGGGTCATGTGGCCAGCATGACTAAGCTGCTTCTGGCGAACCAGAGCAGCACACGGAAACACTGTTTACCTTCCCGCTGGAGTGGTACCTTTTTATCTACTTGCACTTTGATGTGCTTTCGAACTGCTAGGTTGGCAGGAGCGGGGACCGAGCAACGGGAGCTCACCCCGTCGCGGGGATTCGAACCACCGACCTTCTGATCGGCAAGCCCTAGGCTCTGTGGTTTAACCCACAGCACCACCCGCGTCCTAACAGACACTGGTACGCATACTAAAACATTGCCATTGACGTTTGCTGGACACACCAGCATCTTCTTCAGCAACATAAAGTGGGTGCGTTTTCTTCTCATTCTTCCAAATATAGATGCACTGGCTGGGACAGATTTTTCTTGTAATTAATTCATGCTGCTTGATAGTTCAGGAAACAAGTATAACGCCTCAGACAGGCAGCCTTCTGCTTATTGAAAACGCTGTACCCTGGATACATATGGCTTGAGCTGCAAATAACCACATATAAGCTCCAAGAATGATCAGCTAGTCTTCACTGATAGAAAGCCTGTCCTCCGCCTGATTATTTTCAGCTCATTCCAGGGTAGTCGGGGACAGGGTGCCTTCAGCTGTTCCTGTATTCCTAGCATATGTGATTGATGGGGAGCCGCTTCCTGAACTCATTTCCCCACGTCTCAGGATAGGGTTTCTCACCTGTACTTTTATCACATTCTGTGATGATGTGTTTTGTCTTGGATCCGAATAATGTAACTGTTAATGAATGTTCTGGCCCATTGAACATTAGGAAGGCAGATATTTCACGGCAGCCATTAAGTACCATTGGAAGCAGGAAAACGTTATCTTAATCTCAGCTGCCTTGGGGAATCCTAGTTCACCTGGAGTTTCTTTGCAACTTTAAATTGTTATACCTTCTTTATGGTTTGGCAGGAGCTGGGACTGAACAACGGGAGCTCACCCCGTCGCAGGGATTTGAACCGCTGACCTTCCGATCAGCAAGCCCAAGGCTCAGTGGTTTAGACCACAGCGCCACCCGTGTCCCTAGCAGTTGGAAAGCACGTCCAAGTGCAAGTAGATAAATAGGTACCACTCTGGCGGGAAGGTAAACGGCGTTTCTGTGCGCTGCTCTGGTTCACCAGAAGCAGCTTGGTCATGCTGGCCACATAACCCGGAAGCTGTACGTCGGCTCCCTCGGCCTGTAAAGCGAGATGTGCGCCGCAACCCCAGAGTCGTTCACAACTGAACTTAACTGTCAGGAGTCCTTTTTTCTTTATGGTTTGGAGGAGCAAAAGGTTCATTCAACAATAAGATAAGGCCAGTTCACAGCCAGACTGTTCTAGCATACAAGTCTAACAGTATCTTTTCTCATTCCCTGCCAAGCTTCTGGCTGGCTGGCTACCTCCCCATCTGTTCATCCATGACTGACTTGCAAACGTTCAAGGCCTTCTAGGGCAATTGGTATTAATCATGTTTGCCATGGCTTTTCAGCAAAATAATTGGCTGCAGGTAGCAAAATACATTTGCAGATGCAAAAAATGTGCCTTGAGAATAGGTGATGGACAACTTGGGGCTTTTGTTTCCAAAAGCTGATAATCAGAGACTGCTTATTACGGTCAATGTGATACAGGCTGATAGATTGTAATGGAAAGGGGTAGATTCTACCCTGTATCTTCAGTTTACTGTGAACTGAGGCACCATAGTTTCTCTCAACTGATTCCCTCAGGTCCTTTCCTGTCTGCCATAGTCAGCAGTACTTTGGGTTTGCTGCATAACTGCTGGGGAGAGATGGGTCACGGGGAGGGGGTAAGGAAAGGAGGGCAGCCTTACCGCTTGCTTGCGTGGTTGATGTGAAGCTGCAGGGAGGGATATCTGGGTTGCTTGCCTGAGAAGCCTAGTAGGTTATGAAAAGTTGACTTGCTTCAGTTGGGAAATAGTAGGTCCAGCTTTCCAGCTAGACATGATCCCCCAAAGTTAATCACAATTCACTCAAATGTCACCAATTTCAAGGGGACCTTATTTCATTGGATGTTTCATGCCTTTTACAAGTCTTGTTACTTAAGCTGTGTTAAATTATCTTTTATTCATTGCCTTTGATCATCTAGGTGGCTCTTCGCAAAACGTCCTAGAGCTTGTAAAGAGGTAAATAGTTAATGGGGGATTTGAACTATTTGATCGATAGTTTAAATAGCTAGCTGCAGGACAATGCAAGGCCCCAGCTACACCACCATCACTTTGCTACTTGAAAGTCCGGATGCATTATGCAAACATTCAGAGGCTGAGATTCCATTTGGCTAACATGACAATAGTTGTTGCTTGATGTATCCTTCATGAATTTGTCCAATCCTTTTCATAGTTAATGTTTAATGTCTAATATGTTAAAGCCATCCAAACCAGTGGTTTTCATCTCTGAAGTAGCTTGAGAGTTCCTTTGCCAAAATCTATTTGGGGAAGGGCTATAGCTCAGTGGTTGACCAACTGCTTTGCCTGCAGAAGGACCAAGGTTCAACCGCTGGCATCTCCAGGTTAGTCTGAGAAAAGCTGCAGCTTGAATCCCTGGAGTACCACACAGTTGACAATACTGAATTAGATGGCAGCGGTGCCAACTTGAATAAAATATGGGGGGGGGGGAGGTAAGCCCCACCCCGCATAATCGATCACATGACACGGTGCACACATTTTAATAATAATAATAATAATAATTTATTTATACCCCGCCCATCTATCTGGCTGGACTTCCTCAGCCACTCTGAGCGGCTTCCAACAAAATATTAAAATACAGTATTGCACCAAACATTAAAAGTTTCCCTAAACAGGGCTGCCTTCAGATGTCTTCTAAAAGTCTGGTAGTTGTTCTTCTCTTTGACATCTGCTGGGAGGGTGTTCCACAGGGTGGGTGCCACCACTGAGAAAGCTCTCTGCCTGGTTCCCTGTAACTTGGCTTCTCGCAGCGAGGGAACCGCCAGAAGGCCCTCGGCGATGGACCTCAGTGTCCGGGCAGAACGATAGGCTATGACAATGATAATGCCCGTGAACTTTGGAGGCCCCCGGGCCCCACAAATACTTAATTGGGGGACAAAGACCCCTTGGCCCCTAGGAGTTGGCTCCTATAACTGGTGGTGTGACCTTACCAGGTCCCTATTGGGAAAGCTGTGTATATGTCATAGTATATGTCATAGTGCACATAGTAAGTACATGCTTACTATGAGAAGCTGCTATGTTAAAGAAAAACTAAGTGTCCCTCCCATGGCACAATGGGTGAGTGCGTATGGCTGTTAACCGGAAGGTTGGTGGTTCAAGGCCACCCAGGGATGGCTGTGGGCAGGATAACTGCCTTGAAGGTGGTTGGACTAGAAAGATCCTCAAGATCCCTTCCAGCTCTACAGTTCTTTGATTCTATTATTATCATTGTCATCACCAGTTGTCATTGATTATATTGATGAGCAGCGTGATCTTAAAGCCTCATCTATTTGCTGTAAACCCTTATAAAATTATACTGCATTAGTAAGTTTTGTGTAATAGGAACGTACTGTATGTTGTTATAGAGGGAAAGAGAGGGTTATATCTAAGTCATACTCAGAGTAGACCTACTTAAATCAGTGGACCTAAGTTAGACATGTCCATTTATTTCATTGGATCTGCTTTGAGTTAGATACAACCCAGAGAGAATTGTTCATGCTGTGAGTAGAATTTTAACACTGAGTTTTCATTTATCTTTTATTTCCAGCTTGGCAAGGAGTCAACAGTCTGACAAGCCTGCAATAGTTATCTTTTCAATGATTGGAAATGACGTCTGCAATGGGTAAGGTTTTAAGAAAATATAACGTTGGGTATATCTCCATTACACTTAAACTAATTTAATAGTCATTCCCCCTTCCCAGAGAACTCGGGAAATTATAGTTCTCTAAACAAGAATGCTGATGTTTCTCGGGGGAGGGGGGGAATGTACAGTGGTACCTTGGTTTAAGAACAGCTTAGTTTATGAACAACTTGGATTAAGAACGTTTTGGTTTGTGAACTTTGCCTTGGAATAAGAACATGTTTCGCTTCCTGTTGAGTGTGTTCCATTTGTAAATTGTAAATTGAGTCCCCTGCTGCTATGGGAAAGCACGCCTTGCTTTAAGAACGCTTTGGTTTAAGAATGGACTTCCGGAACAGATTATTGTATTTTTCGCTCCATAAGACGCACCTAGTTTTTAGAGGGGGAATGCCGGGGGGGGGATTCTTTAAAGGGAGCGCTGAGCAGAGCCTGTGTGCATCCCAGGCTCTGCTCAGCGCTCCCTTTAATGAGTCGCGTGTGTGCGGCGCTTGCAGGCTTTTCCCCGAGGAGGGAGTCCAACCAGTCACTGACGGGCCGCCCTTCTCCCTCCTGGGGAAAAGCCCCCAAGAGCCGCTCCGCTCCGCGCCGCTCTTTAAAGGGAGCACGGCTCTTGCGGGCTTTTCCGCGAGGTGGGGGAAGAGACTGAGAGGCTGCCCTCTGTCCCTTCCCCCACCTCCCGCAAAAGCCTTTAAAGAGCGTGCGGAGCGTGTGTCTTGGGGCTTTTCCCTGAGGAAGGAGAAGGGACTGACGGGCTGCCCTTCTCCCTCCTCGGGGAAAAGCCCCCAAGAGCCGCACACACGCTCCACGCGGCTCTTTAAAGGGAGCGCTGAGCAGAGCCTCCCAGCTGCATTCGCTCCATAAGACACACACACATTTCCCCTTAGTTTTTAGGAGGGAGAAAGTGCGTCTTATGGAGTGAAAAATACGGTAAGTTCATAAACCAAGGTACCACTGCACGTAAAAAGCATGATAGATAAACAGGTGTAAAAACCAATATATGCAGGGCACATTTTAATTATCATTTGTGTAACATCCTTGATAGAATTATCTGATCTTGTTGGTGTGGGGGGACACAAGTGCTCATGTGTACATTCTGATATATTTAAATGGTTCATGCATGTATGCATTCTACTGCTTTTATAACTAAATTGTTTACTTCTGCAGAGGGAGAGAAGGTGGAGATATGGGGAGGGATAGTTTATGATTTTTGCAGAATGTTCCCTGGCTATGGCATTTCAGTCATTTTGTTCTGCTGAAATACCACTACTACTTTTTGTTAGAAAAATTACTGTAACAAACAAAACATCAAACTAAAGTAGTACTAAAGACAGTCATAAACAGAAATAATAAAGCTACAAGATAATAAAATAATAATTGTAATAATCATAAAAAGCTTTAGAAGGAATGAGTGGCGTAAAATATATTCCATAGTGGAATACAAACTTAATATTTGTATTCAGATACACCAAATATTTATGAATGTTGCCAAATAAACTCATATTTAGTGGGAATATGCCAACCATGAGATTGTTTGGTTATATAAATGACTAAAGAAGCCAGGGTGGCTATCTAAAGAACTTTTAACTGAGTTAAGATTAAAAAAGGATGTGTACAAAAAATGGAAAAGGGGGGAAACCACCAAAGAGGAATTCAAACAAATAGCCAGCACGTGTAGACCCCGTCAGGAAAGCGAAAGCACAGAATGAACGCAGGCTTGCTCGGTAGGTTACAAGCACCAAACAAAGGCTTTTATGGGTATGTGCGTAGCAAAAGGAAGAACAAAGAAACAGTGGGGTCACTCAGAGGAGAAGATGGTGAAATGCAAACAGGGGACACAGAAAGGGCTGAACTCCTCAATGCCTTCTTTGCCTCAGTCTTCTCCGATAAAGAAAACAATGCCCGACCTGAAGAATTTGGAGCAAATGATTCAGCAGAGGAAACACAGCCCAGAATAACTAAGGAGATAGTACAAGAATACTTGGCTAGTTTAGATGTATTCAAGTCTCCAGGGCCAGATGAACTGCATCCAAGAGTATTAAAAGAACTGGCAGATGTGATCTCAGAACCACTGGCAGTCATCTTTGAGAATTCCTGGAGAACAGGCGAAGTCCCGGCAGACTGGAGGAGGGCAAATGTTGTCCCTATTTTCAAAAAGGGAAAAGAGAGGACCCAAATAATTACCGCCCAGTCAGTCTGACATCAATACCAGGGAAGAGGCTGGAGCAGCACCTTAAGCAAACAGCCTGGGAGCACCTAGACAGGAATGCTGTGATCACCAATAGTCAGCTTGGATTGCTGAAAAGTAAGTCATGTCAGACTAACCTGATCTCGTTTTTGACAGAATTACAAGGCTGGTAGATGAAGGGAACGCAGTGGATGTAGCCTACCTTGATTTCAGCAAGGCATTTGACAAGGTGCCCCATGATATTCTTGTAAAGAAGCTGGTAAAATGCGGTCTTGACTATGCTACCACTCAGTGGATTTGTAACTGGCTGACTGACCGAACCCAAAGGGTGCTCATCAATGGTTCCTCTTCATCCTGGAGAAGAGTGGCTAGTGGGGTGCCACAGGGTTCTGTCTTGGGCCCGGTCTTATTCAACATCTTTATCAACGACTTGGATGATGGACTCAAGGGCATCCTGATCAAATTTGCAGATGACACCAAACTGGGAGGGGTGGCTAACACCCCAGAGGACAGGATCACACTTCAAAATGACCTTGACAGATTAGAGAACTGGGCCAAAACAAACAAGATGAATTTTAACAGGGAGAAATGTAAAGTATTGCACTTGGGCAAAAAAATGAGAGGCACAAATACAAGATGGGGACACCTGGCTTGAGAGCAGTACATGTGAAAAGGATCTAGGAGTCTTGGTTGACCACAAACTTGACATGAGCCAACAGTGTGACGCGGCAGCTAAAAAGCCAATGCAATTCTGGGCTGCATCAATAGGAGTATAGCATCTAGATCAAGGGAAGTAATAGTGCCACTGTATTCTGCTCTGGTCAGACCTCACCTGGAGTACTGTGTCCAGTTCTGAGCACCACAGTTCAAGAAGGACACTGACAAACTGGAACGTGTCCAGAGGAGGGCAACCAAAACGGTCAAAGGCCTGGAAACGATGCCTTATGAGGAACGGCTAAGGGAGCTGGGCATGTTTAGCCTGGAGAAGAGGAGGTTAAGGGGTGATATGATAGCCATGTTCAAATATATAAAAGGATGTCACATAGAGGAGGGAGAAAGGTTGTTTTCTGCTGCTCCAGAGAAGCAGACACGGAGCAATGGATCCAAACTACAAGAAAGAAGATTCCACCTAAACATTAGGAAGAACTTCCTGACAGTAAGAGCTGTTTGACAGTGGAATTTGCTGCCAAGGAGTGTGGTGGAGTCTCCTTCTTTGGAGGTCTTTAAGCAGAGGCTTGACAACCATATGTCAGGAGTGCTCTGATGGTGTTTCCTGCTTGGCAGGGGGTTGGACTCGATGGCCCTTGTGGTCTCTTCCAACTCTATGATTCTATAATTCTAGGCAGCCCACAAGTGGAAGCAATTTAATAGTAGTAGTAGTAGTAGTAGTAGTAGTGGTGGTGGTACGGAGGTATTAGTTACTATAATAGAAGATTTACATTGTGCAGTGGTTTGCTACTATGTCAAAAGCTCAATATTGTGAGTCTAAATAATTAGTCAGTAGTGCTTGGCATTGGCTGAGCTGCAGTGTACTTCCATGGTATCGTGAATGGAAATAAATGAAGGAAAACAATACGAAATACCAAGCTCTCGAGTTCACCTTATAAAAACTTAGAATGGAGTATCTAATCCTTTTGCTTTTCTTTCACCCTCACTTGGGAATATTGACATTTGAATAAATGGCCTGTGTTGATGCCATATTGTCCATTTGCACCACTGATGTGACAAGAGGAGTTTTTGTTTTGTTTCTTTTCAGACACAAGTGCCTACCTCACCCTCTCCCTGCAATATCTCACAAATGTTACTCCAGCAAGTTGTGCCATTAATTCTTTCTTGCTTTGTCTTTCTGTTTGTTTGTTTTTTATTATTCTTACTTCCATTTGGATGGTTTTAGTATGCTGTTAATGCCTAAGTTTTGAAACAGCACAAGTTCCACAAGAATCCCAGACCTCTGTATCAGAAAGAGAATGCATCTTATTCTGCAAAAGAATGAAACATTAATGTTTGCCCTTGTTCAAGTCTAGCTGTGGTCTCAAGGGAAGCTGTTGGCTCGTTCCTGTTACTTTTCATGATGATAACTTCCTTTAAAAAGGCACTGGGATAAATCTGTTGGGAAAATAGTACTGGGAAAAGATGGGGCAGGAGCATGCAATGAAATATTTGATCTATAAAAGTCCACTAGAATGTGTACAGAACTTTTCCCTAAACCAACCCTTGGCTTTCGCACCATCAAAATCTTTGCCAACTCACAAAACAGAGATGTGGGTTTTTTGGATCTCAAACTATACATTCATCGTCCAGGAATTAATATGCAGATATAGTGAAACAGAAGCATTCATAACAGATACCGGGTTGCTGGTTTTTTTCTTTAAAAATGGCGGTTGTTTTAATTAACAAGTGACAGTATTTCACTATCCTATTAAACTGGTATTTAGAGCCATGTTGATTGGAATAATGCATCCCTCTCCTGGTCTAATTCAGGTCTCTGTTTCTAGCTGAAGTGAGTGCTGTAGCTTCTGTGCTGCAGAATCACACCTCAGCCAAAGCACAGTTAACTGCCAATATTTCATGCCAAGGTGGCAAGTGAGAGATTGAGAAATACAGGCATTTGTAAGTGACAGAGATAATGAAATTGGCGAATCATGTGCTTTCCCAGCAGAACCCAAATTGCAATGTCCAAATGAGGAGGATGTACAAAAATATAGACAGATGGTACGTATCTCACAGCCTACCAAGGCACGAATGTAGGACAGCGAAATAATAATAAAAAAGAAACATGAAAAAAAATGAATGCACAGTGGGGTTCTGGGGGTTTTTTGAGAGAGAAGGGAAGCAAGCAAAATTGTTAGATTTGCTGTTTTTCCACTAACTGATCATCTCTGCAGCTTTCTTTTCCCATTGCTGTATTTTATCTGTGACATAAAGGCATGATAACAAGAAGGAAACAAGAGCTGACTGATTGGGGCCAGAGGCAATCTGTGCTTTGAAATGAGGGACAACTGAAAGAAATAACAGAAAAAAGATTAAACTCCCTTAATGGTAAATCAGCCGTGATAAAGGCTTCTCTGCCCAAGCTCCCCAGTTCTGAAAATGCTTGATCTTCTAAGGGCTTCTCTTAACTGCTGTGAGACAGTGTGCGTCTACAGATGGAGACACATGTCAATATTTAACTTTTAATCTTTCAGAACCATTGCTTCTTAACAAGGATACATCCCAGCTTTGTTGGGACACATGAGGCACATCCGGCACTAAACTCTTGAAATTCTGCATGGAATGACGGGGTCGGAGTGGCCCCAATTAACCATCTAGTCCCAGCCTGCACAGCTTGATGATCCATCATTTCTTGTAGCCTGCCAGCCGCTTATGGCACCCGCTGGGGTTCAGTAACCCTCCTAGTCTTGACAAATGCATCCAAACAGATCACCCAAAGCGTAGCCAAACGGGAGACCATTTAGCTGTTTTGCTTTTGCTGTTCCTTGCTAAGCGCCGTGTGGTCTTTTTCTCTCTTAGGTATCCTGACACTGTTGAACACATGACACGGCCCGAGCAGATGCGCGCCAGTGTTATGCAGGCTCTGCAATATCTCAACGGCCTCCTTCCCAAAGGGAGCCATGTGCTTTTAACCGGTTTGGTAGACGGCCGCTTTCTGTGGGATAACTTGCACGATCGATTCTATCCTCTGGGTAAATACACCAACTTTTTTTCTTAGATGTGATGGCGCTGCGGAGGTGCTATGAAATGGCAGTGCTGGGATTCTGAGTGCCAGTTCATTCACCACGTGGCTCTTTGGGACCCTCAGATTTGTGCAAGTTGCAAAATTTGCAACTCCTCCTTTCAGTGAAAGCACATTGTCCAGCTTTATACTAGATAGTGGGTATACTGTACTTAAGATATATAAAGGACACCTTGGTTTGGGCTTTGGTGATTACGTTTTTTGTGGTCATAGCTGAAAATTCCTCCAGTGCCTTATTTGGCAAAAAATAAACAAATCTCTCCGGTCTTTTGTATTATTTCTTTCTAAACTTTAAATGTTTTACAAATGTCTCTTTTCCCAATTGTGTCAAAGGCAGACTGCCTGCCTGACAGATTTTAGCGCTTCCAGCTGGGTGCCGTGAATTCAATGGGACTTATTCCCTGGCAAGGGCATGTAGGAGTTCAGCTTAAGATACTGTAATTCATTATCTTGATCCGAGAAGGAGAAAAAACTACGAGACAAATGATCAAATATGAACATTTCTTAATATAGAGCATGTTATGGGAAGCCTGAGGTGAGTTTAACAATACATGAATTTAGGTCACATGGACAGAAGAAGTATATGTTTCTTTCTGTGACAGAATGCATTATTTCCACGTTTAAAGCCAACCGATGTGAGGTATAAAAAAGCCATAGTTGCACACAGTTGTCTTTAATCTTCCTCCTTGACGTGAAAAAGCTAGATTGGTTTTGGAGAGTGAAAGGCTTGTTAATGGGTATCAGTCACTCAACCCTGGGATTTGAAGTGAATATTATGTGACTCTGATCTCTTGTTAGCTTAATTGGCTGAGAATAGAGGTGGAAAAGGTTTATATGCAGAAGTAAAGAAGACGTGTGTGTGTGTGTGTGTGTGTGTGTGTGTGTGTGTAATGTGACTTGAGACACAGATGTGAAGGGGCAGCAATAAAGCCAAGGTCGGTTATATAGCAGACATAGGCAAACTCGGCCCTCCAGGTATTTTTGAGACTACAATTCCCATCATCCCTGACCACTGGTTCTGCTAGCTAGGGATCATGGGAGTTGTAGTCCCAAAACATCTGGAGGGCCGAGTTTGTGTGTGCTTGCTATATAGTATATTGCAAATACATTGTGTGAATCAGCCTGAGGGAGTTTATTTGCAACAGCAGTTACAAAGGATATATATGAATGGGGCCAAAGAGAGCTCATTTTGAATCCTTACATAGCTATGCAAGTGTCTGAGCGAACCTGGGCAAATCATACTGCTCAGCTTTGCTTCACAAAGTTGTGGAGAGCATAAAAGGCCTTATGAACCTTAGCTTATCCCAAAACATTGGAGAAAAGCTGGAAGGTAAACCAAACAAGCACTAGGCTTTGTGCATAAAAGGTAAAGGGTAAAGAGAACCCTGACCATTAGGTCCAGTTGTGGCCGACTCTGGGGTTGCAGTGCTCATCTCGCTTTATTGGCCGAGGGAGCCGGCGTACAGCTTCCGGGTCATGTGGCCAGCATGACGAAGCCGCTTCTGGCGAACCAGAGCAGTGCACGGAAATGCCGTTTACCTTCCCGCCGGAGCGGTACCTATTTATCTACTTTCACTTTGATGTGCTTTCGAACTGCTAGGTTGGCAGGAGCTGGGACCGAGCAACGGGAGCTCACCCCGTCGCGGGGATTCGAACCGCCGACCTTCTGATCAGCAAGCCCTAGGCTCTGTGGTTTAACCCACAGTGCCACCCACGTCCCATAAAAGCTTTGTGCATAGCTTTTAGCTAAAACCAAAGAAGCCTGAATAGAGCTGCTGCAGATTACAGATCCAATAATGAGACAAACTGCTATTAATTGCCTTATACCTAATTTTGGCACCGTTGCCTATGCCAAATCTTCATGAGGATTGTCGTGTACATATGCCAGCTATCAAAATAGCCACTGTACACTAATGAATATAGTGATAGTGGCAGGAAATATCAAAGGAGGGAGAGCGTCCGAGGACTGCTTGCCTGTTCTATGTACTTGGGTGCCTCAGCACAAACAGTGAAATTCTTAGTCTTTTTCATTCTTTTAGGTGGATGCATGTAGACTTGGGTTGCATACCAAGCCACAATGTCCCCTTCTCCCACAGCTCCACTTCTGACCTTTGTGTGTTGATAATGGAAGTCTCCCAACCATAGGGATGCTTCTAAGCACTGAACACAATGAGAATCTCTTGAGATTTTCACGCTCAGCATGTGAAGGTCAGAAGTGAGCTTCCTCTCCTGGAGTTAAGCCCAAACATGTTCACTCAAATGCTCTTGCCAGGCAGATTTCTAATGCGTTTCCAGCAAGGGACATGATATGTTTTCACGTGGTCAGTTTTGAAAATATTTCTGTTTTCCAGGCCAGTTGAACAAAGATGTCACATACGAACATTTTTTCTCGTTTCTCAGCTGTCTACAGGTAAGTTGCCTCAATGTCCAATGCAATTACATCTTGGGCTGAAAAAAGCTGAGTATGAGAGGTGATGCCTTCTGTTGGTTTGACATCTAGTTGTGGTGGAAGTTCGTGAGGTTCGTAAACGAACCTTCCTTTAGGAAGAGCGTAAAGCAGGGGGAGGCAACCTAAGGCCTGGGGGCTGGATGCGGCCCAATTGCCTTCTCAATCCGGCCTGCAGACGGTCCGGGAATCAGTGTGGTTTTACATGAGTAGAATGTGTCCTTTTATTTAAGATGCATCTCTGGGTTATTTGTGAGGCCTGCCTGATGTTTTTACATGAGTAGAATGTATGCTTTTATTTAAAATGCGTCTCTGGGTTATTTGTGGGGCATAGGAATTCGTTCATTTCCCCCCACCCACCCAAAATATAGTCCAGTCCACCACATGGTCTGAGGGACGGTGGACCGGCCCACAGCTGAAAAAGGTTGCTGACCCCTGGCGTAAAGTAATTAGGCATGTAACTGTATGTAGCGTTGGGACACGGGTGGCGCTGTGGGTTAAACCACAGAGCCTAGGACTTGCCGATCAGAAGGCGGTTCGAATCCCCACGACGGGGTGAGCTCCCGTTGCTCGGTCCCTGCTCCTGCCAACCTAGCAGTTCAAAAGCACGTCAAAGTGCAAGTAGATAAATAGGCACCGCTCCAGCGGGAAGGTAAATGGCGTTTCTGTGCGCTGCTCTCATTCACCAGAAGCGGCTTAGTCATGCTGGCCACATGACCCGGAAGCTGTACGCCGGCTCCCTCGGCCAATAAAGTGAGATGAGCGCTGCGACCCCAGAGTGAGCCACGACAGGACCTAATGGTCAGGGGTCCCTTTACCTTTACCTTTAACTGTATGTAGCAAGTATAGACTATGAGCTAATCTTTCGGCTTTTAGAGAGGGCTGGCCTTATCACAAGGTGGAACTTTGAAGAAGAAGCAAATGGAAGGAGATGGGTGTTGGATTCCCCTGCTAGTCCCCATGCCTTGCTGTTTTGTACCAAAGTGTTGCCCAGGACAAAAGCAAGTCTGTTGGGATCAACAAGCCCCAAGGACAAATTGAATAGGTGAAGTCCTGGAGGGATGACAGGATCCAAACTTAACTGGGGGAGAAGAAGGGGGATCTCATTTCAATATTTGGTTTAGGGCTCCCAAGTTCTTGTAGGCCATCCCTGAGTTTTAGTGCTCCAAACAAGTAAACCAGAGATCATGGACGATTGTGTCCGCAACTATTAAGAACATCTGTTTTCTGAATTTCGGTTGTTAATCTGAATTATCTCCTTCACTCTGTTTCCTGCCTAGGTCTGAAACAGTAACACTTTGTTTTAAAAAATACATGCAATGTTTTTGATAACATCTCCAGCCTTCCAGTTAATGGAGGTTTTTCTCTGTCTCCTGGTGCCTTCATTACATATCTTTAGGTGCGAGGCAAAAACATTCCTCTTCTCCCTTCGGCTAATTAAACAATCTATGATCTTTTAAACTGTTTGCGTGGGGCTATTCTTTTTGTTTGTTACTATGTATTTTGTGTGTGTGTGGTAATAATAATAATAATAATAATAATAATAATAATAATAATAATAAAAAACCACCTTGTCATCTTCAGAGGAAAGGTGAATAGACATTTATTATTATTATTATTATTATTATTATTATTATTATTATTTTACACACACAAATATTTAAATCTTTCTGCATTCACACAGTCTGCTCCATGCGTTGGCTGGATGTCTGCAAATGCCACTCTTAGGAACCTGACCTCAGAGGTATGTTTAATATAAAAGTAATTTTAAAATATATTCAGATATTCTATTTTTAAAGACGGTATTTGGACTTCTGCTGTAAGAAGGAAATAAGGTTTTAAAGGACGGGATATTTTATATCACTGTTTTAGTGAAGAAATCTGGACTCCTAATATCACCAAGGGCTTGTATTGTTCTGCTTCAATTCAAGATGCTCAGATCGGATTCAGGTTCTTATATATTTAAACAATCTGCTTAATGTACATGGGGTTCAAATGCCAGCAAAATAGCCTGCCAGTTCTTGTTCTTTCCCAGAGTAATATCTCACTTAAATCTTCAAGGCAAGCTAATAGACGTTTTATGGGACTGCCTTGCCTAAGAATGAACATTTTTGAAAGCAGCCTGCATAGGTATCAAGTGCTTCTAGCGTAATATTTTCCCTGTTGTGCTAGCTTTCTACATGCAAGGAAGTCTTGGCGTGGAGGGGCTTGCAAGCAGGCACTCCCCCTCCACATGGCGTCTGAAGCAGCTCAGTCACAAGGAGGAATTGTAGGTCACGCTGTCTTGTACATCTGAATCAGTAATAATAATAATAATAATATATTTATACCCCGCCCATCTGGCTGGGCTTCCAAAAAAAATATTAAAATACTGTAATACATCAAACATTAAAAGGTTCCCTAAACAGAGCTGCCTTCATATGTCTTCTAAAAGTCTGGTAGTTGTTTGTTCTCTTTGACATCTGGTAGGAGGGTGTTCCACAGGACGGGTGCCACTACCGAGAAGGCCCTCTGCCTGGTTCCCTGTAGCTTTGCTTCTCGCAATGAGGGAACTGCCAGAAGGCCCTCAGCGCTGGACCTCAGCGTCCGGGCAGAACGATGGGGGTGGAGACGCTCCTTCAGGTATACTGGGCCGAGGCCGTTTAGGGCTTTAAAGGTCAACACCAGCACTTTGAATTGTGCTCGGAAATGTACTGGGAGCCAATGTAGGTCTTTCAAGACCGGTGTTATGTGGTCTTGGCGGCCACTCCCAGTCACCAGTCTAGCTGCCGCATTCTGGATTAGTTGTAGTTTCCGGGTCACCTTCAAAGTAGCCCCACAAAGAGCGCATTGCAGTAGTCCAAGCGGGAGATAACCAGAGCATGCATCACTCTGGCGAGGCAGTCCACAGGCAGATAGGATCTCAGCCTGCGTACCAGATGGAGCTGGTAAACAGCTGCCCTGGACACGGATTTGACCTGTGCCTCCATGGACAGCTGTGAGTCCAAAATGACTCCCAGGCTGCGCACCTGGTCCTTCAGGGGCACAGTTACCCCATTCAGGATCAGGGAATCCTGCACACCTGCCCGTCTCCTGTCCCCCCAAAACAGTACATCTATCTTGTCAGGATTCAATCTCAATCTGTTATAAATGAATTTGACAAAAAGTGGCACCTTTCGCTCAAGCAGTTTTGCCTACAGCAGATCCAGGAAGGAATTGTCTTTCTACCGTCTGGAAATGGCTTAGGCTGGCATTGAATGCAAACCTTGGTTGTGAAGCTCTGAACCTTGCAGACAAATGTTGCTCTATATACTGTGCCAATATCTTAATACCGTTTTGGTCAAGGTTGTAAGCAAGGTCAGCTGTTTGTACAAGCGGGGCGGGGGGGAACAGCTCTGTGACTTGGACGTTAAATGGCAGATTTAATTTTACACTTGTTTTTGTGCAGAGAAGCTGAAAGCAGTGTGGCCACACAAAGCTTGCATGTTGTTTTATTGTGCATATTACTGTAAGGTGCTCTGAAGTCTTGGCAGGCAGAGGTGGGTAAGAGTTCTCATAACAATAAAACAATTCACACATATATTCCTTGTGGGTTCCCGACACCCCACAGAGAGCCTTACAGCTTTCCAGTGTCCTGAAGGAGCTGGCAAAATCCGAGAAATATGCCAATTTTGACGTTTTCTACATGGATTACCCACTGAAGGAAGGTAAGCTTTTATAGAGGAGCTGAATAAAGACCCACTCGATACATATCACTAAAAGGGAGAGGTGATGCCTACCAGTCCAAAAGACAAATTCCAATTGTTCGTTTCCCTAAGGACGCCCCTGGGTTTAGGTACTGGGGGGTGGGACTTGGGAAAGGTGCAGTCAGTGGGCTTCCAATCCCTGAATGGGACAACCTGCTGTTGCTGCACTCCATTCACTTGCCCAAGATTGATAACTACTACTACTAATAAAATAATAAAATAATAATAATAATAATATGGCCCAGGACCCTCATACCTACGGGACCGCCTCTCCTGGTATGTCCCGCAGAGGAACTTATGGTCTTCAAACAAAAACATCTTGGAGGTCCCGGGCCACAGAGAGGTTAGGCTGGTCTCAAGCAGAGCCAGGGCTTTGTCGGCTGTGGCTCCGATCTGGTGGAACGCTCTGTCACAAGAGACTAGGGCCCTGCGGGACTTGACATCTTTCCGCAGGGCCTGCAAGATAGAGCTGTTCCACCAGGCCTTTGGCCAAGGCACAGCCTGACCCCCTTCTTAGGCAATCATCACAGAACACTAGCCCAATGGTTGCCATTAATTTGATTTGAATTAATTTTATAATGAAATGATTTTAGAATGTTGTATTATTTTATTGTTGTTAGCCGCTCTGAGCCCGGCTTTGGCTGTGGAGGGTGGGATATAAATACAAATTAATAATAATAATAATAATAATAATAATAATAATAATTTATTTATACCCCACCCATCTGGCTGTGTTTCCCAGAACCAAGGTAGCTGGAGGATGTGGCCCTGCCTCCTCTCTCCTGCATGTTCAGAGAGCACTGATGTGCAAGCAGTGACAGAAAAGGGAGGCAAGCAGGGCCACAGGGCTCTAGGAGGTGACAGTTGGGAGGTGGACCCAGCAACAGCACACCACCCCAATCTCAGAGCGGTGCGAGATTCCAGGGGTTCCAGGCGCTTACCCCGGGTTTGTGTTTCCTTTGGGAACGAGGGACAGCAGAGACTGTGGTGTCTTTATTTACATATATATACAACCTGAGCCTCTTTCCTTTGTTTCCCTTAATGGCACATAACCAAGGCTATCTTCTCAACACAGGAAGCTAGCCTGGCTTATATTTTAACATTTGCTGGATCCAGAGGTTACCGCAGAAGGTTCTTGCATACAGCCTACAGTGGTGCCTCGCAAGACGAAATTAATTCGTTCCGCGAGTTTTTTCGTCTCGCGGTTTTTTCGTCTTGCGAAGCACGGTGTCGGAAAAGTTTTGGAAAAGCTTCAGAAATCACCAAAGTCTTCAAAAACCTCAAAAAAGGCTACCACACCACGTGCTATGAGTTGCTCCTCAAAGTCAAGTCGCAACTGTATTAACGGTTTTAAGAAAAAGGAAACAATCTTGCAAGACGTTTCCGTCTTGCGAAGCAAGCCCATAGGGAAAATCATCTTGCGAAGCAACTCAAAAAACCAAAACCCCTTTCGTTTTGCGAGTTTTCCGTCTTGCAAGGCATTCGTCTTGCGAGGTACCACTGTACTTCCCCTCTCTCCTTGCTAGTTCCAGCAGTCACCCCCATCAGCAGCAGTAATGGTGAGAAGGCTTCCACAGGGACTACTAGAACCATTGAGGGGACCCAGGTGACTTTTTCTGCTAGCAGAAGCCCCGCTGGTCCAGAGGCTGAATTCTGATCTGACCTTGTGCTCTCCCAGGGCCAGCCCAAGACATTTTGGCACCCCCCCTCCCCACCAGGGAAGAAGGGGGGAGGAAACAAGGGGGGAGGAGAGATAGATTGACATCGGCTGCCCTGTAGATCCTGCCGCCTGAAGCAGTCACTACACCTTGTCTCCTGACTGGGCTGGCCCTGAGCTCATCGTGATGCCGAAAACAAGAATCTATCCCTCCATTGAGGAAGGGGGAGTGTTGGTGGAGGATACAGATTTTGGGTGGTCGGCTAGTCCAGCCAAAATCTGTAGACCACTGGCTACATGAATGTGCCTCTGGCTCTCAGTCAACTCATGTGGGTGCCAACCCAGCAAGGAAACAGTATGTGTAAGCAGCAGTTTGTGGCTCTTTCTTGCAGGATCCAGGCATAAGAGGCTTACAGACTTTGCTTCCTAAACATTCCTTTTACTTAGTTATGCAATCACTTATTCTTCGCTTACAATAAATTATTAAGGGATCCGTCGCTTAAATCAAAACCATTCTGAATACCCTCTTAATGTTTCATGAGAGTCATTATCTGATTGCTGATGAGCCAAATTACTTCGAAGTGCTAAATATATTGAGTCTGGGTTGGGTGGGGAAATCAATGGGGTTTACCTTTTCACGTTGGCAAACAAAAGAAAATGCAACACAACCTTAGGGAATGTTTGTCACAGGCCCATAATCGTGTTTACAATTAAAGGCTTCTGCTTAGTGGAAGCATCACTTGTCAGTTTCCCTTCTCGCCTGCCTCTGCTCTCTTCACTGACCTATTTTTCATTTTCTTTTTGCTAAAGTTACTGCAACCCCCTTTTTGGAGTCTCAAAGTATTATTAAATATTCAGCAGCTATTGCAATCTCTCCCTCCACCCCTCCGGCTTTGGGTGACGTCCTAATTTTTGGATTTTGAGAGCCCTGGCACTGGTTTCATTGTGGATTAGGCCTCACCCAGAATTTTAAACTGTTTCTTAAGTCCCCCATGAAGCTCATTCCTGCTATAGAAATTCCTTCCTCTTAACAGTGCTGCTCACAGACTCTTGTAGCGCTTAAAAACCTGAAAAAGTGGAAAGTGAGGAAAAAAGAATGTGTGAGCACACAGTGAGTTTCTGTCATAGTTCCTTTAACCCTCTTAAATTCCCAACACGGAAAGTGTTTTTTAAACTCTAGATCACAGAGCTGGGTGTCATATGTGTTTGTTTACATGCAAGAAATCTGATGTATTCAGGTAGGGGCATAATAGACTGAAAATGATGGTAGCTGTCAGTTTGTGAGAGATTAGTATTGTTATAGGTCTCTCCCCCCCCAAAAAAACCCCTTGGAAATTAATAAATGGTAGGATTTTGATTATTTGGGATTTGAAGGGACACGGGTGGTGCTGTGGTCTAAACCACAGAGCCTAGAGCTTGCCGATCAGAAGGTCGGTGGTTCAAATCCCCGCGACGGGGTGAGCTCCCGTTGCTCGGTCCCTGCTCTTGCCAACCTAGCAGTTTGAAAGCACATCCAAGTGCAAGTAGATAAATAGGTACCACTCTGGCGGGAAGGTAAACGGTGTTTCCGTGCGCTCCTCTGGTTCTCCAGAAGCAGCTTAGTCATGCTGACCACATGACCTGGAAAAACTGTCTTCGGACAAACGTCGGCTCCCTCGGCCAGTAAAGCGAGATGAGCGCCGCAACCCCAGTCATTTGCGAGTGGACTTAATTGTCAGGGGTCCTTTAGCTTTAGCTTTTATACAGGCTGCAGAGGAATTCCTGGGCTAGCCCATGCAAAACGACCTGCTAGGGCCAGTAAGAAACAATATAGGGCCATTGGCAATGCAAGAAAACTGGCCTTCCCCCCTGCTCTGAAGTGTGAACAGAGACGGGGGATTTGGAAGGTTGCCCGGGGTAAGGCATGATGTCCCAAGAAGAGTTTGGGACCTTTGGCATGAGGCTTGGCATATCTGAACCTCACAGCAACATTTGACCGTTTGGACCAGTCGTATGCAGTAATGAAAATGGTTCAGATCCAGGCACATATATAACCACAACTGTCCGTTTTGTTTCCAGAAAGCAGTGACCTTGAATTTTGATTTTGGGGAAGAGGGAGCTGAAGAATAGGAGACGGAATGTGTTCAATCGGAATTCAGTTTACGTATTTTGTACCTTTGCCTCATGTGAGCCTCATTCTTACTTGGAACTGAATGTGTGTTCTTCTGCCAGCATTTATGCTCCAAGAGTTTACCTTGCATAAATATCTTGGAAGGGCTTAAATGCCGCCTAGAAGGAAAGGGGATTGGATGCAGTATTGGCTCTGACAATGTTTCATAAATCATCATAATCTTCATGTGCACAACTCATCTTCTAAAAATACTGCCTGTGAGGCTGGGTGAAGTGGATGTGGTGCTTATACGTGCCGTGCATAATCTGCTGTGATTATCTCATTTACAGTTGCTGAGATGTGGCAGAAGTCTGGAGGAGAGGCCTGGCAGCTAATAGAACCTGTGGATGGATTTCATCCTAACCAGGTAAGTAGCAGAGAAAGGCGGTGGGTAGGAATAGGAGGCAAAAGGCACAATAATGAGAAATGTGGGTTCTCAAGGGAATAGGGGGGTCCTCAAGGGCATTCTGGATGTACCACAACCTCTTTCTGTCTTCAGACAAAGGAACTCTTATTTGGCTTCTCCCACATTCTGAGTTCCTGGGTTGACTTCATCAAGCCCATCTTTCAACATCACCTTTACATTGAAGATAACGCCTCTCTACCCCAGCATTTGACATTCTACATTAGAACCCATTTGACTATTTTTTAAAAATGGATTTCTGTCAGGATGCTGTCAGAGGCTCCCAGCTGGTGGCCCAGGAAAGGATAAAGACAAAGAAAAGTTTCATACTGTCCTTTTTTACTTCAGTCTTTCCAGAGAGAGGCTATAGAACCCAGCCTCTTGGATAATGCCGTTGTCCCGAGTGAATCTCCACCCCCTGTATCTCCCTCATTCGTCATCCTCATCATCTCCTCCACGGGTGCTGCTAAGTGTCCTCTGTCTTTCAGCTCTTTGCTCTCCTACTTTTAAGGCTCACCAGGTCCTGGGAGATGGAGGGTCTGGAATGCTTTCGAATGACATGTCAGTCAGCTGCTCTGGCTCTCCCACAATTTCCCAACTTTCTCCCTCATCTGCCTCTGAGCTGTGACCTCCCTCAAAGCCCTGTTGTACAATTCAAAGTGTTGGTGCTGACCTTTAAAGCCCTAAACGGCCTCAGTCCAGTATACCTGAAGGAGCGTCTCCACCCCCATCATTCTGCCCGGACACTGAGGTCCAGCGCCGAGGGCCTTCTGGCGGTTCCCTCACTGTGAGAAGCAGAGGGCCTTCTCGGTAGTGGCACCCGCCCTGTGGAACGCCCTCCCACCAGATGTCAAAGAGATAAACAACTACCTGACATTCAGAAGACATCTGAAGGCAGCCCTGTTCAGGGAAGTTTTTAATGTGTGACATTTTAATGTATTTTTAATCCTTGTTGGAAGCCACCCAGAGTGGCTGGGGAAACCCAGCCAGATGGGCGGAGTACAAATAATATATTATTATTATTATTATTATTATTATTGTCATCATCTATACTGTCTTCCTCTTCCTCCTCCCTGGAAGGGTCAGGATGGGGAGGTGGTCTCTACCACTCCTCTGCCCAGTCCCTCATAATTTTTATACTGTCTTTTTGAATTGGCATAACCCTGCCCAGACCCAGACCTTATGGATGGGTGAGAATCCTAGGTGGTTATGATGACAATAATATAACCTCTTGTCAGGGACTGGCTGGATGACTGGAGGCGGGAGGAGCACCAGCCGGCCAACCTCCTGGGGAAGCCTCAGAGGAGGAAGGTTAAGAGCCTGGGGGGTGGACACTGAAGACAGAGCCGGGGTGCCAACTTGAATAAAATATTGGGGAGGCAGGTAAGCCCCGCCCTACATGATCACATGACATGGCACACGGACAACATTTGAATGGCAATGCTCATCAACTTTGGGGGGGGGTCCTATTGAGCAGAGGATGGTTGTCTGCTGGAAAAGCAACAGGTGTGAGTGAGAGGGAAAAGCCAAGAGCAGAAAGCAGTTCAGACTCCGTACATGAAGCTTCCCAGCAGCTTGCCTGTCCTACTGTTAGGCTCCCGCCCTCCCTTATCTCCAAGGACACGAAGAGCTATGCATGCGGCAGAACAATGAGCAAGGGCTCCCTCCCGCCATAGTTGATGCCTATGTGGGCAACCTCTGGAGGACTGAGCAGAAAGTGGGAAGCAGGAACTTCCTGGCAGGTGTCATATGGAAGCTGGTCCGGCCTTGAGGCTTCTCTGCACTGTTTGCTGTTTTCTTGAATAAAGAATTAAATTCCCTGTTCGTCTCTGCATTAGAGTGCTGACCTGCATCTGAACTAGCCCTGACACTTCTGTGCCCCATAAGCTTCCCCACATTCATTTTTGCATTTTAAATTTCCTGTCTGATATTTCTGCTTAGATGTTTCACACTGCCTCAAGCTCACTGTGTCCAAGGCTGGTGCTCTTCTCTTTCCCAGCAAGCCTCTTCAGTATTCATTTATAACATCGCCATTCACCATATTAAACAAGCACACAACCTTGGCTTTATATTTGACCCCCTTTCTCATTTGCTTCCTATATTCAATCTGTCGCCAAGTCAGGTTGCGTCTCCTCTTACAGGATTGCAAAGACATAACCCTCCCTCTCTTGACGCAAAATTTTAGTCAACGTTCTGATCACCGCCTGCCTTAATGACTTCTCCTCTCTGGCCTTCCTTTGCTGCATCTCAGCTCCCTCATCTCTCCCTGGAACTTTGCTGCCAAAGTAATTTGCTCTGACTATGCGGCACCCTTCCTTAACCTCCTGCACTGGCTCCTTGCCTCTTCCAGATTCAGCACAAAACCTGCGTTGTTACCTGCTAAGCCCTCCCTGACCTTGCCCTCATTCATTTCTCTGTTCTTGTACTCCAACAGATCCTTGCCCAAGACTGTTGCTCCTCTAGCTCTGCCACCCTCCGTGATCTGGAGGGATTATATCCAGTTAGTAGTAGTAGTAGTAGTAATAATTAACTTATTATTTATACCCCACCCACCTGGCTGGGTTTCTCCAGCCACTCTGGGCGGCTTCCAACAGAATATTAAAATAAAATAACCTATTAAACATTAAAAGCTTCCCTAAACAGGACTGCCTTCAGATGTCTTCTAAAAGTCTGGTAGTTGTTCTTCTCTTTGACATCTGGTGGGAGGGTGTTCCACAGGGCGGGTGCCACTACCTGGTTCCCTGTAACTTGTCTTCTCGCAGTGTCCCTCTGCTCTTTTATCCAATGGAATCTTAACAACAGAGGGACAGAAATCAAGCCAATATTTGAGGATATTCTTTTCTCCTTCACCCCACCAAAATCTGTTCCAGAAGGTTAGCAGGCTTCTGGAATAGTAAGGAAAATGGGTGATCTCTATTTTCGTTCCGCTGACTGAAAGCTCTGCAAGTTCAAACCTAAGTTTTCCTGCTCCCTCAGTCACTTCCACCCTTTTCTCTTGCTGCTGCTTAAACCTGGTTCTCTCTCCTAGAACACCTTCACAATGCCACCTCTTACATTGTTCAAACCCCTCAAACCCCACTATTCCGCAAAACATTTGGCACGTTAGTCCTCAGTTCCTACTGAAGCCTCAGCATATTTGTAAATACGTACACTGAACACAGATACCTTTCCTTGGTGGGTTTTGTCTCATTTGCATATATGTTCCTATTCCATATAGACAGTTGATACCACTTTAATTGTCATACCCCTCAAAAGAATACAGAAAGAATGCTGAATTTTAAAAAAAAATATTCTTAGTAATAACTATTAAACTAATAGAAGTCCGTTTAATAAATATATCGTACACCTGTTACAAGCGTGCTCTGCTGGGGATTCAGTCAATTAAGTAGTCATCCAATTTCTTTAATAAGATTATGTTTTAAAAGTTATGTGGAAAGACGTGGGCTACAATTTGGAAACAAACTTTCTTCCAGCATTTCTCCCATATTTACCTAGTGGTGTGGGAGCCATTTCGCTGTGGGATCTTCCCACAAGTGTTCAGATTCAGGAACACCGTGCAGATGGAGTTCCTTTCCCACTTAATTGAGGCCAGTGTTCTTTGCCAACCAACAGTTGGATAAAGAATAAGTAAATATCAACAAAATATTCAATCATCTATCTCCTTTATCTTGGCTGCAACCATTTCTCTGTCTCTCTCCTTTTCCATCTCTGCTTTTCCTTTGGTATGAAGGAACCCATTATTTCATGTTGTATATGACTATACACACCTGTTGGACGCGGGTGGTGCTGTGGTCTAAACCACAGAGCCTAGGGCTTGCCGATCGGAAGGTCGGTGGTTTGAATCCCCATCATGGGGTGAGCTCCCATTGTTTGGTCCCAGCTCCTGCCCACCTAGCAGTTCAAAAGCACATCAAAGTGCAAGTAGATAAATAGGTACCGTTCTGGCAGGAAGGTAAATGGTGTTCCGTGCACTGCTCTGGTTCGCCAGAAGCGGCATAGTCATGCTGGCCACATGACCCGGAAGCTGTACGCCGGCTCCCTTGGCCAATAAAGCAAGATGAGCGCCGCAACCCCAGAGTCGTCTGCAACTGAACCTAATGGTCAGGGGTCCCTTTACATTTATACACACCCGTTACGCCCAATTGATGGCCCTGAGAAATAAGACCCTCCCTGGAGCCCATCAGTTAGGATGGAAAAAGCCCCCAAAATGGCCGGAGACGCAGCGGGGATTTGTTTACGCTGCTCAGCCTCCTCTCCTAACAGCTAATGTGTGGAGTGCTGCAGCAGCAGCATGTTCCTCCAGTGCTTCAGTTCTAGTTGTGGATATTTCTGGATGCTGTATTTTTGGTATGGATTGAAGGGAGAGCGGCAGAGAGGGCGTTTAGAGAGTGCTCCCCACTTTACGCGATTTCACATGTGCATGCAGGGGCCCGGAATGTAACCCCCATGAAATTAGCACCTGCACACAATGTATATGCAATTGGAACAATGTATGATTGGTTATTATTGCTATTGGGAGGGAGAAAGCAAAACTCGCAAAACTGGGCCTGCCTATGCGGTTCCTTTATTCCGATACGTGACATGAGATCCCACTTTGTGCAAGCAGCTCCATCTCGGCTCACAGTAAGTGTGAAAGGGTCGTCTGCGTCAGAATAAATAAATGGCCTGTGCACTGATGCCATTTAAAGTTGAGTGAAATTTTCAAAACCACTTGACATCTAGGAGAATATAAACCTGCTGTTCCGTAAGTTATGCCTAGAAATCCCATTCTTAATACTGTCCTTTGATGGATTGCTTTTAGATATGGGACTTATTTGCAAGATTGTACAGCCTTCTCCCCCCAGCCCACCTGTTGGGTTGGAGGTTTTTTTTTTTTTACAAAATAAATATTTCCCTTTTTTAATAGCCTCATCCTTTTCTTCCTTAACCCTCAAATCTAAGCTACGGGGAGGCTGAGTAACTGAGCAGCTTCAAGGGCAGTGCTGGCTTTGAGGGCTTGATTGCTGACATAGTCATGCATTTCAGCACAGCCGAATAAAGCAAAATGTTTATATGCTTCAGAAAGCTCTAAGGCAATACACCCGGCTCAAGCGGACCAGTCTGAGTTTATTCTGAGAATTATAATCACTTTATAAGGATAGGAGAACACAGCTGGAGGGCCACTGGACCCTTTCCTTCCAAATGACAAAATGTATTTGTCAGAAAACCCCGACGCTGGAAAAATTCATGCGGTGATTTACATATTTTAAAAGACTGAGCTGAAAAGAAGCACTTATCTAACTCTGTGAACCTGGAAAAGCATTTAATTAGTCATATAGGCAGCTCTATGGTAGGGCGGAAAGAGAGCTAGCAGCGTTTCAGCTTAACTTGGGAAGGGAAAGTAAGAATTACTTAGAGGGTGAAGTTTCTGTTGACATGTTAGCACATTTTTAAAGAAAATTGTGCTGTGAATTTCAGTGGTCCTTTTGTTGTTAACTGTTTGTTCACTGAGCACCTCAGGTTGCCACACCAGAGTTTATACCATGGGTAGGCAACCTAAGGCCCGGGGGCCGGATCCGGCCCAATCGCCTTCTAAATCCAGCCCGCGGATGGTCCGGGAATCAGCGTGTTTTTACATAAGTAGAATGTGTGCTTTTATTTAAAATGCATCTCTGGGTTATTTGTGGGGCATAGGAATTCGTTCATCCCCCCCCCAAAAAAATATAGTCCAGCCCCCCACAAGGTCTGAGGGACAGTGGACCAGCCCCCTGCTGAAAGTTTGCTGACCCCTGGTTTATAATAATAATAATAATAATAATTTATTATTTATACCCCGCCCATCTGGCTGAGTTTCCCCAGCCACTCTGGGCGGCTCCCAATCAGTGTTAAAAACAGTACAGCGTTACATATTAAAAACTTCCCTGAACAGGGCTGCCTTAAGATGTCTTCTGAATGTCAGGTAATTGTTTATCTCTTTGACATCTGATGGGAGGTTGCTTGAGGGAAATCACCTTCATGAAAGCATCTTCTTTATACTTTGAGCCACCCAAATTGCTACATTTGTTGAGTAGCTGGAAGCCAAGATTAACCAAATTAACAGGAATTGGTCTCTTTCCCTATTCATAGAGTAGAATCCTATATGTGTTTACTAATAGGTAAGTTCCTTTGGACTTACTCTCAGGTAAACATGTTTGTAATTGCAGTCTTAAGAGGTGAGGCTAAACCTGTTAAGGCAAAAATAGCTGTGATGTATATTTTTCAAATACAGGAAAGGGAGATGTTTATTTACCAATGGTGGAAAAGAGATTGAAATACCATATAGTCCATTTAATGTGACTTTTCCACCTACACAGGGGACAGTGCATCCGTGAAAGAAAATTATATTTTCCTATTACACAATAATTGATTTTGCTAGAATTATACCTGTTTAGTGGTTACTTATAGCTCCCAAACAAATGCACCTGCGACAAAATTAGCACTCCTCATAAAGAAAAGATGCACATGTGTTGGTTTTTGCCTCCTGCCACTAAAATCTCCTGGGGTTTAAGACATGAAATCTGTTTAGGATCACTAAAAGCTATGTGTTAAAGGTGCATTGAACAGTTTCTGTGTGTCATTGATGTAGGCTGGCTTTCTTATTAATTTTAGTCACATAGTCATTGAAATCCCAGCGAAATTCTGAGATGAAAGTAGATCAACCTTAATATAGCAAAAATGAAAGGTTAAAATTGTGGGTCAAACACATCAGGTAAAAACATATATTAGCTAGATAGGAGAGTCTGTTGTAAAAGGCATGCCAGGCAGGGACTAATTTTCCTTTCAAACCAATTTTGCACTCCGAATGCACTAAAAACTTGGTTTGCGTTGTTCCTGTATTAGCCAAACAAATCTAAGGAAACAGGCATTTGGTAAACATAAGATTCGCTGAGCAATGTGCAGCCCGTAATGTTATAGTTACAGAAATCTCCATGAACCAGGGACTGTTAAGTATTAAATTTCATGGCCATGTTAGTGGTGCCAAGTTTTGTTTTTACTGGCCACATTTTTGTGCCGCAACTAGCTGCTTACCGTATTTTTCGCTCCATAGGGCGCACCGGACCATAGGGCGCACCTAGTTTTTAGAGGGGGAAATCCAGAAAAAAAATATTATTTCCCCCCCAGCCCCAAAGAGCAGCGTACAGGCTGCGCGCAACCTCTCCCTGCCGGAGGGGTTGCGCGCAGCTATGGCACAAGCCAAGACAGCAAGCGGGATGGATCCCACTCGCTGTTTTGGCTTCCTCTTTAGCCACGCACAACCTCTCCCTGCCTCAGGCTTCAGGTTTCCTTTTGCTGAAGCCGGAAGAGCAAGACTCTCCCGGCTTCATCGAAAGGAACCTGAAGCCTCCAGAACGCAGCGGGAGCGCTCCCTCTGCGCTTCGGAGGCTTTGCGTTGCTATCGCTGAAGCCAAGGAGCCTGCATTCGCTCCATAGGACGCACACACATTTCCCCTTAATTTTTGGAGGGAAAAAGTGCGTACTATAGAGCGAATAATACGGTAAATGTGCCCAAATATAGCACATGAAGCTCTTCCTTGCAAGGGACAAAAGTGATGTACTAACTTGCCCCTTTGTTTTGACTGCTTCCAGGTTGTTTCTGCCCTTGGAGCGAGAATCATCTGGAAGAAGATACTTCATGAATGGCCTCATGTTCTTGGAAAAGAAAATCCATCCAACGATGAGATTGTAGCAGTGTTCAAAGATCAAGGAGGGCACTGATTTCAGCATGCTAAATACAGTGGCTTTTCACCATTCAGAATAAAGAACACCTTTCCCAACAATGCAAGCTAACCTTTGGGGTATTGGAACATAAAAGGCTGATGGGTGCAAATAGTTCTTTATCAACTATCTGGCAGCTGAATGCACCAGTGGCAAAATTTTACTTACGTATAGATGTGGAATCTCATAGGAGACTGCTTGCTTTTAGGCAAGGCTTTTCACCCGTTTGTCCCATCAATCTACCAAGCCTCTTCAGGTCAATTTGTTTCCGATACACATTAAATCTAATTGGAATTCTCTGTTTATAGCGTATTTTATATTCAAAAATTCTGCTAGATATTTTTTCTTCTTCATTTGAATAAAGCATCTGGATGGGTCACTAAAATGAATATTTGCCCTTCTTTTATTTTCTACAAGCTCATATCACATAGAACTGCTTCTTAAAGGACCCTCAATGTAAAGCTGTGCTCATTGAGTTTCTTTGGCTAAATTTCCTTTGATGTCAACTGGTTTTTTTTAAATACTACTGCTGAACCATTGTCAAAGTTCACATAATATTTTAAGATAATTTGCTGGCTTTTTTTTTCTCCATTTGAGAATACCTCTGAATTTGTAATTGCTTTAGGTACTTTTAGTTTTATCTTTATTTGCTTGCTGAACTGCTTCTTTGTATAAACTCCTTCCTTTGCTTACTGTTTAATTTACAGTCTTTCCATATTCACAGTGAATATATGTGATTTCCATATTCCCCTAATTATCATTTAAGAGATCCTCAAGTATACTATTAAGTTTCATATCCAATTTCTGGTCTGTATTCTCCAGCTACCCCTCTAATTTCCCATCCTGATCTTCAACTTCATCCTTAATTAATTGTACATTAACTGAAGGTAAAATACCAGTCACAGAATGAAGCAACAATATTAATACTTCCAGAACCAGGCAAAGAGCTATCTTTACTCATATTTTATGTTCCTGTATCATTACTGAACTGCAACTATGTTTTTTGTAATCCTATTAGGTTTAAGCTTTGATCATGTGGTGCAAATATCGTTAAATAAGGATTTCTTAAAAGAACAGTGTGTAATATTTGGAGAATGGTAAATGCTAAAGATTATGTAAATTGGAAAAGGCTGGTTTCAACCATTATTTATATAGATTTGGAAAGCTTTTAACAAAATGGAATGGCTTTACTTCCTTCATGTTTTATAGACATTTGGGTTTGGAGGTAAATGTATAGATTTGATCTAGTTAATATATAATTCAGCTATGCATTTTTTAGTGAATGAAGAGTATCCCCTGAATTTCATTTAGAAAAGTAGCAGATAAGGACGCCTCCTTTAGCCTTATCTTTTTAATTTACAAGCAAGAAAAACTAATCTTATATAAAATGCCCAAAGGAGTTACTAGGAACAAAAAGCTGTCTTGGGTGAGGCAGGGAAAGAACTGGATAAGCCATGGGCCACAGGGCTGGTGAAAAGACTTATTACATGTTTCTTTTATTCAGGGCTGATTATATGCTGGGTTATGTCCATCCAACTGGGAAACTTAATTTCTTCCTTTCCTTTCTGTGTGAATCCATGAGACCTTAAACTTTGTTCATAAGATTAGTACAACAGATCAAGTAAAGTATGTAAGTAGAAATACATTGAATAACAGGCAGAAGGAATCATGAGCAGTTAGCTTTATTTTAGAAATAAAGTATAAATGCATAACTAACAAAATATCCTTAAAATTCATGGGGATAAAGATTATCACGTATATTATATGGCACAGCACATGCCTGCAAAGGTTTTACAGTTTAGTGCTATTTCATGAAGTTTTGGAATAGGGATTATTTATGAAAGACTTGTGGATAAATTTCCTAATCAATTCCTTATTGAAATAACAGTCAATTTTTAAAAAGTAAATCCATCATACTCAGGATTTTATGCATATTCAAATTGGAGTTAATTCAAACATGTTGTCACTTTCCCCTTTGAATTGCTTCTAAGACTCATCAGCATCTGTCTGAGCTTGTATACATATATAAAATTAAATCAGTAGGACGCGAGTTCCATTATTGTCATGTTAAAGGTCTTAATCAAATGCTATTTGCCTCACATGCAGCTGGCTGGTTTTTGTTTTTTAAAAAATGAATGCTCTGCTATTTATTATAGCTGGAATTGTTTGCTGAATGAATTTGCTTTCTTCTGAATTGACCAGGAAGTGATTTGCCACTTCATCATCCTGTTTTCCAATAATGTTCTTGACTAGAGTCTTGCTGCTTTTCCAAGGCTGCAACCTTATTGGGGAGGACCCAGGTGTCATCTTCAGAATATTTGGCCCCCTCTTCTTCCCAAGGTCTGGTCAGTATATTTAGTGAGGTGAGGCTTGCTGCAAATGTGTCACATATACCTATGACCATGCTGTGCTAAACATACAAAATCTCATCTGATACTGTAAACTAAGCAGATCTCAGTTAGCAAACACCACTTCCTTGCTGATATATTTTTTATTTTACTCTTATAGCTATTTACTTCCGTTTCTTCTTTCACACAGTTTATTTGCAACACATTCTACTTACTCTACTTTTTCGTGTACTCACAAATTTATAACTGCTCTTCCTTATATAACAAATGGCTTACTAACTTGTTCTACAAGTTTCACCAGCATAAATCAGCACTGGGTTCCTATGAAGTGCATTCACAAAACCCATCTGAGTGCAACACTGCAGCCAAAATAGAATCATATTGGGCATCATTTTGGGAAAGGCTTATTAGTCTAGATTTTCCATGCTCTGGAACCAAACCCACATTTTTTCAGCACTGTAAGACAACCCTCATTGGCAGGCACTCCCTTTGGATACATTTAAGGTTTTTTTATGGGGAAAAGTTCAAAAACATCAGAAAAAGTAGGTATTTAAAGTGATAATACAAAATATGCTGTAGGGGGGAAATGTTAGTGTTCAACTTAAAGCCATAGCAATTTAGAGGAAGTACCCCATTGCTGCTATCTAAAAATGCATGCAGCAGTAATATAGCATTGTGACACCCAGTGGAAAGCATTTGTGACCCCTGCGCATTTGCTGTTTAAGTGAGCAGCCTTAACATTGTGCTCATCAGCTGAAGTTGGATTCTCAGAAATATTACTTTGCATATTGCAACTCTACAGCAGCTAAATGAAATTCATCTTACTCTCCTAGTGCTCAGATCAGTGAGTTTTTAATTCATTCAAACTAGGAAATGCATGAAAATGGCTAGATATATAAGAGTAAATAAAGGTTTGTTTTTTAAAGCAGCTTCAAGAAAATCACATACATGTTTTCTAAGAAAATGTGCAATGTACTTCATAATTGATCATAGCTGTAAACCATACACCATTTTTTCTTTTTAACCTCATTATTTCTATTGGGTTCTATGACTATTCTATGGTGTTCTTGAGACAGACACTTTTTGCAAGTGCCAAGTATTCGGAACATTAAACACAATGGGGTGTTTTACTTTTTAACTTCCTAATTAGGTGAAAAACACCTTTATAAATAAATCATTGAAGTTCCTGCTTCAGCTTCCCACTAAAGCTAAACAACTTTTGAGGCATCCTTCTTAGGAGAAACATGCACACTGGTAAAGCTCTAAGTTTTTTTCCTCCTGTGCTGATTTTTTTCAGTTCTTGAAATAAACTGAGCTCTGATCAATTAAAATAAACTGGTACTTTAATTGTGTACTGCACTACATATTTTAAGAAATATTATATATAAAAAGTATTTAGCACAGCCAAATAGAGCTTAAAAACACAGCTACTACCATATTCCAATCCTAGAAGAGTTAGAACTCTGAGTGCAGCAAGGAGCCTAATATAACACCACCTCTCCTTCCAGATTTTAAAGCATGAAGTGTAATGAATAATCCCAAGAGACCTCATAAAAAAAGTCTACATTAAGAGCACAGCATGTGGCTTGAAGCAAGCTCCCATGAGAAATCTTCCCCGCAGCTCAAGGTTTCCCAATAGGCACATAGCAAGCATCAGGCTGCCACATGCGAAGGTCAATAAGAACTTGGTTGAGTTTTTGCATCCACAGATTACGCTCTTCTTTAGTATCAGCCGATAACCAGTTCCTTTAAAAAAATGAAATGAAATAGTAAGCATTAATATTGACCTATAGGCCTTTCTCATACAAGGATAAAGTGGGACAGTTTCATTACTATATACATTATTCTCTAGAAGTACCTTATAACCCTGCAATAAGATCCAAACCAATAGTACAGTGGTACCTCGGGTTAAGAACTTAATTCGTTCCTGAGGTCTGTCCTTAACCTGAAACTGTTCTTAACCTGAAGCCCCACTTTAGCTAATGGGGCCTCCTGCTGCCGCTGCACGATTTCTGTTCTCATCCTGAAGCAAAGTTCTTAAGCCGAGGTACTATTTCTGGGTTAGCGGAGTCTGTAACCTGAAAAGTATGTAACCTGAAGCATATGTAACCCAAGGTACCACTGTAATAGCAAAGTTCCCAAATCACCCTCATGACTGAAGAATGCAGATATCATACCTGCTGTCCAAGTAAAGGAATCCAAATTTAATTGGAAATGAAGAAGTAATATGCACTGATCTTAGGAAAATAGTAAACTTAGGCCAGCCTCCCCGAAGCTGGTGCCTTCCAATGCCCATCAGCCCTAGGAAGCATGGCCCAATGGTCAAGGATGGCAGGAGGGCACTGGGTTTGGGAAGGCTGCCCTAAGGAACTGTTGATCGTTAGCATGCCGCAATCAGTGCTGCATAAAGCATAATAGCAGGGGCAGAACATCTTCTGCAAGACCAAGACACCCACGTTATGGGATATGGTTTAATGGAAACTTGCACTAAAATAAATTGGTTTAATATTTAAGGTGTTTCAATACTTGGCTTTGCACCAACAGACTAACATTACTACCCATCCAGAAAAGATTAAAATCAAGCAACGTAACTTACTTGGTAACACAGAGCGTGTCTTTGCATTGACTGACGAGTGTTTCCTTGTCATCCTCTCTCTGAGGCCTAACCGTAATGAGCTCAAAAGTGTTTGGCCGAGCACAGAACTCTCTGTTAGCTGGTTCGATCTGACGATTAGTGCAGTTCGCCAGGTTTATTGAACCCATTGGTTGCTGAAAGGAAAAGAAAAAAACCCAAGTGTTCACAATACTTAAATAAGGAATTTAAAGATAGCATTTCAGTCTCCGCCTCAATGTGGAGGATTTAATTCCTGACAGGGTGCCCATAGCTGCCTCCAAAAGCTGCGCAGGAAGATGTGATGTCATTCACACCACTTAGTCTTTTTAACAAATGTTATAGAGCAGTAGGTCTAGCCACAAAGCAATGCTGCTACAGCAACACATGGATTACTGAATTACTGCAGCTGAAGTAAAGCCTGACAAAAAGGTCTCAATGTTGCAGAAGTTCAGGCTAGAACAAAATCTAGACAGCCTCTAGCTGAAGTACTTTTTAGCACAATAATCACCTTTCGTTTTTCGTCATCCGGGTAAGTCCAGTAGGAGATGCAGTTTCCAGAAAGAGCGCACCAGCGCCGATGCCAGGCCCCAAAGCCACTAACATCTTCAAACATAGTCTGGAGAGAGAAAGATCATTGAACACCAATGCTATTCTGACACATTTCTTCACAAGTTAAGTCCAACAGGTTTCCTTGAATTTTTAGCAACTGAAAACACTGCAGCTCCTGTTGCCACTTTTCTCTGCCCACCCATATACATCTCAGCAAGTATGCCCACTCCAACTCTCCCAAGTCTCATAAATGGGCCTTGAAGAAGCCAGCACTCCACGCCTGAGAGTATCTGGAGTTTCCATCCTGCTTTTTTAAATAAACTGATAAAAAGGTAAAGGGACCCCTGACCATTAGGTCCAGTCATGGCCGACTCTGGGATTGCGGCACTCATCTAGCTTTATTGGCCGAGGGAGCCGGCGTACAGCTTCCGGGTCATGTGGCTAGCATGACCAAGCCGCTTCTGGCGAACCAGAGCAGCGCCCGGATACCCGTTTACCTTCCCGCTGGAGTGGTACCTTTTTATCGACTTGCACTTTGATGTGCTTTCGAACTGCTAGGTTGGCAGGAGCAGGGACCGAGCAACGGGAGCTCACCCCGCCGCAGGGATTCGAACCGCCAACCTTCTGATCAGCGAGTCCTAGGCTCTGTGGTTTAACCCACAGCGCCACCCGCGTCCCATAAACTGATAAAAGGTACCATAAAATCACAATACACACTTCTAAAATTTATGTTATTTTCCTGTGGCATGTCTAAAGACTTTACTGCATCCTTCAGATAGTGCCTTTCTTAAGATATAATCAATGCAGCACAATTCTAACATACACAGATATTCCTATCTTGGGACTGTCAGTGGTTTTATATAGCACATGGTGCCATCTGCTGGATCCAGCAGTAACAGGTCAGCTAAACTAATAATTGTGGATTAACAGCCATGATCACATTAATAACTGCTTTTAAAGGACTTTTGAAATAAGTCTAGCCCTGCTGTGTTAGCCAGAACCTAAAGAGTCACACAAGGCTTACAGAATGGTTTGCCATGTACATAAGCTTTGATTAACCCTGTATATCAGGATAAACTTCTAAGGACAATTCTAGAATTTCACTCCAGTTAAGGATCAGCTTGACAAGTGTGTGTGTGTGTGTGTGTGTGTGTGTGTGTGTCTCTGGGATAATGAGCCTCATCTAACCAGCATGCTTAAGTCTACATACTGTAAGTTATCCTGCCATGTTTAGCGCACCTTGGGATAGACTAGGTAATCAAAGCTTTTATTCCCCTTCAGTTTACCTGATGGATTCAGCATGTGAATAGTTCTCACAAGTCTCTCGAGTTCCTATACCAATAGTTTAGGAACGTTCACCACTTTGCAAGTAAGTCATGTTTTACTGCCTGTGCAGCTTTTCTGACTGATGTATGGGGAAAAAGCTCATGAACCTGCTCTTTAAAGAGATTGTAAGTAAACCAAACATGGTCTTTTTCTATGCTGGGTGAAGAGGGAAGTTTTGGAATTCACAAGGGTATATATTTTAAAAGTCCAACAGCCTCCCCCCCCCTTTCTTTGCTGCATATTTTATGATTTTCTATCTCTGCTGGGTGCTCACTGGAAGGACAGATCGTGAAGCTGAGGCTCCAATACTTTGGCCACCTCATGAGAAGAGAAAAATCCCTGGAAAAGACCCTGATGTTGGGAAAGATGGAGGGCACAAGAAGAAGGGGACGACAGAGGATGAGATGGTTGGACAGTGTTCTCAAAGCTACAAACGTGAGTCTGACCAAACTGCGGGAGGCAGTGGAAGACAGGAGTGCCTGGCGTGCTCTGGTCCATAGGGTCACGAAGAGTAGGACACGACTAAATGACTAAACAACAACAATCTCTGCTGCAGTTCTCTCACCAAAGAGTACTTGCCCCAAACCTTAACCTTGGCATGCAGGAATTCTCATTTTATATACCTATTTTTTTTCATCTTGCCACGAACAGTGTGTGCATGTGATATAGATCTATACTTGCATTCACTGATAACTTACCAAAAAACCTCTCTCTTCCACACAAGAGTCTATTTGACATTTAATTTTCAGATAGATATGACCTTCCAGGGGAGACAAAAAAGGAACCTGAAAAAGAAATAGATGGAAGATTCTCAGAATTGTATTTCTCTTTAACAAGCCATATCTACATGAAGACAAAAAAACACAGTCACTTGTGAGCATCATTAATCTCAGATATAGCACAACCTTCTTCACACATATGTCAGCTGAAAGTTTGAATGCTTAGATTCCAGAAGCTTTTGAGAAGAGGAAGTTGTCTCTGGCCATTTACCGGTAATGGTCAGAGGCTGTAGAAAACCAGAAGCAAGGCTCCCTAGAATTGCCACCAAGCTGGAGAAAGTCAGGGGGTAAGATGGGAAAACATTGCGAGGACAAGGCTTGACATGGTTGTTAAAATACACATGGTTCAGTAAGAAGATCTATTCTACCAAGTTTAGCAATACTGTTTTTGGCTTTTTTAAAAGCAGAATATTTTACACACATGATTTTCACCCTAGTCCTCAGCAGAGGCAATTGTACCATATATACATGCATGATTGACTTAGTACCATTGCATCCAATTATGCTCCTGGGATTATCCAATGTGTGCTACAATATGCACTCTGGTTAGGATTAAGGGATCCCTTGGGGAGGATCCCCAAGCCATTGGGGAGGGGAAGAAAATTGAGAAGAAATAATCCAATACAGTGGGACGCGGGTGGCGCTGTGGGTAAAACCTCAGCGCCTAGGACCTGCCGATCACATGGTCGGCGGTTCGAATCCCCGCGTCAGGGTGAGCTCCCGTCGTTCGGTCCCAGCTCCTGCCCACCTAGCAGTTCGAAAGCACTCCCGGGTGCAAGTAGATAAATAGGCACCGCTTTATAGCAGGAAGGTAAACGGCGTTTCCGTGGGCTGCGCTGGTGCTGGCTCGCCAGAGCAGCTTCGTCACGCTGGCCACGTGACCCGGAAGTGTCTCCGGACAGTGCTGGCCCCCGGCCTCTTAAGTGAGATGGGCGCACAACCCTAGAGTCGGACACTACTGGCCCGTATGGGCAGGGGTACCTTTACCTTTACCTTAATCCAATACAGTGGTACCTCGGGTTAAGTACTTAATTCATTCCGGAGGTCCGTTCTTAACCTGAAACTGTTCTTAACCTGAAGCACCACTTTAGCTAATGGGGCCTCCCACTGCCGCCGGAACACGATTTCTGTTCTCATCCTGAAGCACTATTGCTGGGTTAGCGGAGTCTGTAACCTGAAGCGTCTGTAACCCGAGGTACCACTGTATTCACCAAAAGACCAGGTCCTTACATCAGGAAGCCCATTGCTTCATCAGAGGTACACTAGTAGCACCAGATATAGGATTCTTCCCCAGCCTCTAAGTAACATAGCTACATGATCTATCACGGATGCAAAAGACCTTCAACCAGCGAGCTTGAAGGCTTACAGCCTAGTTTTTTTCAAACACAAAACCCACTCATACTGTGGGTTTGTTTTTTTAAAGAAAACCTCACTCATGTTAGTTGTGGTATTGTGTGTTCTTATTATTGGATAGCCAGTACAGCCAAGTAACATCCAAAAGCAGAGGCCATCACCTCCAGCAAGACATAAAACACAGCACAAAGCAAGAAGTCCACTTCTCCCAGGAATACTGACAGCACACTTCAAGGACCCAAACAGGCTTTCCAAAGTTTGGTCATGTCACTACAGCCAATTTCAGTAGATACTTTGTACATATTCAAAAACCAAATGAATAGCAAAGCAGTACAGCACACCCATTCATTGCTTTTATGAAGCAACATGACACTCCGAATTCAGCTCTGATAAATCAGCACATTTTCAGAAGTGAATTTAATAGTATGCTTTAACTCTTCTGTAAATACTGTATGGTATAAGCAAAGATAAAGCAAGACAAGTTCCAGGTTTTAAATTGATCCAAGAGCTTCAATTTGGTAGCTGTGTACTTGGAACACTACAATTCCAGATGCAGATATGGCATTCCTATATAGATTTTAGAAATACAGTTGTGAATTTACTTCAGTCCCAAATCTATTGCACAGGCCATTCAAGATGCCAATGGGTTTGCTTTTAAGCACACATTTAGAATAATCTGCATTCACGCACAGAGAATAATTTACGCCGTTTCCCACATCTTTTCTTTCATTTTAAATGAAGCACTGAAGAATCTCTTTTTCAGTCTGTAATAACATGCCAGGCATGTTTTACACAGTCTATATATCATACAAGTCACTGGTGGCTTATATCCAGTGGAATTTGCATCGGATGTCAATTTCATTTCTGCTTATAACAAAAGCTGGCAGACTTTAGTAGGTACTGTTAGGTAACCTCAGTCTATATTATTCTGCAGTAGTAACAGGAAATGTAGATATAAGCAAAGGTAAATGATTGTTGCAGAGTGGTCAAGAGGCTAATCGCTTCAGAAAGCAAGTAAGTGACAAACTGTTCTGTATGCAACTAAAATGCAATATGGTTTGCACACCTACTTAAATGTTCCTCTTTTTAATTGTGATGTCACCAACACCAACAAAGAAAGTTCTTCTAGTACAGTCATACCTTGAGTTGAAGTAGCTTCAGGTTGAGCGTTTTCAGGTTGCGTTCCGCGGCGACCTGGAAGCAACGAAGCGCATTGCTTCCAGGTTTCGCCACTCGCGCATGCGCAGACGATCAAAATGACGTCACGCACATGTGTGGAAGCTGTGCGCTATGCAGACGCGGGTTGTGTTCACTTCAGGATGCAAACGGGGCTCCAGAATGGATCCCGTTCGCATCCAGAGTACCACTGTATTAAGGGTGGGCCAAATCCTTACAGGCTTGCATATCAATATTTTCCTTTTATTTCAGCTTCAGTAATTTAACATGAGTAGATTTTTTTCTTTTTACACTTACATTTTCCCCAAAACGAAGTGCAGAATTCAGCCAATAAATCTTGATAAAATAAGAACTACACAGAATTTCAACAGTTATCATTAACAAATTAACTGGAATTTAATACTACAGCTGAGCATGCTGTCTGAAACCCTGTGTCACACAGGTTTTCCTTGCTTTTCCATGATGAGTTAGAGTGCATATATATAAGATCCCCTTGGTACAAGGACAATGAACAAGTAATACCTGCACAAGTGCACTGAAGGTAATAATGGACTGAAGCCATCATTTGTAGCAAAAGCCAAAAAAGCTTGTGCCAAAGTGATACAAGAGTAATTTATTGGGAGGTTCTGCACCTGCTATCTAGGCCATTCTCGTTTTGACAACTTAGATATATTTTTAATGCCTCCCAAGTTACCAGCCATACTTCTAACACCAGCTCTTTAAAGTAAAACGAACAGAACCTGCTAATACTGCAATTTACTCTTACCTTAGTAGAAACTAGAAATAGTATTGTACTGCCCAAATTTCAGAAAGGTGGGTTAACAAGACGAGTAAGCTAAATTTCACAAATTTTACAGTGTCCTGTTTTAGCTTCTGATTAAGGTAAAGCCAAACCAGAGCTTCAAGCCAAAAGGGATACATACAATGTTGAAAAATGAGAATGTCTCTCAGCAACATAAGTTTTTCATGAAATTGGCCGCTATTTACATAGCCAAGGAAATTTATACACACAGGATAGTGTGTTCAAAAGTCAGGCTCCAAGAGATCTGCTTGACACACAAAACCCCACCTGACATTCTTCCTAAAAGTTAACTTTCATTTACCAAATCTCCACTTCTGAGAATCTTAACGTGGTCCTTAAAGCAGCGTGTCAGTACAGCAATGAGCAAAGTTTAGTGATGACATAAGCAGCATGCACTGGGAACTGTTTTGGAAGAAAACATAGCAACCTTATCCTGGAACAAAGAACCCAACAGCTCTTTTTCTTTAATTCCATAATTTATCTAGGAAAAAGGAAATGAGCGACGCTGAATGCAACTAAAAGCAAAACAAAATGGAAAAGATAAAAACAGCAGCATAACACCAATTATGTGCCTTGCAAGATTCTGTTTCAGCTTTTAAGCTGAACTTCAGAGAGACATACCCAACCTAAACTGCTGGTCAGTTTCCTACTGAAAGAAATAAAGCAAGTTGCAGAAATGGTTTGATGTACTAGACAGCCAAGGAATTGCTGAAACACACACATGCTTACAAGTGAAGCTCCTGCTTCATAGTATACCGTATTTTTCGCCCTATAGGACGCACTTTCCCCCCCCCAAAAAATGAAGGGGAAATGTGTGTGCGTCCTATGGGGCGAATGCAGGCTTTCGCTGAAGCCTGGAGAGCGAGAGGGGTAGGTGCGCAGTGACCCCTCTCGCTCTCCAGGCTTCAGGAAGCTATCCACAAGCCTTGGGAGCCCGCAGGAGTTCCCGCCAGGCTCCCGAGGCTTGCGGACAGCAGCCTGCAGCCCGAAACCCGCGGAGCTCGCCCCGGGCTTCGGGGAGCTCTCCGCAACCCTTGGGAGCACGGCGCAAAGTCACGCCGGTCTCCCAAGGGTTGCAGAGAGCTGTTTGTTCTGGGGGCTGCCCAGCCCCGCGCCTGGGGGGGGGAATTTTCCCCCCCTTTATTCCCCCCCCCCCAAAAAAAACTAGGTGTGCCCTATGGGGCGAAAAATACAGTATATCAAATGTGAAATTTAGTTTCCCAGTTTAAGCTCCTAGTACAGTGGTATCTCGGTTTAAGAACAGCTCTGTTTACAAATTATTCGGTTTACGAACTCCGCAAAACCAGAAGTACCGTCCCGGTTTGCGAACTTTACCTCGGTCTAAGAATGGAAGCCAAACAGTGGAAGGGCACCAGCAGTGGGAGGCCTCATTACGGAAAGCGCACCTCGGTTTAAGAACGGTTCCGGTTTAAGAACAGACTTCCGGAACGGATTAAGTTTGTAAACCAAGGTACCACTGTAGTGTGAATGAGAACCATCAGGACAGCTAGTGTGTTTAGGCTGTGCATTTGCATTTCCAACTACTAAGCACCTCCATTATTACAAAAACAAACTGCTCAGGAATGGCCAAGAAATCTTTAATTTCTAAGACCTACAGTTAATCTTTAGAAAGCCCAGTAATCCCTGCGTTAGGCTTCAAGACACCCCCCCCCCCAATTTTAAGAAAAGCAGCAGTAGATCAACATTCTTAAGCTATTAACATTTTAATCTCCTCAGGCAGAGGAATGGCAACTATATAAGCATTGACTTGCCTTTTCCAGAAGCCTCTGTTTTAAATACAATTAGGAATCAATGATAAAGAATTCCACCCCTCCCATCCTCAGGATACTGTCTCCTAAATGGACAACTATTTTGGAGACATTTTAGTTCCCAGCAAAGACTATTATTTACTTTACAGCACAGCCATTTAAGCAATAAAGCAATCATGTACGTGTTGAGTATTTTCATGCATGGATACAAGCATAGAGATTAACACTCAGTTGCCTACAAGGGCAAGAAAGTCGGGTGGCAATGCAGGAAAGCACTAAGCTAAACCTCCATACTAAAATATATTGAAAAAACGAATCAATGTTGATTACCTTGTCCAGCAAGAATCTGGTACTCCCAACTGAAGATAGGGAAATTGTGTGTGAACCAACAAGAACAAAGTTACTTGTGCGCACAGCATTGGGTCCACCTGGACTTGCCATGACTGTAAAGAAAAAAAATAAGTATACCTTAAATTTAAACATACCTGTAAAGAAAAGAAAAATTCTAACCAATTAAAAACCTCTCTCTCAACTAAGAAGGAATCCCTTATTTTTTTTAAATGTTGCCAAATATTTGTAAGCAATAAAAACTGTAGATGGTCAGCACCCTCTTAGAAGAGGTATTTCCCCTCCTCTCAAACAGGAGCAGAAGCAGCCTTTAAGATGGCATCTGTGACAACATACAAAAGCGCCATCTACAGACAAAACTTTTATTTACTTATTATAAATATATTTTGCTTATTTTTACTTATTTAGTACATTTATATATATACACTGCTTAATTGTTTGCTTTTAGTAGTGTACATAAAACAATTCATGGCAAATGGGACAATAAAGCAATAAAAACAATGAATTTTACCTGGCGTAAGAAGGTTGCTCTTCTGTCAAAAAAAAGAAAAACACATGGAAACAGGTTGTTAAAAGAACATTTTACACAGTGCACTTGATGGGGGGTTGCATCTGAAAGGCTGAAAGTTACTGATCGTTTACGGAACAGGTATGGTAAAAGCAAGTAACTATGATCTCTAGCATATTATCTTGCTAGAAATAAAAGCCTTGGTCACAGGTAAGTTATGTGTGTGTGTGTTTTAAATCATTCAAATATTAATACTTACGGCAGTAATAGATGTCAGTAATCTCTTTGGAGTAATAGCCTAAGAGATTAGAGAAGAGACAAATGCACTCTAAATGTTATATTCTATACAGGGCTGTTAAAGACCTCACAACAGCAGAGCATCTAGGTTTTAAAGCAAGGTTAACAAATTAGCTACGTTTGTCAGCAGTTAGCATCCAAAACAGATGTACTTCCAAACACACACACACACACACACACACACACACACACACAGTGCTGTATAGAAATACATACTTCATAGAGTCCATCTGCATACACATCACAATTGTGGATGGCATTTGTTTGGAATCTTCAGGTTATTAATTTCTCAGGGAATACATTTTTAGAAGCGCAAGCAGCGCATATTGAAGAAATCAGGCCCAGCTCTGGGTGAACTTTTCTTCCCCACTCCAACAGGGTGATCTACCATCCTGTTCCATGGGAAAGATTACAGGTGAGGCGGGCAGGTGAAAACCACCTCAGAGTCTGCTGGATTGTCCCTCCCACCACAGGGTCTTTCTACTACCAACTGCGGAGTGGAGTTGCTGTCAGAAGGATCCTGAGAGCAACTCCACAAAAGGAACAAGATGCTCCACTTTGCTTAAAGCACTCTATACTACTCCAATCATTCACAAAATTTGTCGTGTTCCTGTCACATGATTATGAACTCTTTCCACTTTTAAACAACCCTGCCACCAGCCAACATGGCTGCAGTATAGGGCACTGAGTTACAATTTGAATGACGTCCCCAGACAAGCGACAACAGGGCATCAAAGAAGCAAAAAAAGAGGAAAAAACCATGTACTAGATGCAATTATGGAAAATATTCACAGGCAGTAAAATTTTAGAACCGACATTATGCTGTGCAAGATGACTGAACTTAAGTTATTCAGCTGAAGCACTTCAAGATTTATTCTGCCATCAGTTCACAAAGGCAGAGTAGTAAATTTGACTATAATCTTAATATGCTTAAAGAACATTTTTGTTTTAGAAGGATATTGTGTCATATTGATTTGAAAAAGTGTTCTTCCCTCTGTATTAAAGTATTTTAGCACAGATTAACATCACCAATTTATTCAATTATTCCCTTTACCTTTGACTTAGCTGATTTTTTCCTTTTATCAATGCCTGTGGATTCTTTCTTCTGTACCTAATAAATGAAAGAGAGATGTTAAGAGTCTATTGCAACCCCCAAGTGTTCTCTCAAAATAGATGCCCATCGAAAGATGAGAGATACATACCAAGCTATAAACTTCAACGTTTATCTCAAAGTCACTGGCCACATCTTGCCTTTAAAAAAAATGGAAGAAAGGGTTCAATTCAATTCCTAAGTCTAATACAGTTTCCAAGTCAAGTTTTATAAATCAAATAAATCGCAACAGAAGCTGTGGTAGCTCCTACTGGATCTATGCCTGTCTAAGGGCCGCAAAAAAAGCAGAGGGCAACCTCAGGCAGTCCAGGGCTTCCTGGCAAACAGCTTGACAAGTATGTCTTTTCCTGATTGTCTTACGGAACATCAGGACCAGGTGTAAGCCTGTAAGATTTTGGAAGACCATCTTAGGGTAGCTTTCACTGCTGTATTCAGAGCTCTGCTGCTCTCGCTCTCAAGCATCCCCCAGCCAAGATTAACGTCAGACTTCTGAAGCATATGGGATTAATTCTTTTCTCTCAAACTCCTGCGGAAAGCTTAATAAGAGTTCAGAATCAATAGTGTTTGTCAAAAGTGGGCTTGAGACCCCTGCCATTTTACTTTAGGCAAGTAGGAACCACTCCCAAACTAGCAGCCCAATATCAAAGACAGCTGTATAGCAGACAAGTAAGCATGTACACAAATATTGAGCTGCTATTTTTCTCCAGCTGGAACAAAGCAGTGTACAGTGGTACCTCGCAAGACGAATGCCTCGCAAGACGAAAGAGTTTTTCGTTTTTTGAGTTGCTTCGCAAGACGAATTTCCCTATGGGCTTGCTTCGCAAGACGAAAAACGAAAACGTCTTGCAAGTTTGTTTCCTTTTTCTTAAAACCGTTAATACCCTATGGGAAACCGTGCTTCGCAAGACGAAAAATTCGCAAGACAAAAAAACTCGCAGAACGAATTAATTTCGTCTTGCGAGGCACCACTGTATTTTGGAGTGCAAGGGCACCAGAGACAGCAGTCCTGCAGTTTAAGGTGTAGGAAAGACAGGCAAGCACTCACTATTTTCTTATGCGCCATCCTAATTAAAATGACTGCAGCTAATCTACCGCTTCCCAGTATCTGAAAAGAGGAAGACTGGGTTGAGGTGGGAGAGAGAGAGAGCATTCTTTTTGGAGGAATAAAGTTTTCCTTAAATGTGCTTTTGGATCTCCAGAACTTTATTTTTTGAAGCTGCTGCTGTGTTTTTAAACTAAGCTTTGTTCTTAACGCTTCGTTGTGATTGTCAACAGCTATGGAGGGCACAAATGGTTAGCATATAACATTGTTATAAAGAAGAATAAAATTAAATAGCTAAACAAATAAGTACTTACAGTGTAAAAGTAGTAGTGAAAGTAAGAGCATCTCCACCATTCAGGGAACTTGCAGTACTTGCTAACGGTGTAGCAACCATGTTTTCTGCTCCTGCTTTTAACATTATTACGTAGTAGTAGTTTGCTGTTTCTGTGAATAGTTTAAGCAGTCTCTCTTAATCTGTTTTACAAAAGCAGCTAACACAAAAGATTAAAGAACAAAGTGGTTCAGCATTTTTGCCTCCAATCAACTTATTGCACAGTTTAATGCACCTATGTTTATTTTTTATGGTTTGTAAGCCAGTTTATTTAAACTGGGAGGATCAAGTTTCACAGTGATTTAAAGATTTTGTAAAATGGAATGTGGTGTGTTATTCAAATGAAATGATGAAACTCAGGGAGAAGCTGGAAGTATTTTAGTCAAAACTGCACACAAGGCAAGATCACAAAAGTTGCAATCCTATACCAATTAACTCATAGTAAGTCCACTGAACACAATGGGACTGACCTCTAAGGAGACATATATATGATTGCACTGTATATCTGCCTACACCAACCCAAATATAAAAAGTGGTAGGTTATTTTGTTCTGTTTTTTAAAAACCATTATTGTTTTCCTAGCATTTTTCAGGTGCTCCTTAATTTCACTATATTCACAGTTCTGGGAAGTACTCAACCAAAAACTGTTTTGTTTCAATTATTAGTACTTCTAACTCATTAAAGCACTTCTGCAGCAACAATTGGCTTCTTCTGCTACTGCCTGTCTTCACTACTATTGCTGCTGCTGCCTTCAACTGCCTTCACATGACCAATGTAGCAGCAGCAGCAAAGGCTGAAGGCATCAGATATAAGGCCACAGTAGTAGTTGGTATCTTGAGCATTAAAAACAGCAGCTTAAGTTGCTTAAACACAGTGATTAAAGTGTACAATGGCTTCAGGAATGTGGGGAAAGCGATCTAAATATGAAAAGAGAAGGAAAGCAAGAGGAAAATGGTGGTGGAAAAAGAAAAAGAGGAGGTATGAAGTTGATTATTGGGACATAAACTGCCAATCACTGGAGAATGGAATGCAACAGCATTAATTTGGGGAAAATTCAGCTAGGAGATTTGGGGGTGGATGAAAGAAATGTTGCTTGATCTACACCTTAAGAAGAAAAAGGAGTACTGCAAACACAGAATGCTGTAAGGAAAGGTAACTCTGCTCTAAAATTCCAGTTCAAATGAAGATGGACTTGAGAGGCTTTCCCAAGAGCAATTAGTGAACTCCTGGAAGATGTGACCTGCAAGCCAGAGACTTCCTGACTTATAGGTCCTTCTCTATATCAGCTGCTACACTAAACCATAATTCCAACCACACAAGCACAGCAAAAGGAATTACCTGATTTCTGGACAGTGCTGCATACAAAATCTGCTTTTAGAGGTAGGCGCATTTCTGACAGAGTAACAGAGCCCCTGGATGGGGAAACTCCACTAGGCATTGAATCAGCTTTAATCTTCTTGCTTTGAGATCCTTCATTTTTTAGTTTGTTTAGCTCTTCCAATAATGCTGTTCTTTTTTCAGCTGTACAAACATAAAAAATAAAGTAGTTACGTATATGTTTCATAACCAATTACAGGTTGTTTTCAAGTCACAGACACGTCCCACAAAATGTTTAAAATTGAATCCCATTGTTGGATCAAAACCAACCTCCATCTAATGAACTCATTTCGAATAGAAGTCAGTTAGATATATGAAAAATGATGGCCTTAAGGATTTGCTTTTAGCAGGTGATATTCAGAGGTAAATGGAGGCTTTGGGCAAGCCAACATTCATTCACAGAACTAGCCTTCATAAAGTTTTAGGGTGTTCTTATAGCCATCACCACAGGATGGCAGAAAATTTCATAGATCAATTGCACATTGCTCTAACACTTTCTTCAAATCTTTTATGCATGGAAAATTTAGATGAGGTAGCTTATTGCTGAAGAATCACTTTGAGTAAAGAAGAATACAGTATGCTTAATACAGTCTAGTGTGATCTTTTGGGCAATAAAGCCTGTTATGTTATTTACATAGAAAGCCATCTTTAAACAACCACCATACTTGCAATGAGAAGTAGTCTCTCAGCTTCTGCTTCTTCTTGTGAACCCTTCCCATGTTCCTCATCAATACAACAGTTTAGAGCTTGGCTGGCTTGATGTATTACTGTTTGTTGCAGATTGATCTCATTATTCAGCTCCTAAACATGTAGTCAGATAAGCAGACTTAGTAAAACCTCAAACCATTATTTTGTCACATTTCCTTCAGTTTCTTTGGAAACACATGCACCCTGAAGTTTCTCATCAGCAATTTAGGCTGGTGCAGACATAGCTCTGCTCATGTTATCCAGTTACAGGATTGGACTGCAGGATTATACACTTCCTCCTTATGAGTAAATTCTCTCAACCATGGACTATTAGCCATAGTTAATTCTAACCTGGCATTCAAAAACTATGCTGAAATCCAAACTGCTAGTGGCCCCAGGTAACTTCATTTTTACTCCTAAAGTATGTATGTTGGCAGTTTATAATCCTTGTAGGAAAAATTAAATGGATAGAATGAAAAATCAGTTCTCTAGGATTGGAAGGCAGCATTCTAAGCACCTGTAATTTGCGTTTGATGTTAATTTGATCAGACGTTCCATTCCTTTTCTCCTCGAGCCTGGAAGAAACATCTTCTTTACGAACGATCACTTGCTTTATTGAAGGACGATCTACTTCTTTAAATCGCTGTGATCGATAGGCATCGATACTTCAAAAGAAAAGTTCAGTTTTAGAAAGATACAGAGCAAAGTATTTGACCAAATTAAGTTAAGAAAGTGCAGAGGCAAGAAAGGGTTTACAACAGAGATTGACTCATCCTGACCAAATTGAGATAGAGGCACAACCAGCTTTTAGGACCACCCTTAGGAAGATTATAGCAATGTGGATTTATTCAAAGACACAATGATGACTAAGTCAATGTTTCAGGAAGTGCAAAAGTGCTGCCCTTCTACTTTTCCCATGAGGCCATTTTCCAGAAAGAAATCTAGATTAGCCTTAAATCAAGCGTGGGGAATATCAGGCCCAGGGGATTCTCTATCTGGTTCCCAAGACTCTCCATAAGCCACAAGTACAATTGCTGGCTCTTTTATCTCCCACCACTGACATCTGAATCCAGCCCTCTGCATAAGGTTTCCCAGAAGTGTATGTAGCCCTCAGGCTGAAAAAGGTTCCCCACACTTGTCTTAGCTGTTTTAGTCCTCTCTCTGCATTGTACTAAAATTTAAGAGGCCGAATAGAATGCTTAGCCAAGTGGTTACCTATACAGATTACGCTCCTCTGACAAGGACCCAATGCTGCTTCCAGATTCAGTTCTGCAGACAGATGTTCTTTGAAAGTTGTTGGACTTTGGACTATCATCACTTGCATTGCTCCCCTCATCAACCAATTTACATGGGGATGCAAAAACCTGGAAGAGACATAGATCTTTGATCATTCTATGTGTAATTAAAATTTGAAGAAATACGACATTATAATGCTGAGACTTGGATTTTAATATCAAACTGAGAATTACAAGTTTGAAGGTGTGTTTTTCTCATTTTCTAGAATTTGAGTCTATGACAACCTGGACATACACAAATAGCAGCATTAAATTAAGCATCTGTTCTTACCTCTGGACTTGCAACAGCAACAGACTCTGTTAAAGGTGTTAGGAGGGACATTGAGGAAATATTCAGCGGCTCCTGTTCATCCTCACAATCAGCTTCCAAGGTCATACTCATCTCTTTTTTAAGTTTCTCTATGTCAGGCCCATCCTCTTGAAGAACTTCATCAAAGATGTCACTTATCACCTGTGAACTATTCATTTCGTCATTCGCTTCAGTCTCGGGCTCTTTGTCTGGAAAGTAAAACACACAAAGTCTTAACTTTATTTTTTTAAAAAGGTAAACAGAAGCCTCCACATATTAACAAGAGACAGGAGGGACCAAAAGACTGTTGTTACTATTATTATATATGATAGTTACTGTCCTAAAGTAGCTTACATTCAAACCAATGGAAACAAACACAGGCAACGAAGTCTAAAAACCTATCTAGGTCTTAGTGGCCTCATGCCCACAAAAAAGGCCACAAATATCTGAAACCCTTCAACTTAAGGGCCAAAAGCCTGGGTAAAGAGGAAAGGTTCAGCCAGGTTCCTACAAATAAATGCGGCACCAGGCATGCCTCCCTGGGGGAGAGCATTGCATGAGCAGGATGGCGAGGCACCATTGTTCTTGTATCACCATCCTCCAGACCAAAGAAGGGCCTCAGATGACAACTGCGGGGTCCAGGCCAGTTAATGTGGGGAGAGACAATCCTTGGGGAATACCTAAGCTACACAAGCCTTTATAGGTCACGCGGGCATTTCGAATTGAGCCTCAAATAGCAGCCAGTGCAGTTGTTCCAGAATTGGCATTATATATTCAGACCATCCCGCACAGGTCAACAATTTGACTGTCAAATTCTGCACCAGCGGAACTTTCCATGGCATCTTTAGAGATTGTCCCACATGTAACATATTGCAGTAATCGAATCTAGAGCTTGCCAGAGTATACACAACAGAAGTTAGGCTGTACCCATCCAGATAAAAGGCACAGCTGGTCCTCTAACTCTAAGCTTGATGGGCAGTACTCCATGCCACCGAGGCAACTTGACCCTCAAGCAACAGTAATAGCTAAAGACGGAATGTAACTCCATCCAGACCAGGCCAAATCCCATCTGTTTGTTCAAGAGAACAACCCATTAACTGTGTCTGTCTTGTCTGGATTAAGTTTCAGTTTATTGGCTTTCATCCAGTTCATTACTGAAGCAAGAGGTTAAGCTAGCCCATACACTGTCACACCTGCAAATGTAAAGGATCAGAGCTGTGTGTCATCAGCATATTGTTGACAATGCACTCCAAAATTATGGAGGACCTCTACTGACGCTGAATGCCAACAGCCTTTCCCCCAAATTTCCTTCTTTGATAAGGTGTTAGTGCCTTTCTTCATACAAATACTAAAAACAGGTCTAGTGACTCAAGAAGGGTATGATATAAACTTATAGAATCATAGAATTGTAGAGATATTAGGGACCCCAAGGGTCATCTAGTCCAAGCCTCTGCAATGCAGGAATTGCAGCTCAAGAATTCAGAACAGATGATCATCCATCCTCTGCCTAAAAACCTCCAAGGAAGGTCCACCACCTCTCCTGGGAGTCTGTTCCACTGTCAAACAGTGCTTACTGTCAGATGTTTATTGCTGATGTTTAGTCAGAATCTCTTTTCTTATAACTTAAATCCATTGGTTTGAGTCTACCCTTCAGGGAAGGAAAAAACAAGCTTGCTCTATCTTGCATAAGACAGCCCTTAAATCTATATCTCCTCTCAGTCTCTTTTCCAGGCTACACATAACTCCCTCAACTGCTCCTCATAAGGCTTGGTTTCCAGACCCTTGATCATCCTTGTTCCTTCTCTGCACACCTTCCAGCTCAAACTCATTCTTAAATTGCAGTACCCAGAACTGGATGAAGAACTCCAGGTGTGGTCTGACCAAGGCAGTTTTCCAGACATGCACTGTCACCACGTAATATTTTCCAATCACTATCAAGGAGCCAAGCTGCATGTTAAAGACCATCAGTGGTTTAGGGCTAAGCCAGACAACCTTTGAAGCACAAAGCCTAGATAACTAGACCAATTTAGTACAAAGAATTAGGAAATACAAACCTTTCTGTTCCTCAGGAAGTTGTTCAAGGTTTGAGGTGGAAAGTGTTTTTACAGGAGTCTGTGGTGAAAAGATTTTCAACGGACTGAGCTCTTCTGTCTTTTCATGTTCTGAAGCGCCTGTAAGTTTCAAGGAAAAAGTTACTTAAGTAGAGCAAGCAGTTATTAAATAAAGTTCATAACTAATCTATATTAGGCCATTTTACAATGGACTTGTACTAGGCTAGACTTTGAGACACCCAGCATGTACTTGCTGATGAGAAATCTCGCTCCTCAGGGAGCAATATGTAGTAGTCCTATTAATCTGACATTTCTATCTAAAGTTCTAAGAGGCACGCCTTACAATTCTTAGTAATTCGTATAAATATTGGAGATAATAGACAATATAGTGAACACACACACGCCCTTCCCAACTTGCCCATATGTCATTTTCATACTGAATTTGGAAAGTTCCAAGTCCCAGGGATTGAAATCATAATTATCCAATCACCCAGGCCAGGGCGTTATTTTCTACCCAGGGAGAGGATAGATGGGGGCAAATGTATGTCTCACATGGCATTTACAGAAGTAGTGGAAAAGTTGCAGCTGTCCAGGTAATGCTGAACAATGACTCCTGTAATCTGACAGAGGCAAGCAAATGGAGTCCAACAGCATATGGAGTGCCATACGCCTTCCACCCGCTGTAAGGGAAGTTATTGGCACTTTGAAACATAAATTAGGCTTCTATCAAACAATTTACTAGTCATGATTCAGACTTATTCTTTCATGTTCAGATAATTTTACCATGGAGCAGTTTTATCATAGAGCATTCTTACCAGAAGTTATGCCTTCTACGGCTATCTCTACAGCCTTTTCTTCGGCTACCTGTGAGTTGTCATCAGAATTGGGAAGGTGCTTTGAGTTAACCTGAACCAAACTCTCCTAGAAAAGTAAGATAATTCAGGCCTTTAAGTCAAGTCATCAGGGTATATTCGACTGGTGTCCAATTAGTTTAGTTGTATTCAATATTACCTGTTATTATGTTCAATATTTCAGGGGATTTTTACTGTATATTTTTGATCTTTGGATGAATAGTGATTTAGAAAGAAATTTAATAATAAATAACCTAAAGCATTCTTACAGGTTCCCTTACAACAAGTTTCAATATGTTACCGATTTTGTTTCTAGGCGTTTTTTCTTGGAGTTCTCTTTTCTTTCAGCGCTCCACAAGTTGCCCCTGTCAAAGCGGCCTCTGATGCATGCAAGTTCTTTTTCACGTTCCTGAAAACATTCAAGACAAAAGTGGATGCAGTCTCAGCTTATGCACTATATCTCCAACAGATGTCTAATATTCAAGTCTAATCATTCCATGGTCTTACAGACAAGTAGAAATTCATACCTGTTTGAGCTGCTGTGCTAAACTAGCAGTAGAGGATACTTCATTCTGTCTGAAGAGTCTTTCTTGGATTGTCTTTGTATTTGGAGTGATAATGGGAGTCCTGTGTCCTCCAGTGATAACAGGACTTTGTGTACTACGCTCCTGGCAATGCTCTCCAAAACGTTCCAGAAAAGGCTTAATCCCTGATCCTCCTAGAAGAACAATGGATTTTGTTTCATTAACGAGTTAGGTTCTTCATTATTTAGAAGTAACACTGAAGTGCAGCATTATTCTTTTCTTCTTCATACACATAGTTATACAACTATACTAGATTCCATATCTGAGCATGTTCTGATGAGAATTGGGGCAGTTAAGCATAAGTACTTCCCAAAAGGATATAATTATACACACAAGCATCATTCTGCAGCGGTATCCAACTAAGCTGCACTCATAACCCCATTGAAATTAATGGTCTGAAGTTAATCATGTCCATTATTTTTAATGGGTCTACTCTGAGTGGGACTAGGGTTGTCTACAGCCCTTTCTATCCATCCCAAAAAAATTTAATACAAAAGACCCTGATTTTGCAACTGAGGTAAGGTACACAAATTCTCAATCTAGGTCTCTGGAATCCCTAACAGATGAGCTTTCCAAAGCGTTAACAGAAGTGCTTTCAAGCTGTCACCCATGGTTCAACAAGAGTTAGTTTCATCCAATTTAGATCAGAAGGTCAGACATCCATAACCAAGTGAGAAAGCAGATTTATTGTAGAAAACACTAAGCTGCTTAACATTTTTAAAACTTATCATCTGGAAATGCACAAAATTTTCTTAAAAGCTGCAGCCCAATATCAAATACCACCATGCAGAATCCAGACACTCTTATATCTTGGCAGAAACCTAATTGCACAGGCTGATGTAACTGTGTGAAACTAGTTTTGAATAATGCTCAGATAATTATTCTTCGTCTCCAATAAAAAAAATGGAACCTTTTAAATAAGTCTTAATTCTTATGACAAAGAGGTCTTCCAGCACAGTAAAATAAAAGAATTTAAGCGATCCCAAATCAAAAGGCATTACCCCAAAGTATGTTCAAATTAACACACCAGGAATTGCTTCTAAATAAACATGAACTAGATCAGAATAGGTGGAGATAGAGAAATTAAGGGGTCTGACACAGTAGCATGGAGGCTACATGGTACCAATACATTTGAGTAGATTTCAACAAGTCATCTCTTAAGTTGCCATCAATTCATGTGTAGAACTACACGAAACCTTACTCACTACCAATTAACATATATGCAGATGGAGGATCTGTTTATTTAAAGCTCATTTTTGCAGTTCTTTAATACGACTTATAAATTGTGAAATTACAAAAAACATTAATATATATTTTTTCTCATGACTTAGCTAAAACTTTGCACACAGTATATTCCAGGTATGCTTAAACCGTTCAAATTTCACTCCGACATGGCCATATCACTTACATCAGCTAATTGCAGAAATCATTTTCTATACAAAATTCTGGTTAAAATCTCTACAGCATATGCTGCTTTAAATAATGGTGCAACCCTTCACCTGGTGTGGCTGGTTTATCCTTAGAATCAAATTGTACATGTGTTCCCTTGAGTCGCTCCTCTTTGGCAGAAAGTGGCTGAGATAATGAAGATTTCAATGGTGGTTTAAGGTTGGCCTTTTCCTGCAGCAGTCGTTTTGGTACCTCAGTCTCCTTAGAATGGTTGCTAGTTGTTCCTGAAGATTTTGCTATGGAATTATTAGTTCCCTGAAAGGGGATTAGAGAGAACAGTTAGTTGTCACTCTCAGCTCAGAAAGACAGCAAAGATTATTATCCACCTAATTTTTTAATGTTGCCAATGGATTTCCCAGATGCAGCACTAGCAATTGTGGAGTTGCTGCTCTAAATTATTCTACTAGGATAGCTAAACAAATGCTTCCATCTCCTCCACTGCTGTTTTCACTAACACAGCTAAAACAGCCATTTGCAACAGGGATCAGAATTTTACATTGTCTCTGTAATATCTTTATGTGCATTCCTTAATACTTGCCATTTACAAGAGGATCTCAATAAGTAACTACCTGGTGAAGTATTCTTATATATGATTTTATAATTGACACTAGACTTTTCAGCCTAGTTTATCTTTCAAAGATGTTACAATTGTTCACAAATTCCCCAAAGCCTGACTCAGATTAGGATTCTGATGTCTGTTAAGGATTGCACTCTACAAACTCGTATTTCCTTTCCTGAAACTGCCACTTCTATAGCACCATCTTAAATATGCCAACTCCTAAAGTAAACTGTTTTCAATGGGGCCAGTTCTCTAGGAAGGGTTGCAAGGCTACATCTTCATATTGTCAGCCTCTCCACTGTATGATAGAAATAAACATCAGATTAAATATCATCACTTACCAATATCTCAGAGTTTGCCGACTTATTCACAGATGGCTCAACAGCCCTTTGCAAACAGGATGCAGCATCCTGCTTCACACTGTCGCTATTGATTCTAGCAGATGCTCCACTAGTAGTGGACAATTTGGATAAACAAGTCGTACCAGGCTGTTCTTGTGTATTGTTTTGCCTTGCAGATGGATGACTTAGGTCATTTTCCCAGGAGCCAATTGTAGCAGCAAGGTTAGCTAAACGGCCTCTTCGACCTATTGGGGTATCAGTTGTAAGGGGAAGTTGCTTGGGTGGGGAAATGACGCATTTGTTTGATTCAATAGGAGAAATACAAGAACTTTCAGACACATCTGAAAATTAAGAATACAGAGAAGCAGAGTTATGAAACTATATGACACACGACTATTAAAGCAATTCTTACTAAAAAAAATACCAAATGAGAAAAAATGTTCTGAAGCAAGCCAGCTTGCCCAACTACTTCTAAACATATCTATAGCCATCACCTGTGGAATATTACAAGAACCCACAGGGGAGAAAGGCTACTTTGTTCTTCTTGCCCTCCCAACAAGGGAGACAAAGAATTTTGAACCATGAGAGAACTCACACTTCATATTTGACCTATGTACCAGAGGATCCCATGAAACTGAATACAATAGACATAGTGCAAGTTTGTGTAACGACCAAGGATTAACCGGTGCTAAAAGTATGGGATAAACTTTCACAGTTGTCTGCATCAAGTAAGAATCGCCTTAAGGCGATCAGAATTTTTTTTTATGAGTTGGGAATGACAGCTCCTTTTCCTTTCAAGTCACTGATTCATGGTATGTGACCAGTATAGCTACTTATGGGCAGGCAAGCCAAACTAGCTTGAACCAGAAAACAACTTCTTCCCTCACCCAAGGAAAACATTTTACACATATGAAATTTAGATGTATGGATGCCTGCAATTAGGTATCTCTTTTTAAACACCACAATGGCATGAAGACATACTGAACTTTCCCTTGCTTACATCTTTGCAGATTTTTTAAAGCTATACATATCATGCACAATACAGACATACCGTTGTCCCAGCAGCGTCGTTGTTCAGCCAGCTTTTGCATGCGTGTTTTAACTGAAGCAACAGGAGTTTGCTCAGATTTCGCATCCTGCTCTTCAATCTCAATGGACGGGGCAATAATCTGAGAGGTAGGAGCCATTTCAGAAGCAGCATGGTCCATTGAAGAAGAGTTAATTGGATACCTATTCTCTGAATTAGAAAGTGGAACATCCACATTGTCCGAACAACGTCTTTTGGATGGTGATGGCTTTGTACTCGCCTTTGCTGTAGCTGTTTTGGGGGAGAAAGCGGATCAGGTGGGTTGGCTTTTAGGCTAAAGCTACAATGGCAGTAAATACAACAGTCAGTTAAGAAGAAATTTAAAACTATCAGACAAGAACAAAAGTTCACCCTCCTTTGATTCCCCTCCTTAGACAATTTCCAGTTAGAAATTCTGAATACTGTATTAAGTAATATATAAATTCTATGATACAAATGAAATAAACATGTGACAGTTTATAAAATGCCTGATACAGTTCAGCATTAATCTACATGCTATTTGTTACACTTTAGTTCCAGAATGCAACCCCATAATTAACTAAAATCCGCTTTGATATTACTTCATAATGTTTATTTTTACTAGATATCAATGTCATTTAGCTACTAAGTGAGAAGCAAGACAACTGAGCAAGTAACTTTACAAGTTTGCCCACACAAAACCCTGTACACTGAGTATAATCACACACGATCTCATGCAAGTGAAAAATACCTTCTTCGCTAGGCTGAAGCGGTTGGTTACCAGCTTCTGACAAAGGTTCTCTGCCCCTTTTTGTTTGTGTTGTAGGCCGCACTCCTGCTGTAGGCCGCCCAGCCATCTTCTTCTGCAAATTTTCCCTCCTTGCACGGGTTCGCTCTAGAAGTTTCTAAATATTACACAAAGATTATTATGGGTAAGTTGATAATGGGACTGCACTGCTTTCAGGTTGTTAATACAATCAGTTCCTTGATGAAAGTGGGATGTCAACAAGTAGCATGTTAATTTCTGCAGCTTCCTACAAACAAAAGCTATGTTTTTTTGTCCAAGGAGGAGACAGGCAGTCTCAGTGCATAAACCAACTGGAATGTCTTAGTTGTGTTCACTAGCAGGACAGACTACAGAACGTTTTGGAGAGGAGAACCTGCAATAAAGTAATATCTAGTGCTTGCCACAAATGCTCCAACTACACAAGAGATATAAAAATGTTTGTCTGTACTTGAATTGCAAGTCATAAGGAGTGCAACTAGCTGGAACTGTGACACCTAGTTTTTTGAGTGACACCGTTGCAGGTGGCTCTTATTCACACAAAAAATTGTGTGGATGGACGAAGGCAAATCACATGCTCTTAAACCAAGCTTATTATTTTAAGTTGTATATCATTTTAGAATACAGTGGTACCTCGGGATGCGAACGGGATCTGTTCCAGAACCCCGTTCACATCCTGAATAGAACGTAAGACGTGACTGCGCGAGTTGCTGCTTCCACGCATGCTTGTGACGTCATTTTGACGGTCTGCACATGCATGAGCAGCGAAACCCGGAAGTAACGTGCTCCGTTACTTCTGGGTTGCCGTGGAGCACAACCCGAAAATACTTATCCTGAAGCATATTTATCCCGAGGTATGACTATTATTTTTTTAATGAGCGTGTCCTGCACGTTATCCAAAATTTGGTAGAAGATTGGGTCAGAAAGATTTAAATACAGAACAAGTACAACCAGCAGGGGGAAGTATTTGCAAAATGAAGGAATTTTCCAGTTCAGGAAAGCAAGACAAGCTTGTAGGCAAAGGTTTTTCCTCAAATTACTAGGAATGTAGGAACTAAACACTATAAATTGAGAGCATTTGCAGATGACTTAGTACTGACGTTACAGGAGCCAGAATCTAGTACAAAAAGGGTTTTAGAACTGATTCAAGAATTTGGTCAAGTGGCAGGATTTAAATTGAACAAATCAAAAACCAAGGTTTTAGAGAAAAATTTAACATCTTTTGAAAGAGAGAGGTTTCAGAATGAGACAGGGTTAACAGTGGTTAAGAAAGTCAAATACTTGGGGATTAACATGACAGCAAAAAATGGGAATTTATTTAAAGATAACTATGAAAAATGTTGGTCAGAAGTGAAAAAAAGATTTAGAAATTTGGTCAAACCTGAAGCTTTCACTGCTAGGCCGTATTGCTGCGATAAAAATGAATGTATTGCCTAGAATGTTGTTTTTGTTTCAAACTTTGCAGATCGTGGACAAAATGGACTGTTTCAAGAGGTGGCAGAAAGACATTTCTAAATTTGTCTGGCAGGGCAAGAAACCTAGAATAAAATTTAAAATTTTAACAGATGCAAAAGAAAGAGGTGGATTTGCCCTGCCAGACCTTAAACTTTATTATGAATCAGCAGCTTTTGCTGGTTGAAAGAATGGCTACTTCTTGAAAACACTGACATTTTGGATTTGGAAGGTTTTAATAATGTATTTGGATGGCATGCATATTTATGGTATGATAAGGTCAAAGCACACAAAGCATTTAAAAACCGCATTGTCAGGAAAGCGCTATTTAATGTTTGGATAAGATATAAGGATTTGCTAGAAAATAAAACCCCAAGGTGGCTGTCACCAATGGAAGCGAAAGCCTTGAAAAGAGTCAATATGGAGGTCAAATGGCCGAAATATTGAGAAATTTTGGAACAAGACGGAGATAGACTGAAATTGCAGAGTTTTGAAAAATTAAAAAACAAAGTGCGAGACTGGCTTCATTATTATCAAATAATGGAGGCATTTAAATTAGACAGGAAAATTGGCTTCCAGGTGGAAAAATCGAAATTAGAAACAGAATTGTTAGAACCCAATACTAAGAATCTGTCAAGAATGTATAACTTGCTGCTGAAATGGAATACTCAAGATGAAACGGTAAAATCGGCTATGATTAAATGGGCACAGGACGTAGGACATAACATTATGTTTGCTGACTGGGAACAGTTATGGACCACTGGTATGAAATTTACGGCATGTAATGCCTTAAGAGAGAATATTATGAAAATGATATACAGGTGGTACATAACCCCAGTCAAGCTTGCGAAAATTTATCACTTGCCCGATAACAAATGTTGGAAATGTAAAGAAACTGAAGGTACATTTTTTCACCTTTGGTGGACGTGCCCAAAGATTAAGGTTTTCTGGGAAATGATATATAATGAATTAAAAAGGTATTTAAGTATACCTTTCCCAAGAAACCAGAGGCCTTTCTCCTGGGCATAGTGGGCCAAATGGTGTTAAAAAGGATAGAACTTTCTTTATGTATGCAACAACAGCAGCAAGAATACTCATCGCAAAGTATTGGAAGACACAAGAACTTCCCACGCTGGAGGAATGGCAGATGAAACTTATGGACTATATGGAATTGGCGGAAATGACTGGCAGAATCCGTGACCAGGGAGAAGAGTCGATGGAGGAAGATTGGAAGAAATTCAAAGACTATCTTCAGAAATACTGCAAAATTAAGGAATGTTAGAGTGATGTTGGATTGAAAATAAGTGGTTTCCAGCTGTACAGGTTAAAGCTAGGATAGATTAAGATTAAAGATTAAGATTGGGAAAAATTTAAAGGTATATGACATTAAGAACAAGGATTATGTTTATGTTATATAGTTTAATATTTTATTAAATTAAAGATTGGGTTTAAAAAAGTGGAAAAGAAATTGCTGGACAAATAATGTAGATTGGAATACAAAAGAGGGAGGTATGAGGAAGTCCAGAAAATAAGTAATTCAAAATTGGGAATGTAAAAGAGAGTTTGTTTTAAATTGTTATGTTGTGTGTTTTTATTGTTAAATTTTGTATTGTTTTTTTTTTGTGTTGTTTTTTCTTTTCTCTTTGTTTAAAACTTTAATAAAAATTATTTAAAAAAAAAAAAAACAAATTACTAGGAATGTAAAAATAGTGGCTCTAACTATTTAATGCTGGTCTACTTGCATGTTCAAGACTATCCAGATGTGAGATTAAATAGCAAATATGTAGCAATTCAATAGCTAAACAATAGCAATTTAAAGCTGGGAAGCTTGCCAGTCACATTCCATTTGGTTCCATCAGCCTATTACTTAAAAGTATTTTAGTCATTACACATCAAATGTCATTTATTAGGAATTTTCAGCTCTATAAAACTGGCCCGGAACTGCAGAGCTGAAGCAAAGGGACACTCTGGCCTCTGCCACCAACTACGGGACTAGTGTCCCAGGAAGAACATCACAGCAAGAAGAAAACCAACCTGGCCCACCCACCAATCAATTAAGAAGCATAAGCATGGACCAATGGTACCAAATAGTATGGGAAACAGCCCTACTAGAAAAATTAACTAATAAACTGAAACTGACACGGGGACAAACAGAAGAAGACGCCTTCACCCCGGTATGGCTCCCCTTTATCACATACACAGCCCAACAAGAAAATGGAAATAATCCACCAACAGCATACAAATCAATATGGCTAACCTGATCCAAAACACCCACCCACCCACCTCACTCACACACAAAAACAAAGATCACCACAGCCAATCACACCCTAGGCCAACCCCAACCTCTCTCACCACCAAAGGAACACAAGTAACACTGACACCAAACTCTACATACATTAAGCATAATAGAAACATCGCCACCCAACCCCACCCCCACCCATCTTCCCTCCCCCCACTCCCCCTTTCTTTTTCCTTTCTTTTTTTTTTTCTTCTCCCCCTAATGCCTCAACAAATGAAATGGATTTGTAAAAATGTTACATGGAAAAAAAATACGAGGCATTACACTTACTTCTGTAAAACAAGAAAATCCTTAATAAAATATTAGAAATAAAAAAAGAGAAGCATCTACTTTCCTGCAAGAAAAGACACTCAGTTCCAACTGCCAGTTGCCCTGGGACTGTAGAGCTGGAGGGAAGCATGCTCTGGACCTATCCATCAGCTAATGGCTGCTACAGTATGCATTTTTGGGGAGGGGGAGGGTTTGTATTAATGTAAGCTGTTGCTTGTAAGCTGTCTTGAAGATGATTTGATTGAAAGATGTGGGATAAATCTTTAGAACAAAAATGCAGCTTTCTAGACCTTCAGCAACCTTATCCTCAGGACAGTTGTCAATACAATTCAATTATCAATTAGAATGACTTGAAACCTACATAAATAAAAGTAGCACTCAAAAATGCTCATTTCTTTATTTCCTCAGAAGTCCCAGAAGCTAAGTGCAGTTATTGAAAGCGCCCCCATTTTCCTATTTGGGGTATACGGGGTGCATTAATATGTGCCCCAGGCTGACTAATGATCATAACAAAACACAGGAGGTCTCTGTGGCTTGTGGAGCCCAAACTGCTGGGATCTGAATATCTAAAATCAGCAGGCTAGAACCCTAGAAGCAGTGGCATTATTTGGTCTAAGTGACTAGCCATGTAGTCACTTCTACACTTCATGTAGAAGTAGGCCAACATGTTGAGCGTAGAACCACTGGCGGAGGAACGGGGGGAGCGCCACACCCCTGGCGCCATCAGGGAGGGGGGTACCTTCGCGGCCACCCACCACCACCACGCTGAGCGTGGCCCCCGCAGGCAGCATGCCATGCCCCCGTCTGCTCTCCGTCCCCGGTGCCAGAGCATGCAGCTTCGCCACTGCGTAGAACTGAAGACAGAATATGATGCAGAAATGCTCCCTTTTTGCTTCCCTTCCATTCAAAGTTTGCCCATGGTGATACGTGCAAGGGCACAACTTTCTCCAACTCTTTTCTATCACCAGCACCTCCACCCCGGAACACACTCATCCTGCTGCTGAATTCGGACACAAGGCAGAAGAGAAGCAGCATAAAGGATATATCTTTGCACGTACCCATACCGATTCTCAGCTAATCTGCAGAACTGTAGAGATATACAAGAACATAGGAGCCTACTGGATCAGGCCAATGTCCCATCTTGTCCAGCATCCTGTTCTCACAGTGCGAGACGCCTGTGTGAAACTTGCAAGCAGGATTCAAATAAAAGAACACTCTCCCCTCCTGTAGTTTCCAGCAACTGGTATTCCGAAACATTACTGCCCCCAGCTGTAGATAATAGCCATCATAGGAACTATCCACAAATGTGCATTATTAACAAACTCTAAATGAGACCTATAAACAAGTGGAATGCATCAACGGTACTATATATGCAAGCATGAACTCAAGTCATAGTGTGCAGACTGCTTTACAATCCTTACCAAATCCATATGAAAAAAGGCCATTATTGTCATATTACAAGGAGGAACATATATTATTAGTTACTGGGCATCCGGAGCAGAGCTTGAAAAAATTCAAGGTCAAAAGCTTTCATTTGAAAACTGCTGACACTGCAATATTAAGAGTTAAATACAATATGCAAACCAAGCTATGAGAATTCAGGCCAAGTAGATAGAAGCAATACTGGACTTCAGTGTAGATTATGATGCCCAAGGCAAAGGAAGCAAGAAGAATATGAAACCCAACTATTACCAATTCAAAAATTAAAAATGCACTTTTCTATCTTCTAATGCAGTATTCCCATCTCCATAAGCCAGTTCTTGAATTTGACTTTAATAGTTTCCTGCTAATTAAAAACAATATTTAGTTATTATTCCAAAATGTGTACAAGAAAGTAGAGCTTACAAATGTGTAAAGTATTCTGCATTAATACAAAAGTGTAAAGAAAGACATGGTGCATGCAGAAATCAAGATACTTTTTCCATGTGTTTGGAGTTGTTTTCCTTCACATCAGAGAACTCCACAGAGAAAAGCATAAGGTTTCCTTGTGTTAATAAAAGCTTGCCTGTCAAAGCAATCTGCCTTTTCCATTGTACTGGAAGGAGAGCTTTTGGCAGAAGACTGGCATGGTTATTAAAAATAAGATGAAGTTGTAAAACTAGTGAAATTTCCTTTTCAAGTTCCAGATGCTTTAAAGATTAGCACAGCATCCAATACTGCAAACAATTTTAAATCAACAATTCAAATCAGGTTTGATTGCTCTGAACTCAAAAAGAAGTACAACTGCATCTCTAAGAAGGGTGTGGATCAGTTGGAAGATTTCCAGCACATAGCACACTGAAGTTGTTTAATAAATAGAACTTGAAAAGGGATCTCTTCAGAACTAGTCTCATCAAGTCATTCACTTCCAATTAAGGAGAAGAACTGAATGTTTGAATGCAGCATCAGAAGCAAGAAGATAACCGTCGATTCTGACACACCCCTCATTGTGTAAGCTGAAAGACCGCTTAAATATAATTTAAATTCAGTTAGCACAGAGCTGCTGAAGGCACCTTGAGAGTGCTCCACATATTTCCTCAGAGTTAAGTTGTGCTGTGTTCTGTTGGCCTTACTTTCAGAAGGACTGCAGCTTTGAAGTAGTAAAGAACACAAGGAATTTGTGCAAGTTTCAAATTTCTTAAGTGGTTTTCTTACAATACAGACTTTATTTCAGAGGTTTTGACATTTTACAGATCTGTCAATCCTATGCACAACTTTCTTGAAGTAAATCCCACAACGCTCCATGGGACTTATTTTAGAGTAAACACAGTATTGCACTGTAAAGATCCGTTTCAAATTAAAGACAACATAATGCATCAGTACCTTCCTTTCTGTTTAAGAGCCTGTGGACAGAGACAGTTTTACCTTTATTTATTCAGCACTTAGTATACTTTGGGCACTTTTAAGTGGTAAAGAGTAATTTTCATGCTCTGCATGCAGACACTAATATCATTTTATTCCACATTTGAATGTGACACGTTTAAAGGTCAACAGGTTTTTTTTTATATCACCATAAAAATACAGAAATGTATTTTTACATGACACCTAGTAGAAGATTACCATTTTTTAAAAAATAAGCATTAAAAATAAGCTGTGCTTGATTATATAGTTCCAGAATCTCATCGACTTTCCAAATGTTTAAGTTACTTTTAGAAGCATTTAAGTAAACTCTTGGAATAATTCAGGAAAAAGTGAGAGTGACATCGTTTGCTTCTGTATTCCTGCAGTCATTCTGACGAGCGCAAAAGAACAGCTCTTTGGAAATGCCACACCCATTAGTCTCATTTCCCTCCTCTGAGTCACGGCAAGAGAAAAGAGGCAGTTTGGAAAGAATGAAAGTGGAAAATCAACGTGCTTGGAGTTAGGTATTTGAATTATGTTGGGTTGCCCTTTTCCTTTGCTGGCTTTTGTATTAGGACCCGGAGCAAAGAATACGGTCAGGGATTGAAACAAACAAACCAAGAGCTCCAGGTCCCCAGGAGTAACCAGATCCTCAAACCCTCTAAGCCAGATCACTGACTAAGCGCCACTTTCTGCGGGGTCGACTTTCAGCTTTACAACTGGGAATCATTTCAAAAGCATTACTTTGTCTTTAACCGAGGGAGACATACCGTATTTTTCACTCTATAACACGCACCCGACCATAACACGCACGTAGTTTTTAGAGGAGGAAAATCCGTAGGCATGCCACCCGTAGGCATTCCCTCCATAACACGCACAGACATTTCCCCTTACTTTCTAGGAGGAAAAAAGTGAGTGTTCTGGTGCAAAAAATACGGTATATCATGTCCCAAAAGCCCCCCGCGCCCCGAGCTGGGCAGTGAACGGCAAAAGGCACACAGATTTGGCATTAAAACAAATAAAACATTCCGGGGTCGGGAAGGGAAGTCTTAACTAAGGGGCGGAGAGAGAAACCCAACTGAGCTAAAGGGGGCTTGCAAGCCCAGAAAGGCAGCCTCGTTGGGGACTGACCCCCCCCCCTAGTTGGCTAGGTTTACTCAGAGGTGCTGCCACGACTCCAATGCTATTACTCTCGAGTAGGGACGCATCGCAGCCCAAGGAAGGGCCGCCAGGACGAAGCCCACTTTCCAACATTCATTATTATTTACTACATTTGTTACTCGCTGTATATATTATATGTTATTATAATTTCTATACCACCCTTCAGGATCAAATCCACTTTCCAACATTTAATTTGGTTTATTAAATCTGATGATGGACTGACTTTCTATTCCGCCCTCCATGGCAGGGCAACCCGAAGCGACTTCAAAGCAACCCCCCCCCCCAAAAAAAACACCCCACCTGGGCCCAATTAAAGCCAAGCGGGAGGGAGAGGAACGCCTTGCCCGCCTCCTGCCCTCTTCTCCAAGACCCCTCGGCAAAGCTGAGGCGCCCCGCTTCCCCCGGGCCTCCCTCCGCGGGCGCCGCTCACCTCAGTGAAGGGGTCCATCTCCGCCACCGAACTCCCTCGCCGCGTCTGGCTCCCGAAACAGCCTCTCCCTTTTGAGCCTCCGCGGCGGCCAACCGCCGTCCAATTTTGAATTTCAGCGCCTGCCACAGCCGGGGCGCGCGCCGCGCATGCGCATGCGCCGGCTCCGCCCTGCCCGAAATACGCCGAAGGTTAAAAACTCTCCAGGGACGGTGGGCGGAGGGAGCGGCACTTCCCCGAGAGCGCATGCGCCTTTCCGCCTCCCCGCTATTCCGAATAAAACAGCGCGCGCCGCCTTGAAGGGAGAGGGTGGGTGAAGAGGATGATGGACGGGAGCGTTAGCCATTCAGGCGAAGCTGTTTTTGCGGCTTCGTGGCAGGCCTGGCGCTGTTGGACTCCAACTCCCATCAGCCCCAGTGAGCGTGGCCAATGGTCAGGGGTGATGGGAGCCGTAGTTCAAAAAGCCTTGAAAGCTCTATCCCTATCTTCGCAAGTCTAGGTTTAGAAACTGACGTTTTTAAGGTGGTTGTTTTTCTAACGAAGCGCGTTTCCTTCCAGGAGAGAGAGGCACAGTCCAAGCCTAAACCTGTTTACCTGGGACTAAATCCCACATTATTTACATTTGTCTACCGCCCTGCGCCTACAGGCCTCAGGACGATTCACAACATAAAATCATATGCCACACTAATGTCTCACAGCAAATGAAACTGGGTCTGTAGAAAACACAACTTGGAAAAAGAGACGTGTTTTTGTAAACTAATAAATCTTTAATAATTTTTTTTTAAAAAAAACCCACAATATAAAAACACAAGATAAGTCATCAAAATAAAAAACAAGAACAAACCCATAATTCCCCCCTGACACATTTTAAAAGGGCATTGCATGTCAGTCAGTGAAAGGCCTGTTTAAAAGAGGACCATTTTTGCCTCTTGGGAACTCTAGCTCTGTGAGGGGAAATAGTCGCCACCTAAGGACTCTCAGCACCCTTAACAAACTGCAGTTCCCAGGATCTTTTGGGTGCAAATGGGGCAGGTGATGCTTGAGGAAACCACAGTCCAAATTATGCCCTTCAAGACAGATTGTAACTGCAGAAACCTCCATGGTTTCTCTGACAGCGCAAACCCCCGTACCTCCAAGTTCTGTGCTTGAAGCCATCAGAGAAATCTGAATATAGGACAAAGAAAGAAAAAGAAAAAAGAAAGGAGAGAAAAATGAAAATATGTACTGGAAGAAATTTAAAGACTATTTACAGAAATATTGTAAAATTAAGGAATCTTAGAAGGATGTTGGATAGAAACTAAGGGTTTTTTAGCTGTAATGCTTTAAGAGATATGAAAAAAGGTTTGCAACTGGGTAAATTCAATGGTAAGGATTTGCTGAATCAACAAATTGAACTGGAATACAAAAAAGGGAGGTATGAGGAGGTCCAGGGAAATAAGTTTAAGGAAGATAGGTTATGGAAATTTAATGTCTTTTTTAATTGTTTTATTTGGTATGTTTTCTTTTATTTTTTACTTCTTTGGTTATATTTTTTTTAAAAAAACTTTATTCTTGTTCTTTCTGTATTCTGTATTTTTTGTATATTTTTTTTTGAAACTTTAATAAATATCATTTAAAAAAAAAAGAAAAATGAAAATATGTAAAACAGTTGCTTTTCATCACAGATTCCTAAGGTAAGCGGTAAAGATTCCTGCCTCCCATCTCTTGCATTATTTTTAAAAAATGAACAATGTCCATCATTTTCTGTTTTTTCTTCAGGTACAAAAATATCTATAACACAAGCACAAGAAAAGGAATGTATTCTGCTAGGAATAGCTAGCTGTGGGACCAGGTATTATGTTCAATGTTACTCAGCTATTTCCCTTGGAAATAATGTTTTGCCCAAAACCTGACGTCGACGTCAAACGCCAGCAAATTGCCCCCTGCAACGTTTGGCGGTGGAAACCCTGCGTTTCACAGTAGGCGATAAAATGAGCCCTCAACCGTGACCAGGGAGAGGAGTCGGTGGAAGAAGATTGGAAGAAATTTAAAGATTATCTGCAGAAACATTGCAAAATTAAAGAATGTTAGAGTGATGATGGATTGAAATTAAGTGGCTTCTAGCTGTACAGGCTTTAAAGATATATATAGATCAAGATTAAGGATTAGGATTAAAAAAGTTAAAAGAAATGGAAAATTGGCTTTTAATAGGTTAAAATTTAAGGTTATATTATATTAAGATTAAGGTTTGGGATTAAAAAAGAGGGAAAGAAATTGCTGGACAAACAAATTGAACTGGAATACAAAAGAGGGAGGTATGAATTTCTTTTCAAACACATTTTTATGAGGTTTTGACTAGTGTACACATTTTTGCAAGCAGTCCCTCCTAAACTAATGAATTTTCTATGTTATTTTCACTAATACGTACTTTTTTATACACAATTTCTCCTATTGTATACCTTTTGATAAACACAGTTTGTAAAATTTGGATAAGTGCGAATTCCAAAGGATAGCTGTTTCAGTTCATGTATTGTTTCAAGAAGTGTGAAATCGTTATATTTGCCTTTAAATATGAACTGGATTGCATCCTTCCCCCAATCCCCAGGCATCACTGAAGTATTTATTTATGAAACTATTGACATTCCTGTGCAACTTACGCTTCATTTTAAAGGCTCGCTAGTTATGCTAAATAAAATATACTAAAAAGGTAAAAAAAAAAAGAAAAAAGAGGGAGGTATGAGGAGGTCCAGAAAATAAGTAAATTTAAAAGTGGTGACGAAAAGGTGGCATTGTTTTTAACTGTTTTCTTTTTTCTATTTTTTGTTTTTTGTATTGTGTATTGTGTATTTTTGTATTGTGTATTTTTCTTTTTTACTTTTAATTCTTTTTTACCGATGTGTCTTTTTTTATTGGAAACTTTAATAAATATCATTAAAAAAATAAAAAATAAAATGAGCCCTCAGTGCCCCAACCCATGGGGTCACTGCGGTCCTTTTAAAGAGGTCTGAACAAGGCTTACTTCTGCTGGACTCTGTTTTGCTGAGGGCAAAAGAAACGTGCTCTGCACCAGCGCACGTTATCTTTTCAACATGCAATGAAGCAAGAATACATACTTCTTTTCTCTACACTACAGTATTGTATGTGAGATCCATAGCCGCTTTACAAAGATCTCTGTACAGTCATACCTTGGAAGTCAAATGGAATCCGTTCCAGAAGTCCGTTCAACTTCCAAAATGTTCAGAAACCAAATTGTGGCTTCAGATTTGCGGAAGCCGCAAAAGCCCCGTCGGACATTCAGCTTCCAAAATAACGTTCGAAAACCGGAACAGTCACTTCCGGGTTTCGATTGTTCGGGACCCAAAACGTTCGAGAACTAGGCTGTTTGAAAACCAAGCTACGACTGTATTGACTCTCTATTGATTTATCATTCATTAGATAAAAGGCTAGTGTAGCGGGAGACAAAAAAAAAACTCCTTTACTTGCTGAGGTACAAAATTTTGCTTTCCATTCTTTGTCATTCACCAAAATATATTTTGCTGACTTTACTCAGCATGCTTTCATGGTTCAACCAGAAACAATATAGTGCCATTTCTAAGACAGCATTTTACATCTGCTTTCCTCCCCTTTAATCAAATTATGATGATTTATATATCTAAATTTGCATTCATAGAGCTTTGCCAGCGTAGGTCACCCAGATTAATCATGGGAATGTGCCTTTCAGTTCTGTAACGGTCTACTCTCACAATCAGTTCAGTGTCTGAATGGCTCCACTTGACCTTGGCTCTCCAATGCAGTGGAGTCATTCAGGGATATGAAGCTGCCAGAAAGCATTCTTTATATAATCTTGGGGATGGTGGAGGTGGGAGGCATCAATGCAATCACTTGATCAGGAGTGCATACATTTTGGAAGAGGTCATGTTTCATTTTGTGCACATTAACATGTTCCAGAAGGAAGAAACATAAGAAGAGCATCTATGTGCAAACAATGCGGACAATTGTTTCTGTGAAGCGGCAGGAGCAAGGTCCCCCCTCTTCCCACTACTGGGGCATCTCCCTGCTAATAAAATAACAGAACAAGAGCCGGGGGAGAGCAGTGTGCACTTGATTGTCTGCTTCATGACGGACATTTCCTCACATCCCATTCAAGTCAGAGTAGTGGAAAAAATCAGCAAGGCTGGATTTCAAGCTGTCAGTTTCGTACGCACACTCAAACATGCATATAGAAAGTGGGAAAGAGATTTTTTTAAAAAAAAGTTTTCTTGAACGCAGTACTTTTTGGAGAGGGATAAACCTATTTATTATTTATTTACAATGCCTGTGTGCTATTTTATAACCCCAAGAGGTTCTCAAAATGTCTTGCAAAAGATTCCAAATAGACATGGTCTATTAATTCTTTACACACACTTTTTAATGGGCTGTGTGAACACTGATATGTGAACATGAGCCATTCACTCCCACTAAAAAACAGGTGTGTTATGTTAATGCTTAAATAAAGTTCCATAAACTATCAAAGGCATGGGAAAGTGTTGATCATTGCAGGAGTGCCTCCGCATATGGAAAGACAATCACCTCAATGTTTATATGCAGTATGCACATGTCTCTTTCGGAAGTGATGGTCATACTTAGTTTGCAGGGTTCTGCTTGAAGCTCTAAGAAAGCTTGCAAAAGCATTCTGATCGAAGAGACCATCAGGACAGAAATAATTAATGTATGTACAATGGGCAAGGATAGCTCTACAATGTCGCTTTCAAGTCTGAGAAAAGCTATCAGCTGCACACAGTCTAGGTTTACATAAAAGCCTTGTGACGTGGCTCTATTCTCCCAGCAACCAGGGTGAGTAAAATGCAGGTCATGATATATTGTAAGTCGCATGACACAGTCTCTCAGGCATTTAGAAAATCCTTGCTTTCAAAGTGTATCCAGCTTTCAAAGAGAAAGGTCTGAAAATTTGTGAGTGTATGGATAAACCACCCTGCTATACAAAGGTAATGCAATATTTACATTCATAGTTCTGCCCACCGTTGTTTCTTCCTCCATTCACCACTGGTGTGTGTCCCCTGGAAAATTATTCAAGAGTTAACGCTGCTCTAAAGTTGAAATATGTTCCTCTTTCCTGACCCATAACCTTACGAGTGTACATTCTGAGCTGACTTTTTATGTACTGTGCTACAGTGGTACCTCGCAAGACGAATGCCTCGCAAGACAAAAAACGCGCAAGACGAAAGAGTTTTCTGTTTTTTGAGTCGTTCCGCAAGATGAATTTCCCTATGGGCTTGCTTCGCAAGACGAAACGGCTTGCGAGTTCTTGCGAGTTTGTTTCCTTTTTCTTAAAGCCGCTAAGCCGCTAATAGCCGCTAAGCCGCTAATAGCCGTGCTTCGCAAGATGAAAAAACCGCAAGACGAAGAGACTCGCGGAACGGATTAATTTCGTCTTGCGAGGCACCACTGTATTTGGTGATATGTTAGTGGGTTCCTTTCCTTGCAGATACACCAAAAAAAGTGTACGAATTTTGCAGAGTGTAACAAAATTAATAATAAAAAAATATGAAATAAATACATCATAACATGATTCTTCATTATACAGTGGTACCTCAGGTTAAGTATTTAATTCGTTCCGGAGGTCCGTTCTTAACCTGAAACTGTTCTTAACCTGAAGCACCACTTTAGCTAATGGGGCCTTCTGCTGCCACCATGCTGCAGGAGCACGATTTCTGTTCTCATCCTGAAGCAAAGTTCTTAACCCGAGGTACTATTTCTGGGTTAGCGGAGTCTGTAACATGAAGCGTCTGTAACCTGAAGCGTATGTAACCCGAGGTACCACTTTACTCAAAACCATTAAGGCAATAATGACATGTTTATACCAGAAGGCATTGAAACAATATCCTTTTTCATATTTTTAAATAAGTAACCATAGCTGAACTGAAGCCAAAATGATAAAATTGAAAGGATGAACATTTACTATTATTTGAATCAATTCAGATATAAATATCCTTTATGAACACGGAAGGTAAACTCCATCTTTGTTTCACCTGTCTCTGAATTTGTACATATATACATAAAGAAATCTGTAAACAAGCACTGTAGTAATTATATGCGCTAATGATAACATAACATAACAGTTGTATGAAAACTTAAGTTGGCATAGCTTTGCCCATTAATATACGGTGGGGAAAGCTATCCTTTTCAACTTCTGCATGTTCTTCTACAAAAGGTACTGAGCCCCTGTAAGAGAGCAGGGAAAGTGGCAATTATATCAGAAGTTTGTCTTGTGTGTCGCTGCAAAAGGCAGGGGAGAAAAGATATTGCAATCCTTCTCTTTACTTACATTCTTCAACGGCCTTTTTAAATACAGTGGTTCACATCTCAAACTTTAAATATAGCCTGGGTTTTCGTTGGCCAGTTTTAGAATTCACGAAGACAGGAGAGAATTCAAAGACATGCTTGGTTAATTTCTTCTGTGTTAGTTTGTTTCTCTTAGAATCTATTTGCCAAACACATTCCAGTGTTTTCAGTAGTGTTGGTTTAGTAAGGCTATTTGGCAGTTTTTTAAAAAAAGGAGAATTATTGTGACTCAAGTGATAGGATGTGGTAGGATGAAGTCACAATATGACATCATAGAAGCTTCAACGCAGTGTTCTAGAAAAGCAGGTAGAGAGAGTGTCAGTTAAGATACGTGGTCAGAAACTAGCCAGCCAGTCACAGTTTAGAAGACCTTCAAGTCAACCGGTAGAGAAATAATGAGGACTTTGAGCCTGTTCCCAAAAAATGGCTATCCTAGGTCTGATCTAATATTTCAGTAAATGCAAAATAAACACAAAGGAGGAACTTGGGAAGAAGAAGAAGAACTTGTATTCAAAATAAAAGTTTTAAATACAAGGTTTACTAATTTAACAGGTAAAAAAGCAGAGAGGAATGGAATGTATCTCTGCAATTCTGGACTTCATGTATTCCAGAAAATACTGCTCCTGCAAGAGTGTTATATTAATTTGGTGAACTAGCCTTATTGTGCTCAGGTAAGTAAAATTTCATCCTAGGCATCTGTAGCAAATATTGTTCCTAGAGACAAAGACTCTGTTGTAAGATGGGGATGAGGTTTTATCGCTGCATTTCTATGTTTGTCTACCAAGAAGTAAGCTCCACTGAACTCAATGGGGCTTACTCTCTTAACAGATTGCTAAAGGAAAGGGAGGACATACAATGCCATCAAAAGAAAGGAAAATGAAAATTAGGAACAATAATTATAAGGAGGAATGGAAAGCTAGTTTTAGGCTCAGAAAATCAGGAATGCTGTTTTATTTAGATGTTAACAGTAACTATTACAAGACTATTTAAAATGTACATTTGGGTAGAGAAAGGAGGCAGGTTTCCTCATATTTATCAGAATGAGATTTAGCAGAAATGAACATTTCCTTATAAGGTTTGTAGCACTGAAACTAACTGCCAAATAGAGGTGATAAATTTTCAAACTATTTTAAGATCAAAACACCCTCCAGAAACTTACATGAGCCAAATAAACACTCCTGGATCTCACCCAGTAATAACAAGGGGTTGCGAGGGTAGACTACTGGGAGGCAGCTTCACAGTGAAATGAATTTTATATATTTATTTGATGAAACATTTGTTAACAAGTGGCTGAACTATTTTAACTACGTACAATGAGAGCAAATTCTGTGATACAGCTGGACACATCAACATACGTCTCCCGCTTCTAAAAATGAAGGGATCTGTTCCTTTCTTAGGCCATTAATTGCATCCATTGTAACATTCTGGCTCAGCTCTCAACGTCTG